CAACGTTTTGAAATATATACTTTGGTAACGTCAGCAATGGTACATTTTCCATTCAGTGTTTTGCTACAGAATGAATAACTCGATTAATTAATTATACCTTTTATAAAAAATACAAAGAATGTGTAAAAAGGAAAAGGTTATAATCTAGATGAAATAAAAGAGACGCTGAAATATAACGTAAAAATCAAAATTCAGATAGGGATTGCATATATTTATACAAGGAGAATCCAGTTGTACACATTGCAGACTAATTCAGAAATAGCAGCATAAACCAGTTGCATGATGTAGAAACCATTATCATCAAATGAAGAAACAATGTAACTTACTTACGTGTTTTTCTTGGAACTGCAGAAGTTTATGCGAATTTTCCTTTAGAAGATAGATTTTCAATTATTCGCGCCTTTTTTTTGAGCACGTGCGTATGCTAATTTCTTTATTTTAACTGAAAATACCTTGAAAAATCTTCTTATCGTGTATTTGTGTCTGGAAAAGCCAAAACTGACCTTAAAATTTTTCTAGGGCTTCTGAGTTTTCTCGTAGGGCCCCAAAATCGCTCGAAAACGCACTTTCAGCCCCATATCTCGTTCCACATGAGCCCTATCCGTTTTATATGGTCATTTTCGTCTTTTCCAGATCAAAATACTCTATGTTGAATTTTTAAAAATTTTAGATCAAATAATAAAAATTTTTGCAGTCCAAAATTTACATATTTTTCCTAAAATACTCCGTCTCTTTGGTGACATTAGGAGCTTCTAAATATTTTTTTATACCTGTTATACTCTATTGAACCGCTCTCCAACATATTTTGGTCATATTTCAAATATTATGGGCTGAGGAATGGTTTATCTGCACCCATGTCCTGGAGAGGTCTTCTTAAAAAAAAATTATTTTCCAAACGGTCGACTAATTATGACGTTTCAGGTCGTGGAATACCTTAGAATGTCATGAAAAGAAAGAAAATGGCCTCTAAAAGTTTGTGCGAATTTTCCTTTAGAAGTTAGACTTTCAATTTTTCGAGGCGAGTTCTTCCTTCCGAAAAAAAAAATTATTTTCCAAACGGTCGACTAATTATGACATTTCAGGTCGTGGAATACCTTAGAATGTCATGAAAAGAAAGAAAATGGCCTCTAAAAGTTTGTGCGAATTTTCTTTTAGAAGTTAAACTTTCAATTTTTCAAAGCGAGATCTTCTTTCCGAAAAAAAAAAATATTTTGCAAATGGTCGACTAATTAAATCGCTCGAAAACTGAAATATGAAGGATTTAGAAACCTACAAATAAAAAACAGTACATAACCCCGTACAGATTTCTTACGAATTAACCACAAAAAAATGCGATTTTTAAATGTTTCTGTTGTAATATACAGTTTTTATATAAAACTTGTTGTATTGCGTGTAACCTCATACTACTAAACTTTTTGAATACCCTGTATTTGCCAAGATAATATTAAATTATGGACTTTAATGCTCCCTACTTTCCTGTAAATATTTTTTGTCTAGTGATGCCGGAGTATAATATTTAAGAACGCGTTATTTTTTGGTTAAAAGCAATTATGATTATTTATTATTCCATATTTCCATAATTAATAAAAACAGTAGGGTTTTAATAATTATACCCACCTATAATTGCATAAAATTATTTTAAAACAACAATTATCAACAAAGCTGATTCAAAATTACATTGTTTCAATCAGGTTGAAATGTTACATAATATAGCAAAGAACCTACCCGAAGATCAGGCCAATAATTTGTTTATTTTATCACTAATTGACCCTCTAATATATCTGATAATAATTACTTTCAAGACACCAAAATTTTTAATATTGGTCCAAATTTAAAAATTTTTGTACCAAAATCCTTCTCATCAAATTTTAAACAACTTTCAGTTCTGCTTACACTCTATTAGAAAAATTAGGCCCCCAATGCACCTAAGTTGACGGTTGTAAGTTTCACGTAATCTGTGGTTGTAAGGTTTTTATATCCGATTATTATGTCACACTGAATTAACCGTAGATCCGAAATAACCAGCGGTTCAAATTAAGTGACAATTTATAATAATAGTAATAGATCCCCATACCTACGCATTTAAGATACTAAAAGCATTCCTTAAACCTACATCGAATCATTTAATTCTACACAACAGTTATAAAATTAGTCTAATGCAAATGTAACATTTCAATAAATATAACTAGTTCAAAAAAATACGGAGTATCTCAAGGAACTGTATTGGGTCCATTACTATACTATTAGTCATCTACATAAATGCAATACTTAAAAGTACAGGAACTGTAAGTAGTATTGCAGACGATTCATTTTATATGTATATACCGATCATGATTGGGAAGAATTAAAAAGGGTATAGAAACAGATATGAGTTCATTAATCAAAGAGTTTTAACAATAAATTTTCACAAAAACGTTTTCCAATGTATTATATTTCCCACAAATAACATTTTACTCTTGTACCACTTATTTTCCTTATTTTTATTTTTTTGGTACGTATTTTCTACGTTTCAGAAGTAGAACTAAAAATTGTTATTATTATTATTTCTTCAATAAACACTATAAAAACCGCTGTTTGCGAAACTATTTTAGAAGTCAAGTTCAAATATTTATTTAAAAGAATCAATTTTCTGCTGCAGAGTTATTTGTTTAGTTCAAGAAGTTTGTTTCTATTTTCATCACCAATTTAGAATTGTTATGTATACTTAAGTGTACGAGAGGATTTCTAAAAAGGTCATTGGAACTTGATAAGTATATTGTAGGCGAGACATAGAACCTTGCATGACGCCTTTCCTACATATACGAAGGTTATGAATATTCGTTATTAATTAAATATGATGTAATTTTCAAAAAATTGTATTATAATAAGAAAAAATAATAATATATTTAAATTGACATCAACGTGCAAAAATTATCTTTCACTTTGTTTGCGTAGGTATTAAATATGCCACTACGAGGAATGCCGAATAAATTCAAAATAAACAAATTCTTATTTTCTAAATAATTTGACACAAAAATAAGCAATCAGGGACGATTCTTAAGATATTTAAAATAAATTCTTATGTTTACTATATCGTCTTTATTTGTGCAAATTTAAAGGAAGGAATTTCTAGTTTTATTCTTCATTTTTGGAGTTATTTTAGGGTCTATTTATACTCGTTTTAATTAGTATTAGTGCTCCTTTTTTAAACCTAAGTAAGATATAATTCTGCAGTCAACAAAATCATGAAAAAATGTGTAAGAGGCCAGTTGTGATCTTAGAATATTTTTTAAGATATTTGAGTTTTAATTAATATTTTTACTGGGTAATTTTATTTAAAAATATTATTATTCAAAAATAGGTTTAATTAAGGACATTTTAACGGATTTATGTCTCAAACTTATATCAGAAGCAGAAATTTGAGATTTACCATAAAAGTTGAACCTGTCAATTAAGCATAAATATTAATGCTAATATTAATCATAAATCGAGTATAAATGACCCCATTACATTGTAAAGGTTTAACTTAATCCTTAATCATAATACTAATGTAAATACTAATAATGGGGGAGTATAAATAGACCCTAATATTATTAATTGTTGTCACAATAATAAAGGACCATCATGTTTAGTAATACTGTCCCTGTGAAAAAGTGTCCACGCTGTATAATAGGATTTAATGTCACAGTGGGCACTTGATGTTAATTGTAGTAAACGTTTGCTGAAAATGCTAAAAAAATAACTTTGAACTTTTATTTTCGGTGATTGGATGAATTACATCCGGGAAACTAGGTACCTATGTGAAATGTCCGAATAGACCAGTTTTATAAAATCAATACTCTGTAAATTGATGTCCTAAATGTCATCGTTTTTAAAATTTATAACATTTGCAAGTAACCAACAGGTGTGGGTAATTTTATTCAATATTAAATATAGTGTGAAAAAGGCCTTGTTTAAATTCAATTTAAAGCTGCTTTATCACGTAGTTAATTTATGAAATTTGTTTCCTTCAACATAAAAAAAATTAAACCAAGAGAATGTTAATATAAAAAATTATAACTGTTTTAGTTATTTTGACTAAAAGTTCGTGATATTATAAACTGACTATACTGGGTGATAATAAAAATAAAACCAGGTACTAAAAACATATTTTTTTAATTTATAAAGCGATTTGGATAAAATTTGGAACAAATTTACTAGAAATAATTTCTAATTGACACTTTATGCTCAAACAAAATGGCCGACTTCTTGCTTTACCGGAAGTTTTATTTTTTAAATAGATTACAATGTATATTTTATGTTTTCTTTAAATCTACGGTTACCAAATTTTAAGGAAATTTTAAATTACAGTGAACTAAGTAATTCAAATAAAGTAATTTCAATTCAGGCAGATCGACTGTGACTTACCGATATTTAAATAAATACCAAAGTAAATAGAAAATGTTTACAGAAGTAATGGGTACTCCATTTTTGGTCAAAGAGTCAGAGAAATGTCGTATGTACATAATTATGTGAAAATCTTGCGACACAGGTTGTATTTCTTTTATGTTTGATACTTTCTTTTTTCATTTACAACATTTTTTAAATATTTTTGTTGGTATTTTATTTGGTTTCATAGCATGACAATGAATATTTTCCTTTTAAATAATATATCTTATATTACACTACTACTTCTATTATAAAAAAATAAGTACAATAATTACCTAGTCGTTTTAGATAAAAAAGTTTTTTTAAGCAGCAAATAATAAGGAATTACCAAAAAGCTAATATTTTGGTTATCGTTTTAAGATTATGTATAGTCGAAAGTTTAAGCATGACTGCAAATTCTCTTAATTTTAGTAAGAATCATATACAACCGTTTTCAATGAACAGAAATATAATTTTTATAAAATTAACTGTATTATCCAGTACCCCACCTTCGCCTATTCAACTGAAATAATACAATAAAATTACAGTTTTCCTTCTCATATTTCTACTTGGCACAAAAATAACTATGTTTATAGATTTACCATTTTTTTCAGGTCTCCACTTTCATGTTGTCGGAGAAGGGGTAGTCAGAGTTCGCACTCCTCGCCAAGAGAGGATCCACGATCGCGAAAACTATATCGATTTTAGGATGAGGCTATTGGGTGAATCAGGTATAAAATAAAGTTTATTTGTATTTACAGGCTGAATATCACATTAATCTTAACGGCTCTGCACAATTTAATGCAAATATAGTTACATTTTTGCTGCGTTTGAATATCCACATCGGATGCATCCTAGTATCCGATATATGAATTTTGTATCACGTGATGGAAGAGGATTAGATAATAGAGAGTTTTAGTTTAGCAAACATCCGCTAACGTTACCTGGGGACCTATTTTCAAAGTATGGGGCACTAATTTCTCTCACGTTTCTCATCAGAAATGTCATATGTCAATGTGGAAGCACTGTTTTTAAAGGCCTCGAGGATTAAAATTCTTAGGAGACTTTTAATTCTCTCTAAATAAACCGAGAGAAACAGTCAGTGAGTTCACACTGGCCCTAAGAACCCTAAAAACACTGTTTTACGTTGACGTATGACATTTCTTTTAAGAGAAATCTATTCCTAAAGGCCGATTCCACCGTTGTGTTAAACGGAGATTAAAATGACATTATTAATGTAAAAATGTCATTTTAAACTTCGTTTAACACAACGGTGGAATCGGCCCTTACACCTTACAATGGCATCTTAACAAACTTGAATATCAGAATAACTATTAGCTTTATTTACTATCTTTATCATTACCTTTAGTTTAGGTTATATAATATTTCATATTTACAGGTCAGGGACCATCGGTACTGTCGCCAGGTATCCATAGCTTCCCATTTAAACTTGGTTTACCCTTAGGACTGCCTTCTACTTTCCTCGGAAAGCACGGATGGGTGCAGTATTATTGTACAACTGCTTTGAGAGAACCGAATGGACTGACTCATAAAAACCAACAAGTTTTTATTGTAATGAATCCAATAGATCTAAATTTAGAACCCTCAATTTTAGGAGTAAGTATTGTAAATAGTATTTGGTTCATATCTTACGTGACAAAAGCCAATGTAATTATCATTATTACAAAATTTTTTATTACGCAAGATATATTTGGGCATGAAATAGTGGTAATGGTTACACACTTTCAATTTTTGACCGCTTATTGTCTGTTCTACTCCTCTTCTTGTCCTCTTTGCTAATTTCCTTTCTTTTCTATACACATTTTCTAATTTAGAACATTTCGGGTCAGGAAACCTTCAGATGCGAAGTGGAACACAAATTTGGAGTTAGCTGTGTCGGATCTGGAGCAGTAGTATGTAAAGTTACCTTAGATAGGGGCGGATATGTACCAGGAGAAAGTATAGGTAAGATTTTATTTAAGAAAAATAATTATTTAATATCAGAGAATTAGAGATTACAGATGTTTGACTATAGTATTTTGCTTATTTTTCAACTCTTGTAGGTTGTCGATTGTTGTTGTTCTTTTTGCTGTTGTCAGACACATGCAGACTGGTTTTGGCGATTACCCTTACTGCAATCTGCATGTGACTGATCTGGCTTCACCTAAAATAAATATTTGTAGTGGTAGTAGATTTAATATAACTTCTAGGGTTGGTGTTAGAGTCGTTCTCATGGCTCCTTTGACACTCATGCACACTTCCCTTTGAATATGATTGTCCTGCAAATGGCTCAAATTTGTCGAGACTTTGTCAACCAAGTTATCTTAAGGCATTATGAAAAATATTAAATACTTTAAATATACATGGTAACTTTCCTGTTGTAGGAATTTCAGCCAACGTTTACAATAGAAGTAGAGTAACAATTAAAAGTACCAGAGCATGTTTGACAGAAACTATAACGTATATGTCAAAAGGTAAAGTTGTGCAATCGGAAAAACGAGAGTTAGCATCACTTTCTAGAGGAAAAATTCGACCAGGAGACAAAGACGAATGGATTAATGAACATCTGTATATCCCGCCATTACCACCTACGAATCTCAGAGGGTGCCATTTAATTAAAATCAATTACGATGTGTATGTAAGTATTTTAACTAGTGTATCCAAGCACGATGTACGTAAGCTACTATCCAGGTTCGTGGGCGTATGTTACTTTATATCTTCCTATATTCTTAAGCCCCACGTTGGGCGCCTAATGTACGATGAGTAGTCGATCTCAACTCTATGCCTTAAGAATGTGCCACTTCTATGGCCTAAACATATAAACTTCTTCTCTTTAATGTCTTCCACCTTTGTTCATTACTAATTAACATTCTAAATGATTTTTCTTTTTATTTACAGTTTATAGTTGAGCCCAAGAGCTTGCAGAAGGAAGTGAAACTTCAGTTACCAATTATGATGGCTACATACCCGCTTCGATCTGACGATGAAGAAGGTGGCTACAAATCTGGCACGCATTACCCTTCGACGTTACCTATTTTTAGACCATGGCTCGAAGATAAACCAACTCAACTTTGACTTTATTATATTTTTATTTTTTACATAAAATGTGTCACTATGTTTATAAGGACTTACCGCAAATCTATAAATATACATTTGTTTCAAATTATTTTAAGAAATAATGACCGAATTTAAATGTCTTTACACCAGATACTTCAAAACTGTTACTCGCCCTTCCTTGCAATTGAAAATTTTATAGAGGGTCCAAGGAGTGAAATACAGGAGTGACTTTTTCATAACAAAATTTAAAGATTATGAATACACAAAGGATTTGTTAGATTGTAGTCCTGCCATATTTTCTAGCGATGTAAATATAGTGACATTAAAATCTACAGAATGTAACAGTAAAATTTAACCTATCATATATGTTAGAGTGATAATAGGGTCTAATTTAGTACCTACCCAATATAAATAATAGGTACTGAAAACCTAACAAAAATGCCATATATCTAATATGTAAGAATAAATTTTATGTAAATAACTTTTAACAAGATGTATATAAATTTTATATAAAAAAATTTACATTTTTATTTTCATTTACCTGAATCATAGATATATAGATAGGATGGTTGGAAAACGTATAGAAACATTTTGTAAATTTGGTTTTTGTTTTCCTCGTACTTCAAAAACAGTACGAATATGCCAAAATTCTAGTGTAAAGAATTCTAACCAGTTTTTTAACAGGTTGATTGCCACGTCGGTCATAGACGACTGTTGACAACCACTCATCAGTACTCGACCAAAAATTTCATGTTGATATCGCTTTTCGTTTTTTACTGATTGTTTTTAAATTCATTCTTAAGAGCAGCCTCTATCGTATTTTCATTTAGTGAATCAACATTTAAAATAATTTGAGTTCTTTTTTTTACGTTATTTTCCTTAACGAATGTACCTTTCATATACAGGTACGGAAATCTAAACGCGAACCCTCTATTTTGCAATAAATTTGATAAGGTATAATATGACCACGCGTGAAACAAACAAAGACCCCTGAGCAGCGCAGAACACATGGGGGTCGATTCTCGACTCGTAGGAATTTTTTCCTATAGGAATTTTTGACATTTTTATATACATCGAAAATTTATGATTGTTTCCTACATATAGGAAAGTGTCACAAATTCCTATAGGAAAAGGTTCCTACAAGTCGAGAATCGACCCCCTGGTGTAAGGTAGCCCATAGATAAATCAATTATTTTATCTATGAGGCAGACAGAAGTTGAACAGGCAGTTTTCGCATTTCTCCCACTTCATAAAGAGGATTTGACAGTTTTGCGCCGAGCTAATTGAAGTGAACACCATACATAGACGTAGAAAATTATTTTATAAATGCTAATAACAATTTCGTGTATTCGTGTAAATAGTTTAATAAATTATAGTGAATAGCTGTTGAAAAATTGTAGAATTGACCTTTCCCATTATTCAACAATTTCGCATTACTCATGCGCGAAAAAAGAGTGGGACTTTTGAATTTAGTAATTTTCCATACACTTTTTGTTGTCTCTGTCATCCTCGCCTTGCAACTGTTGGGTTGTCCACGACGATTACCCCATGTCATTGTTACTTTAAACAACTGTCATCGATTCTATATAGTAGGGGGCCAGTAAAACTTTTTTGGTACACATTTGCACAAGGCAAAATTATAAATATATTGTTAAATAATTATTTCTAGCCGATAAATACATACGATTGGCCGGTTCCACCGGCAACAATTTAAAATTATTAGTATTATTTTTATTCTACGATACGACACTGACAAGCAAACATTACCGCGAAGTTCTCGAAGGGGTGCAACGTTTTACCACCTCTCCATCTACTAAAGGCCAGTTCAACTTATCTCCGGGCTCTACATACCACTTCCACCTCACTTTCTAATATATTTAACTTAGATGATCTGCATTTAAATTTCCGTATCTGTATAATTGTTAAAATATTATTAATTTGTACTTATATTAATTATATACTTGTACAGAAAAGTTGCAAAATACATATTAAGATTATTTAAATAGTTGTAGATTGAACGCCACTGTTTTTTACTGCTACCGGTTTTCTTTGTCCTAAATAAGAATGTCAATTTCTTATCAGTAACGACATATGATTATGATACATCATGTTTGAGAAACGGCTATAAAACATGTAAGATGCCAATTAATTAGCGCAGTGTTGTGTGCCAATACGGTCCTGTGATCGTCCGGCGTTTTCGTTTTCTCGTGGTAGGCAACCATTTTTACAAACTTGCTGTTTAGTAAATTGCCTATCAATATTATTTACGGGGCTGACACTCGAGATACGGAACGCTTCTGTCGTATCGTATCCGTTACAACTTCAACAAATAAATGGTGTAAGATTTCACCATTTTTTTGCTTACTTTCAACTTAAAAATGATAATGAAACATATCTTGTACAGTTTAGTTTGATTGAGATTTATCTTCATTTATCATCGCAATATTCAAAAACTTCCATATAAAAAAGCAAAGATCTGTGAGCACAGATCTTGAAACATTAACTACAGAACACAACTCCGTAAAAATAATAATCTAAAATGTACACTGTAATAAATATTTAAGATCATTCATTGATTTAATACGTATGTAAGACCATTCATGGGTTTTCTATTTGTGTAATTCATGTTATTTCATTACTTTATGAATATTCATCGGTATTACCAAAATTAAGTGAGTTATCAGTTTGAATTTGGCGCATATTTTACGTTAGACACTCACTGCTCCAAAACTGCACCTATCGCAAGAGAGATGGCCGAGTAGTCGACCACTACTAAGAATTGAGATGACGAGGTATTGAAAAATGCAAAAACTCTGATGGGTAACTATACATCACGTACTTCTTTCCCTTTGACAAAACAAGTATGGTTGGGATTTAGGTTCATCGGATTGACGGGTTAACCTAAAAATGGGACATTTCTTAACTGGAACTGTGAACTATTTACATAACGCAATGATAGTGAAGTGAAGTGTTGACAATTTCCCGGATAATAAGTGCGCTTAGGAACTCTTAATTAAATAAATTAAATTTTTCCTGGTTTAACCAACATTAACCATCTTTGTTGTATACTATTCATACAATCGATAGTTGGTGGGGGTAGTAGGTACCTACATGTAGTTAAAATGGGTTTACTTTTGCGAGGTTTTGTCGAAATAAAAAATAGCTGGAAATAATAAAAAATACTGGAAAAGTGAATTACAATTTTTTTTTAACTGTAAATTATAAAATTAATACAGAGTGATTAAGTTTCAAGTGCAGTTTTAACTTTTTGTTCCATACACACTGAAAATTATCAGGTAATAAAACTTCATTCTCGAAAGTTACTTTTACGATATCTGTGACTTACCTATTTTGTCAACTACAATTTTGATTAAAATGTGGAAAAATTAAAAACCTTTTGGAAGAATATTACTTGGGAACTGAATTAGTATTCCAGACGTTATGATGTAAATTTGTCAAAATGACTACTAAAGTTGAAAAACAAATTAATGGTAGTAATGGTTTAAAAAGCCACCCAGGAAGTTCAAAAAGTTCTCCAGTTAAATCTAATGATCACTATTCCCAGTATAAAGAAGATACTTTTCAATTTACAATTCCTCCAGAAGCCCCAGTATTTTATCCTACAGAAGAAGAATTTCAAGATCCCCTAGCATACATTGCAAAAATAAGACCAGTTGCAGAAAATACAGGAATATGTAAAATAAAACCGCCCTCAGTAAGTATTTTTTTGTTTTATTTAAAAAATTTCATTATTCATTGAAATACTGAGATTACTGAGTGACATAGCTGACATGTTCTTTTAATTACATTTACCTAAACTTCAACAGACTTCATTTTTCATACTAATTTCTAGATTAATAAAAAACAAGACAAATTTACCAAAAAATGAAATATATATATTAACAATTAAATCATTATTTATTCTTTAGATTACCTTGCTTTGATATTCAGTAATATTTGACTCCTGTACTATGAACTTATATTGTTAATTGTCCATTTAATTATTATTAATAACAAATTTTCTTTGTTATAAATTTAAGCAATGTCCCTATTTTTTTTTATGAGGGAATTATTTTCTTTTAAATTACATGCAATTTGTTACTCAAAACTGACAATTTGTTTAATTACTTATATTTCAACTTAACATTCTTGACATTTAGGTACTTTTGAAAGGAAATAATTCAGGTAGACCTTTGAAGATATATTGTGGATAGCTTCTCATCCTTAAATCACTGTGTTTAGTTTAATTTTTCTTTCCCAAATGTTATAAATCTCAATTTCAAAGTTTTTGGGCTATTCAACTGCTTCTTGGACTGGGAGATCAGCAATCATGGTTTCTCCTCAACTAAATCTTGTTAGTTTATTACATCAACCCCCAAACTGTGAAAAAGGGAGTCATATATCAACATTGCTCTTCCTCTTCCTCCAACCAGAGGAAAAAATATCTTGTTATGGACATATTGAACATTTAATAGTAAAAATGTTAAGGACTCAATTAGTGAATCGACTGTTTCTAAATAATAATTGTGACTTATTTAAAGGTCAACCCTACCAGCTACCTTCATTATTATTATTATCTAAATGAGCATCTTCATTGCACCTGTTATGAGTCAGTTCTATCAGTTGCATTAGATAATATATTAATCAAAAATTTTATGGATGAAATGGGTGTTGACTATTTGGCTGTTAATTTGATCCAGTGAATGGACATGTTGGTAGTCTAGGTTTGTGATATATCCTTGAGGGACATATTCTTTTGGTACTGAAAATTGATGTCATATCTAGCTCCTAACAGTCTCTTAATTTTAGAACAATATTAATCACCAGCTATAAGAAGCTGAGGTTAGTACTTTCTGAATATGCTACAACACTTATCAAGTCATTAGTTTTGTAGAGGTCTAATTTAACTCTTGATATAGTTTTACTTCATTATGAATCCAGTGTTTTCTGTTTAAAGAGTGGAGATCCTAGATACCATCTACTTATCAAGTTAAGATCTTACTGCTGGTCAACTTCTCAGCTTCAATTTTATAGTGCAATGTATTAAGCTACTAGCCTATTACTTGCATTGATATTAAGTAATATTTGGCTCCCATACTATGAACTCAATTAACTGTTCATTTTATTATTATTATTATTATCAATTTAATCAAATTTACCAGTATATTATGAGAATAATTTCTTTTTAATCATTGTACAATATGTTACTCCATAAAAATTTGTATAACTCAGGTTTATTTTAAATAAACGTTAACAAACAATTAAAAATTAATCTTTACTCTATGTATATTTCCTTTCAGAAGTTAGCAAAACTTAATGTTTAGATTTTCTGTTTTTAATTTAGAAAATCAAAAGTTAAACAATACAAAAAAAACGGAGATTTAATAATTTTTTACTTTTTTAGCATTGGCAGCCACCATTTGCTGTAGATGTAGATAAATTAAGATTTACACCTCGAATCCAAAGACTCAATGAATTAGAGGTATGTTCATGTTTTATTATTGATATCAGCAATTAATATAAATCTCATTTAAGGCAAAAACTCGCGTAAAGCTTAATTTCCTAGACCAAATAGCAAAATTTTGGGAATTACAAGGCTCCTCACTTAAAATTCCTATGGTAGAGAGAAGAGCTCTAGATCTATATACATTACACAGAGTAGTTCAAATAGAAGGTAAGTTTTTAAATTAGTAGTTAATAACAAATTGTATCCCTTTTATTTTTAAGGTGGATTTGAAAATGCAACTAAAGAACGAAAATGGTCCAAAGTGTCACAAAGAATGGGTTATCAAGTTGGTAAAAGTATTGGTACGATACTTAAAACTCATTATGAAAGACTTCTTTTTCCATTTGATGTTTTCAAAGCAGGCAAAACTGTTGATGTGGTACGTAAACTTCACTGAGAATAATTTTAGTGTAATCATCACATTTTCTTTTTAGAAATTGGAGGAAAATAATGCTGAAGACATAGAGAAAGCAGATAAGGACTACAAACCTCATGGTATTGTTAGTCGTATGCAAATTAAACCACCACCTGAGAAAAATGCAAGGAGGTCAAAAAGATTTGATAATAATGATGAAAGTAAGACTGAAGTAAGTATTTTTACAGTAAAATTCTTTTGAATTTGCTCATAACTGTGATGATTTTATTTTCAGAATTTAGCACTTAAGATTAAGGAAGAAAAATCAGAGGATGAGGAAGGTGGAAATAAAGAATTAAGACGTCTTCAATTTTATGGAGCGGGACCAAAAATGGCAGGATATGATGAAAAGAAAGATCCAAAACCACGACACAAAGCAGTAAAATATGACTTTGATCCAGTAAGTTTAAATGTAATTACACTGCATTGAATGTTTAATTTCATTTCAGGATAGATTTAGCTTGCTCCTTGATTGGGTGAAGGATTGCATGCAAAAAATTGCTGCATTAAATCTGCACTGGCTGTAAGACGAGTCTATTAATAATCCCGCATTGGTTTTGGTTATGTTTCTTGTAATGTTTTTAGGCCCTTTTCCTATCAGCTTGCTAACTCTTAGATGCCTAAGAGCAATAACTGAAAAACGATCATAACATGACAAATATATGCACTCTTATTTTATTCTAACTTTCCAATCCTATTGTTCCCAAATAGAGCTGTAAAATATATATTTTTTTCTTTTTGAAAGCTACTTGTAAAATACCATAATCATAATATCTACTAATTATTGTAATAAAATTGTTATTTATGAAAAAGTTCTTATGAACAAGGTTTTAATTCCTAAAATTTAGTGATTAATAAAATTCATTTCAATTTCAGAACATTATCAACAAGCATTTGAAAATAAAAGTCAAAATAAGTTGTAAACTAAAATTATGCCCCTAGTTAATATGCAAAATAGTACTGAAAAGGTTATTTGAAATGAAAAAAACTGAATTGATTTTTATTAGGCTGTAATTATTTGCTATTTACCCTGTATATACGAATCCAGTATTTGTTTTACTAATAAAATTGGCTTTAAAATGAAGTGCCACACTTTACAATATGTACAGTCAAAGAACTGCAATGAATAGTCATTTTGCTGAATTCTCAAAGGGTAACATCTATCCCTCATATTTACTGGAAGGAAGATGTGGGTGGTAAGTTTTTAAATTAACACCCTGTATATTTGTAGATCCTTTCAAGATTTGCACCAGTGTAAAAAATAATTTTTAATAACAATAGATACTGCAGTTGATTTCACATACTTCTTGCATGTTGTTAATCCATAGCAGTTCAGGTCAGTTATTATTTCTTCTTTTTGAAATGTTTCGATATCCCTATATGACTTTTACCCTATTGGCCGTTTTTTATATGGTCTAAATTAAAATTAAAAATTTGATGCAAAACTTATTGAAAATCTAGTTGTACCATATCTTTATCTGTTTCACCAACTAAATGTACATCTTCATGAGAGGATTAAAACTAAAGTATTATTATTGTGCATATGCACAACCACTGGTTTCTTTGGGAAGGTTTCTTATTTATTTACCTAAAGGTATGCAAATATATAGTTGAATTAACATGTCTGTGTGGCAGTAGGCGGCACCCATTGTGGTGAAGGTTGTTGCAAAGACTAGCGCCGATTCTATTAAGGGATCTCTAATATCCTGGTATGTCAGGAAATCTGCGCCCAAATACTTAAAGTAAGAGATATCTTAATTTTTGTCTATCCACTACCTCTACAGTTTAATTCTGTAGGATGTCCGTTTATTCCTTATTTAGTCCCTAGAGCCTCCAGAACTGACATAGAAGCCATGCGCATGGCATCAATTGTGCTAATGCACGCTGATTGCTACCGTTGGTTAAATTGTAGTAACACCTAAAATATTTAGTTTTAATCTCCTAAGGATATCAACCTAGTTGGTGAAACGTATTTCATTGAGCTACAAAATACATTTGGTAAGTAAAAACCATTATTTAAATTATGTTGAATGAAACGAAAGTCTTGATATTACTGTTAGTTTGAGATAGTTTATATTTGATGTTCGTGTGATATGTGCATTAAAATTTAGAAAACGTATTAATGTTCCTGACACTTTAGTTTATCAAAAAAATTATTCATTGCTATATACTTGTTATCATCTAAATGAGAAGACTTTTTCACACCTCAATACTTTCTTCCTGGTTCCAAATTATCATCAGGTTACCTACCTACCTTCCTGTATTTTCAATAAAATTTAATAGTAATGTTTTTTCCCGTATTTTCATCAATTACTTTTATACTTATAGATATGCGAATTTAAATACGGTGGGGCTCAAATTTTAATTTCAGGGTAATTGAGTTAATATATCCAAGAACCCCATCCACGACCCTTATTAATAAGCTTTAATTACTTAAATTGTATGTCAACATCAGAGGTTACAAATATTGGCTTCCAACGTTACAAGTTGTAGGTTTAAAAAGTTTTGAATTGATATTGAAATTTATATTTTTCCTTTACTGGGTTGGAAGTTTCTGTTAACACTTTGTTCAATAATTATGTAAACTTTGATTGGTCATATAACACTTTTCTCAGTTTTCCTATATCGATAACATTAGTTCCCTAGTTTCATTAATAATGAAGCATAGAATAAATGAATCCTTAGTTTGAAATATCAATAAAAAGTTTTCATATGGTGCAGTTTCCAAGTCTCACTATTGAGCTATTAAAAATTGAAATTACACAATTGCTGAGAAAAAGAGTAACTTACAGCTCTTGCTTTTTATGAACTATCCAATTTTATGAAATGCTCCTATCCTGTAGTATCCCTAAACGTTCCACACAAGCCTGTAGTATTCATTGAAAGGTCAGTGTATTTCTATATAAAAAAAAATCATATATTTTATTACATTAAATTATTTCATACATTAGTACAATATATACATCATTTTTTATATCGATAATCCTAGATAGTGAATCGTTTTGTAATCACCTTAAAAAATGTTATAAAAAACATTCATGACTGTTATAGCTAGTATATTTGTTAAACAATAAAAGTAATTAGCATATCTGATAAATATTCTCTAATCAGAGAATCAAAATATATTTTGGTCATAATTTTTTTGACCTCATTTAAAAATTATTTAGGGGATGGCAAAAATGTAAACAAATGCATAAATGCAATTTTGAAATGTCTAAACAGATAAGCCCAGATATGGTGAGTTTTCTTTGGTGTACTTTTATTTTTTTATTTTAAATTGAATATTTATTAAAGACCTCTAAATTGTGATGTTTTGTCTAGAAAGTTATAGTGATTTTAACCATTTCTCTGTTAATCATGTTTTTCTAAGCCGATTCTCTTACTGTGCTTCCTCTTTACTATTTTACCTCAGCTTGAGTATTGTTTTCTCCTGCGACCCAGCTATCTCAATCTAAACATTTTCTTTCTCACTCATAAACAGTTCAATATTTGTTTTCCTCTACACCACCATTTTCATTAATATTTATATTTGTCACATTCATACTAAATGCATAATTCTACTGTCTTTCATTTTCCTCTATTTCAGAGATATGTTTTTGATGTCAGTGCAGAATCGTAACCCCCATTTATTAATTATTTTTTCGATTTTTTTATCAATGTTTTCTTTGATAATAATATAACTATCAAATTGTATTTATATTGGGGTTGATTCGTTTACTACTAACCTGATTTCTTTATATATATCCGGCTGATTGGAATTTTTTATAATTTATGTGTATAAAATACTAATTTTGTGTCTAACCATGTTTTTACATTGCTGTTTAATTCCTAACATCCTTTTGATAAAATATTTAAGACATGAGGAATTCGGTATTTTTGAATGTAAATCTAGAAAAACATCTTTCGAGAATGTCCAGAAAAACCGTACCAAGATCAGTTATTACTTATCACAGAAATTGTTGTCGGTAGAGTACATAATCAACAAAAAATTTGAAATAAAATTCTTACAGGAAGTGTCAAAGTTGTATAGAAACTCTCGTTTTGATTTAATACTGGGCTTAAAACTTTTTATGTGCTAAGTTATGCTTGTGTTAAATAAATTTTCATGCTTGTATCATAATACTATTGATTATAATTGAGACATTACAAGATCCACTACCAATATTAAGAGACCCAAACTAAAATTTTATATCGAAATTCCAGCTAGCAAAGTATGTCTGCCATAATTGTAACCGTGGCGACGCAGAAGAATATATGCTTCTGTGCGATGGGTGCGATGACAGTTATCATACTTTCTGTCTGATGCCCCCTCTCTCAGAAATACCAAAGGGCGACTGGAGATGTCCAAAATGCGTAGCTGAAGAAGTATCCAAACCGATGGAAGCCTTTGGGTTTGAACAAGCTCAAAGGGAGTACACCCTTCAACAGTTTGGGGAAATGGCTGATCAGTTTAAATCTGAGTACTTCAATATGCCTGTACATGTAAGTTAGGAATTGTGACACAAAACTATTCTAATCCGTGATATTCCTCATCAGAAACTCCATTTTAAAAATATCTTATCCAGTTCTAAGTTTTTGAGTAGCAATATATGGGTAGAATTTCTGTTATAAGACTTAAAGCAGAAATTTTAGTTGAAAACATACTCAGATATTTGTTTATGTTGTTCAGATGGTACCAACTGGAACTGTAGAACGAGAATTCTGGCGAATTGTTTCATCTATTGACGAAGACGTTACAGTCGAATATGGTGCAGATTTGCACACTATGGACCATGGTTCTGGCTTCCCAACAAAGTCTTCTAGTAATCTATTTCCCGGAGATAAGGAATATGCAGAATCCAGCTGGAATTTAAATAATTTACCTGTTCTGGAAGGATCTGTACTAGGATATATTAATGCTGATATCTCTGGAATGAAGGTAAATAACAACAACAACAACCTAAGTTGTTAGGCAGTTATTCTGTTCAGGTTTACAAAATATAATCCTATTTAGGTGCCTTGGATGTACGTGGGTATGTGTTTTGCAACCTTCTGTTGGCACAATGAAGATCATTGGAGTTATTCTATCAACTACTTACATTGGGGAGAAGCCAAAACTTGGTATGGTGTTCCGGGTAGCAAGGCAGAAACCTTTGAATCAACAATGAAGTCAGCAGCTCCAGAATTATTCCATTCCCAACCAGATCTTTTGCATCAATTAGTAACAATCATGAACCCAAATATTCTAATGAACGCAGGAGTGCCAGTGTACAGGACAGACCAGAATGCTGGAGAATTCGTTATTACTTTCCCCAGGGCTTACCATGCAGGATTTAACCAAGGGTAATTTTAACTAGCCGTTAGATTTAAACATTCTTCTCATCGATTCTTTTCAGGTATAATTTTGCGGAAGCCGTTAATTTTGCCCCAGCTGATTGGCTGCGAATGGGTCGCGAATGCGTTTTACATTATTCACATTTGAGACGGTTCTGTGTTTTCTCTCATGATGAACTGGTCTGCAAAATGGCGCTGGATCCTGAAAAGTTGGATCTAACTATAGCAGCAGCTACCTATCAAGACATGTTGGTGATGGTAGACACGGAGAAGAGGTTAAGAAAAACTTTATTGGATTGGGTAAGTTGACCAGTACATTACAAGTTCTGTTTAATAATAGTTTTTTGCAGGGTGTGACAAATGCGGAGAGAGAAGCATTTGAACTTCTTCCAGACGACGAAAGGCAGTGCGAAATATGCAAAACTACTTGTTTCTTATCAGCCATGACTTGCAAATGTTCAACGGACGTATTAGTTTGCCTAAGACATTATAAAAATTTGTGTGAATGTCCTCCTCAAAACAGGACTTTAAGGTACAGGTATACTTTGGACGAGCTTCCTGTTATGCTGAAAGCTTTGAAATTAAAAGCTGAATCTTTCGACCACTGGGTTGCAAGAGTAAAGGATGCTTTAGATCCAAAAACGCCAAAGACTTTAAACTTGTCCGATTTGAGAGCTTTGTTAAGTGAAGCAGATGGCAAGAAGTTCCCCAAATGTGATCTGCTTCAGACTCTCACTAGTGCCGTGGAGGACGCCGAAAAGTGTGCAAGCGTCATCCATCAACTGGACCTTAATAAAATGCGAACGCGAACAAGGAATTCAAACGACACAAAGTACAAACTCACCGTCGAAGAACTCACTTTGTTCTGTGAGGAAATTGACAGTCTAGCTTGCATTTTAGAAGAGGCCAAAAGTATTAGAGAGCTATTACATCAGACTAGGAAGTTTGAAGAGAAGAGTGCCGAATTGTTAGCTTCCACTCTTGCAGGATGCTCTATATTGGAGTTAGAAGCGTGTAATTCACACGGTAGTGGATTATGTATAGAACTTCCAAATTTAAGACCCATAGGTACCAGGTTAAAGCAGTGCCAATGGCTCCAGAGCGTTGAAAATTATAAGAATAAAACAAACGTTTTGGGTCTTGATGAAATCAAAAATTTAATCCAAGAAGGTATCCTTCTACCACCACATCCCGAAATAGAAGAAGAATTATCAAAGTTACAAGGCATTTTGCAGACCAGCGAGGAATGGGAAGAGCAAGCTGCAGAAATTTTAAAATCTGAAGACAACAACGTGTTAATCCAAGTAGATAAACTACTTAAAGACGCTTCAAAAATATCCTGTTTTCTACCCACAGAGGGGCACTTATTCGATTCAATGAAGAAAGCTAGGGATTGGTTAAGGATGTTGGAAGAAATGAATTCAGCCGAATATTATCCTTATTTCAGTGCAATGGAAGAGTTGATTAAAAAAGGACGTTCGTTAGCTCTTCACTTAGTGGAAGTAGACAGGATGAACGACTATTTAGTTCTTGCGACAGGTTGGAAGGAAAAGACTTCCAAAGCGTTCTTACGCAAAAATTCCAGTTGCAATTTGATGGAAGCACTATCGCCTCGAATAACTATGTCAAATAATACAAAGACTCAAAAGAAAGGAAAGAACGCTGAAGAGGAAAACAATGCTATATCTTTGACCAACGCTATGGACCCCGCTGCGGTGGTAGCAGTTTTCAAAGACGCTGAAGACATGGAAATGGCGATGTTGAAGAAACTAAGGGCGACGAATGTAGCAAAAAGCTTAGATCCTAATGATAACTTTACTTTCTGCACTTGCGGTAGGGGCGTGCACGGCATTATGATGCAATGCGAATTATGCAAAGATTGGTTTCATTCGGCGTGCGCGCAGCTTCCGAAAGTGTCTAGCGCCAAGTTCAAAGGCAACTTCGGCACCGTGGCGCTACACATGGGTTTTAAAGACTGCAAATTCCTTTGTGCAACATGTCAACGTACAAAACGTCCTCGACTGGACGTCATTTTAGGTCTCCTGATGTCGCTACAAAAATTATACGTTAGAGTACCGGAAGGGGAAGCTTTGCAGTGTCTCACTGAACGTGCCATGAATTGGCAGGATAGGGCGCGGCAACTTTTACAGCATTCCGAACTCGAAATTGCCAAAAATAAGTTATCTATGTTTAGTCAGAAATATAACGAAGCAGCCGCGAGACAAAGGACTGAAAAAATTATATCTACCGAATTAAAGCGCGCTTCCAAGAACCCTGAATTGCACCAGCGGGTTCAAGAAATCGCGCCGTACAGTGGCGTGGCTGAGGAGGGCGTTACCTGTGATAGTGGCATCATTGATTCTGATGATGCTTCTCGCGACTCCCGCGAATCCGACGACAGGATGGGCGAGCACGCTTATTCCCTTCATTTGCCCAAAGTCGGAGATGGAGAAGACTACACATTACATTTGAATACCGATATTAGACGACAACTGGAGGAACTTCTTACAGAAGGCGACCTGTTGGAGGTCTCATTGGATGAGACTTTCGCCCTCTGGAAGCTCTTGCAAGCGTCTCGAGACACTGAGAAAGAACCGACGCTGATCGATTTTGACGTAAGTTAAATTACTTAAATTTTAGAATGGGATACAGTTGTGCTATACTGGGCGATAATTAAACTAGGGCCACGTTAATTTATTAAGAAACTCAATCAACATCTAATTCATAAAATACTAAAAGCTTATTAAAAATAATATCACTGTAATACTACTACTATTATTTTATTAAAAGCATTATTCAATTCACTCAAAGAAAAATACTGATGAAATTAAATAAATCGATTTCTTTGAAATTAATTTTAACAATTTCTCAAAATAATGAAAATGGAAATTGGCCTTTTTAAATAAATACATTTAGTCTACTGTGATAAGCTAAATGAACTTCTATATAGGAAATTTAACTCAAATGCAATACTTTTAATGAGAATGTTGGCATGGTTTGTGAATTTCATCTGTTTGTTAATCATTGCCCTTAATTATTTGAATTTTTCTATTAACCATATAGAATTTCCTCCAACTGTGATGTTACATTGTTTATCAACAAACTGCACATAGTTATAGTTATTATTTAATCAGCATACATTTTGTTTTATTTGTGTTTTTTAACAAATTATTGCAACACCTTTTATAAACATTTTTCAGAATTTCATTAACAACTCTTAAAGTTCTATGAATCCTTACAAGAAAAATATATAAGGACAACAGCAAACAGGTGAATGTCACATTGACCATCTACATCAACAATATCATTAATATAAACTAAAAATAACAGGGGACCTAATATATTTCCCTGTAGAACACATTTGATATAGTTAACAGCTCTATTTTATGTATTTTATATTCCAGTTATTTTCTGTTTGTTTCCTGTGAATATTTTTTATGTGCAAGATCTTGGTACCCTATGGCAGCTTTTACATTTTCACTCCACGATTTTTTTATATCTAGGAAATGTTTTTATTCGTTTCTTTCACCCTACAGAATTTAATAGGTTTAAAATATTTGTTACAAAATTATCATATTTTTCAATTAATGTCATAAATACAATTCCATGCTAATTTTGAAAGTTTATTTATTGAATCAAAATTTAAGTTCTGGCCTCTGCTTTCAATTTCAAAAGCAGATAGTCATCACTGTTTAATAACACATTGCGCACACGCGCTAAAAAAGCGTCACAACTCAAAAAAATATAGTATTGAGAAAAAACCGTTTAAAGATAATGCCAGGCATTACATCTGATTTTTTTGAAGATTAATAAAGTATTAGTAAAAAAATAACGTTTCTTTACAAGTTAGGGTGTTTAATTTCTGATGAATCTATGGAATTATCTCAAAAATGTAATTTTTTTGAGATGTGACGCTTTTGTAGTGGGTGTGCGATTTGTTAAAGCATAAGATGATCTGAAATTATTTGTGTTTTAAAAACCTCAACTGAGACTGAAGCATTATTCCTTATAAATAAATCTATTAGTGTACCTCCGCCATTTTTATTTGGTCTTGTACATTCCGCAATAATATTTTGTACTCCAGTATTAACCAAAATATTCTTTAATTTCGTGCTGTAGGTATTTTTAGTTAACAGGTCAATACTAAAATCTCCAGAAAGAACTATTTGATAATTATCACATTTATTTGTTCTAAAACAATCTAAAAATGATATGCAACTACTGCTTAGTGATCTATATAATGATGCTATTAAATAATGCATGTTCCCTAATACTTTTGGAATAGAACATTTAAAATATGTTAAAACTATCAGTTCCCTTAATATAAATTGATAGAATATTTGAACAAAAAAAACAGCTGATAAAGAAAAATTGTACAAAAATATCAAAGTGTATTTGAATTTTGAAATAAAAATATTATTTCTATCATGTTTAGGCTCACATGAAAAATACACCTAAGAAGAGAGGCCGAAAAAGGCTCTCCGAGGAAACGACAGACCTTAACAAATCAAAATTATCTAAAACTATTAAACTTGAAGGCGAAAAGAAAATCCGTGGAAGGAAAGTTAAAAACAACAAAGAAGCTGGTAAGAAGAGAACCTACAAGAAACGCTTAGGACGAGCTCAATCTACCGCTTCGGATAGCGACGATGAGGAAGACGACGAAGCCTGTGCTGCAAATGGGTGTCAGAAACCGACTGGACAAAACGTTGACTGGGTACAGTGTGACGGCGGTTGTGAACAGTGGTTCCACATGGCGTGTGTGGGTCTATCCGCTGAAGATATCAACGAGGATGAGGATTACATCTGCATCACGTGTTCAAAAAGTACAACCTACGAAAATTTGGACAGTCGGTCCAGCAGTCCGAGATCGCCAGATTCAACGCAGCCTTCCACTTCGAAAGATATTTCTTAGTACCCGCCACCACCAACCCCGTTAGCTTGTTTAGTATACATATTGTCCGGAGAAAGGAGAGTATTTTAGTAGATTATGTATACACAGTTCAGTTGTGATAATTTAATAATAAGGATTGTAAAATAATTTTATTGTATCACCCACCCTATGTATATTTTCTTTATTTAGATGATTTTTTTATTCTCATTTAAGTTCGTTTTCATTGTATATACAAACATTATGTTTAAAAAAATTGCTTACGAATTTCGTTCCAGTGATAATATGAAGAAACAACTGGCATTTTACAGATTGATCGATTGCTTTGGATTTTTTTAATTGCGCTTTTATCAACTACCAACAAATAGAAACAATTCCGTGCCAATTAATGAAAAACATGAATAAAATTTGATACAAATGAAATTAGTGCAAAATATATATTTTATATGTAATTTAAAAGCAAAACACCACCGAAGAAACGACGTTTTCAAACTATTCGAACATAGTTTTAGTTCTGCACTAAAACTATTAAATGTGACCTTACTTAATTCAAGGATCTTTTTACCCTAAACGTAATATTATTTTGGGTTCCTTTTTGTGTCTCCCTCAATTTTCCTGTCTGGTCTTTTCTTCCTTACGTCCAGTTTGTACGCCTTTTTTCATTTATTTTCTCCAAAATGTAATTGTATTATCATATTTTTATTAATTTTGTTCTTATATTTTCCATTTGACACAAAATAAGCAATTTTTTCAAAAAAAAAAAAAAAAAAACTTAAATAAGGAACTTACATTAATTGTTCCAAAATGTATCCAATACGGTCCTCTCTAACTTAAATAACGTTTTTATTGTTGTCACTATTCCCTTTAACGAACTTCATGTTTTCTTGATCTTCCATGATGTTCCCACAAATCACCCATATCCCTAGCCCATTGAGACAGATTAATGAAAGTTATGGGACTAGGATTGGCTCCACAAGTTCATTGTTGTCATAATTTACTATACTGAACATTTTAAATTTACTCTTGCAGATAAATACGCGACTGAATTACAATAACCGGTACACAAAGCGTGGTTCATAAGAAAAAAAGAGTTTTAAAAAAAAAATATTTTAACAGCTTCTATACACAGTTAAGAAAAGTATCAACTTAAGATTTATCTTGTATGTTAGCTATATTATAAGCCCTTTTGTTACCATTCATTTTATCTCAGAAACTATCATTATCATATTCATCTTCCAACATTGAAGTTTTGAGATCGACAACATCAAAGACCTCTCAAGTTAAAATTGGATCACTAAGTATTAATTGTTTTATCTAATTATAAATACAAATTATTTGAAAAAATATGGACAGTATCAATACTATTTCAGTTATCTTTGGTGGTACAACTATGATAATAAAAGAATCCAAGGCATACATTTTGAGATTACCCTTTACCATCCTAGTATTTAAATTGCGGGATTTTATTTATAAAACATTCTACTTTATGAAAATTAGAAATTTCTTCTATCAGTATTTCTGAGCGAGATATAAAATATTTTCCATATTTGTAATATATTCATTTTTTCTCAGTCCCGTCTTGGACTCCTTAATTTATTTTTATTTTATTTAAATTTCAACTACTAAGGAATTATTTTTTTAAGTTTTGGTGTTCTTAGGGTACCCAGTTCAAGTGTTAATAGCTACATAAAATTTTAACCAAAGCTGTCAATTACAATGATGGAAAAAAATATCGACACCTGATACCACTAAGTGTATTTATTTTTGCAACTACTGGATACCCTATGACCTTACAGTGTCAATATTAACCAAAAAACAAATATTTTTAACAACCTGATTAAATAACTATTGTGGTAAAATCGAGAAATGTATATATCTACTTTATACAACCGTTAAATGCTAAATTTATTTACATTATATTTAAAAAAAAATATATTTTTATTTTTAATATTTTTTGTGTTAGTTGTTTCTTTCATTTTATATATATATATTTTTTTTAACAATTTAAAAGGCTATTAAATTTTTTTAGTTACTACTTTATACAACACTTATTCTTTTCCAATTTAAATGTAGCAAAATAAATAAGGGGAAGCTGTAAAATGTTCCAAACTTGCTTTCTTTTGAAACAACGTGCCCCTGTCAGAGCTCGATTTTTAGTTTACGTAGCCCAGTTGTCATATTACAGAGTGTACTAAAAGGTTAGATATTCTGGGGTCTAAAATAGGTCAGTTGGCTTATTGTGCCACCATTTGGATGCCCCACTGCTGTTCATGCATTCGTCCATTCATTCTATTTTGAATACATTTCACATATATTATTTTAATTTTAATTAATTGCAACCTACATTCCAAATTTGTTAATTTGAACAACATCGAAGATAGAATACATCCTTGTTTGGCCTCTTTGAAGTTAATTTTCATCCGTTTGGCTTCCATTAACTGTAAGCACTGCCTTCTGTCGCCCAATGTAAGTTTTCAAACAATTCCACTGCCATCAACTTCGTTGTTCTTTAGTATATTTATTAGTTTTGTATTTGTTGTACTTACTCTGTCAAATTCCTTTTTATAGTCAATAAAACATGCAAAAATGTGTTTGCACTGGTTTCTACATATTATTAAAGAATGCCACTTAGTTAAATGTATTTAATTGTTGCTAAAAATAATTAAAATGACTGTTTTAGAATCCAAATTGAATATTTACCATTTTTATGTTTCCCCGTTACTTATTTTGCTATTACTTTACATCAATTGAACCGTTTACTTTATAATATTCAAAATATTTAGTTTTTGGTTAATCTGAAGCTAGGTATATAGCTATTTAAACGTTTTCATTCTCAGTAATGGTGAATCTAAAAATTTGTCTGAAAAACACTGTCTAAAGAAATGAACTAAATAAAATTCTATTTTGAATGTATTTACCACAGAATTTGAAAAATTAAACTGTGGAATATCTACTAGAAGAATATATAACTAAATCCAAGTTTTAGATCGTATATAGTAATTTTTGGACATATGCTCCTATTTTCTCATCCACTGTTATAATTTGTGTTTCCTGTAGACGGTTTCTTCCAAACTTGACTTTAAAATCATCCAACCTTCTTCTAATTTCACTTTTGCACCCATCTATCTGTCAGATTTCCACACAATAAAAAGTAGTCAATTTTTCCGACACATCCATTGTAATTTTTTTCTTTTTAGCAATTTGACCTTTGTCCGCCACTAATTTTGTAACATCCTAACTGTCTGAGACTTAGAATTTATATTATAAAGTTATAATATCCCATCTTACAAATTTTCAAGCGCCACTTCGATGGACTTTGTTTAATAAGAATCTTGCACCACTAAAAGTTTCAAATGTAATCCTGTTTAGTATAAGAATGAGTTTCAATCAAGTTTGTCCATATCAAAGCAGTTTTTTGGCTACAACTCTTTAGACTATTTATTACCTAATATGTCAACACTGTGACAACTAATTAAAATCTTTCTGCTAGTTATTGAATATGTTTAATTATTTTTGTATCCCAATTATTAATTGGTTTGCTTATTTTAGCAGTTTCATTTAAGTGTATTCGACTTTTCCAACAATTTCTAAGAATGTGTTTCTAAAGACATTTTAAGACCAAGGTGGTTTTGTGAGAATTATTTTGTTCGTTATGAAGTTTTCTGCGATTTTGATTTTGTATGATTAATATTCAAACAGAAAGGCAAATATATTTGAAAAAGATAGGTCGGATTTTAGTCGAATGATACCTATATTGTCTGCTTCTTCGATTTGAGAATAAACATACCTTGGAGGACGAGAGATATGGCTTTAAATGTGGGTGTCACTTTCGTTACCACAGGCGGTGTTATCTCAGCAAATTTCTAGAAATAAATTACATTTTGATTTTTGTTCAGTTTGTTTCTGAATTATTGTTTCTGGTTATACAGTAAATATATTATTTACAATAATGAAGAAATGCACTATAATGAAATCACATACAATAAATTCTTTTTATTAAAGGTTGTAGGTTTTTTAGTTAATTCCTTCATTATTTAATTTTATCAATGATGTTTGTTATTTTTGGGTTAGTAGTCTTAAAATATTTTTTCTACGACCTTAACAGATTGGTTATCTCCGAATCAGTAAATAAATCTAACAAATGCAGTTAACAGCATTGTGGTTTAAGATGTTGGACAAAATAAAATTAATTACCTCTCAACTAATTGCTTTATTTGTGTTACTCATCGTTACGCTCATCGTATTTTACCGCTATTTTGGATAATTTTCAATTTATTTTTTCGATATCCTTATTTTTGTAAATGGATTCAATTTTAGTCGTGTTAAAAAATTCTTTAAATATGAAAAGGTCGTAGGAAAAGTGTATTTCTCTCTTAGGCGGTTACTGCCCTTTGCTGTGCCTCACTGTCGGGAGGAAAAATGCTCTTATCTCCCTAAAAATACAAATTGCTATTATCTTCTCATACAATAAAGCTCTAAATATTATAATTATAAAAAACAAAAAGCAGATAATGTGGAATGCTAATTCTTCTGAGATTATTGCAAACTAATAAAAAAACTATTCAAACCAATGAAAATTTGAAATATTGATCGGGATGTACTTAAAATACACCCATTTTGTAATTTATTATTGAAATAGCATAGATATTATCTGTATTTTGCGTCAACAAATACACATTTTGACATGGATTATAAGATTTAGACGAGCAACTCTTTGCATACTTACATAAAAGAGTATTAGCCTTTTATTGGATTTATTTTTGACAAAAATAATCCTTTGTTTTCTGTTCGATATTCTTTTCAGATAAATATATATATTTGTAAAATAAAAAATGTAATTGTATAAGGAAATATTAAATATCGATAAGATAGCAGTTTAAATAAATTATTTATTTGTTCAAATGTAAATCCATAAAAAGAGTTGTGGGTCAGTCTGTACATAACATTTTTTACTTAGAAAACTGATTAGTCAACTTATTTACATTATAATAATATCCTGAAGAGCCATCACATCAATCAATGAAACCTACTTATTAGATAATGTAATTATCGGTTTCAGTATTTAAATGATTTTTTATTTCACGTTTTGAAAAAAAAAAAATGGTAGCCTAATTTACAGATTTTATAAGAAAATATTTCAAATATATTTTTTTTATTTTGAATAGAAAAATTAGCATTTATGTTCAATAAAAACCTAGATTATCCTTTATTGTTTATAGAAACAGTTTTTATTTAAATTTTTAACGAAATTTTAATATATTTTTTATCAATTTTGTATTTTTGATTTTATTTTCATACTTTTTCTTAACTACTAGGGTTAATTACAAAGGCTGTATGTACATAAATAACATGAAGTTCATTACAAACCAATAGTTCCTAAATCAGGATTATAAAATAGTGCACATTATCTTTAAATTTTATATATATACTCCGTTTTAATCGCAATTATCTGTTAAGTAAGGCTCAGAGAGATTGACGTTACGGTTCTCAAAAAGTACACATTAGAAGTACATTTTATTTTTATATTTTTCTTTATGTGTTTCATTAATATACTTCAGTGTAAGACTAAAATTCATTTTGTTTGAATTTTGTCAATAAAAACGTTTGTCATAAATTCTACTTTTTCGCAAAAACCATTACAACATAACGGAGTGAATTTTTGAGCTATATTATTTGAGAACGCGCTAGAAAGAAGACCTCAGTAATTTCTGGAAAAAAATAAAAAAACACGTACATGCGGGGACCAAGAAAACCTGAATTTATAAATGAGACAAGTTTTTAAATTTTATCTCTTCCATATCGGCGAAAATAATTCATTAAGTTCAAAACACCATAAACAGCTGTTTACAGAGACGTCTTGATGAATTCTGGCAAAGGCTTTATCTGGCATAACAGTTTCCCCCAACAGGAAACGGTAAAGTAGCCATTATTAAGCCACCTTTGGTCTCTTTACTATGTTCTTGAATCATTCATAATGACGTTATCCTCTCTATACCTTCTTGTTTCCTACTATTTAGCCTGTTAATTTCCATATTTTAAATTCTTCCTTCCATATCTGCACTAGTTTTTAATGTTCGAATGTGTGTCTATTTACTTTAATATACTGTTATCTCTTGTATACAACTAACATCACCAATTTTCCTCTTCCTTTCATCCTTTAGACTGTTTTACACATATGTGACTTTTTTTACCGCACACTCTGAATTCTCCCTGAAAATTAATTGATATTTTCCAAATGACGTGAACGCAAGCTGCAGCAGTGTTCTCCAAAACATACTGTAAACAAGTCTTCAAGCAAGTAGATAGAACGAATACGGCTCCTAGTGACCAACAACGAGGTGTATTCCAAAAACGTTTTTGTATGTTAATATGTCTTGTATGCATCTCTCGAAAATTGTTAATATCCTCTGTTAAAGCGCGTACCAACTTAAATGTAATGTATTGCCCGATATCCTTCTTCGTTTTTTATTGATTTATGATACCTCTACACTCTCGCGAGACCACCTCAGTTTTGACGAGACTAGTGTGTATCAGCCACACTCGGATTTCTACGTTGGGGCGCAAACAAGATCATACATTACACTCTTGTGATCTTGTCGAGATTGTAAAGGTAGCATTACTGGAAAACCAGACTTGTAAGTGGTGGGAGAGTGGGGTCTTAAGTCTGTTTATGCCCATTCTGTGTAAGTAACAGATCGTTGTAGATGTGATTTAGGATTATTTTACGTTTTATGATTAAACTTTTAAGTGTTTATTATTTTTATTTCATTTTGAAGGACCGGTTATTTTTTTTTACTGTGGTAACCAAATGCCATATTGTAGAGTTTGGTTTTCTCTGGAAATATACGTATATATACATAGTAAGAACATTAAACTTCTCAAAATATTTAATAAAAAAAGTGTGTTTTTATAGGTGAATGAATGAACAGTTATGATAAAAATATTTTTTTTTTCATTATATTTCAATGATAAATGGTATCAACTACTAGGTTTATTAGTCTCAAGAGGGACAATTGCCCCGTTGTCCCCCCCCCCCCCCTGGATCCGCCGGTGGTTAACACAGTCTTCAATATTTTTATGAAATTTATAATAATTATTGATTGTTGCTGCAAAATCTTTAATATCCTACTTCGATGACGCTGTTTGTTATGCAAATTTGTAGAGGCCAATGGATTCTGACAGCTCTTAAATTAATATCAACCTACGGAAGTCTCACGAAACGAAAAGAACGGATTTACACCTGGTTAAAAAACAACATGACTCATAACATATTTAGTTTCCTACATTTACTAATTTTTTATCATCGAGGTGGTTTTATACAGAGTCTTCAACAATAAATGTATCATACAGGAATAAATTAACATCATTAGTTGACTAAAAGTAACAGTATAATAACTTTAGGAATACGTAGTAAATATTTGGATTATATTTTTGAAATTGAAATACTTGCTAACAAGGCTCAAGTTTATATCCTTCCCAATTACGACATCTATAAGACAACTCTATATCTGATTACAACGATAAGAGTTTACTGAAGAACTTTGTTAATGTTAAATATTTGTTGATATTTCTAAAGTCTAACACGTTGGCTCCTCAGTCAAATTTCAGGATTCTGTTCTGTGTTACCATATGAATCACCGGTGATACGTTCGGTTGGGGTCCCTTGTACCCTTTGTATCACTGGTTTTATTGAGCATTGTTTATTGCAACTGTTATATTTATAAATTTATTTTAACAAAAAAAAAAATACAATGTACAAACGTTTAGGACTTTTAGTAATAGGATAAAATTTAAGTCAAAACTACTTGGAAATGGAAAACTTCAGACTTTCTTTTATGATCCAAGAGGATATAGTCAAATTATGATACACATTGTAGTCAAGGTGTTTGAGTTCGGAATTATCGCTTGCATTTTTTTTTTATTTATATCTCGAAGGGTATATGGTGCCAAGATTACAGGTAAGCCCACAAATTTGGTACCCAAATTACGCCCGCCAGTTATTCCAGATTCAAAGACACTTTTCAAACTATCTTTCCACTTAGTAATGTAAGTACATATTTACTTTAATTTGTATCGATCAAAATTTAGATATATAGAGACAAACTGCTATTTATTTTCCAATAGCTTTTTCTTTTTTTAGATTATCAAATGGGGGATTCCATATATAACTGTTGCCATGTGTATTAGCTAAATTCTAATCATACATGACAAATTATTAGAATTTTAAGTTTATTATTATGCAAGCGACTTTTAAATAAACATAATATAAATAAAAAAATACCTAATCGTGCCAAAAAAAAACCAATCGTGTAGTAAAAATGCTGTAGGAAACCTATAATCGAAATGCAAAAAATTGTCTTTTTTGCACAACTTTTTCAGTAAATTTAATTCCCTACCTACCCATTATATTTCATTAAAATGTTAGATGAGTGACCTATTCTTGTATCTGCTAGCATCACCCTTCCAATATACCTCCTGAAAACTAACGGATAAGATATACGACTGTGTATATTTATTTATAGTGTTTTATATAGGCAGTTTATTTTAAAGCACATTCTTATTCGATGTATGCTCTAATTATTTAAAGGAATGAGAAGCTCTCTTGAAAAAATAACTTTAAGACGCAAACTTCTGTCACCTGTTGAGTTTTCAATTTTGTGTCTGCATGACAAAAAATACATGTGTGTTCTACCTACTCGCTTAATTAAATATACGCACAGCATAGGCGTCCTACAATTAACAGGGCATTTTCCTCAATGAACATAAAAAGTTTAAAACTTAAGTAATAATACTTGGGGAACATCTCTAATCAATACCAGGTGCGTTCACAGGTGGCCGATAGCAGATTATCCTAAAACCGCCTGATAGGTGGTAAATAAAATATTCCCCTTTTAGGCCAAGAGGATTGTACTTATACCTCCTATGGGCCGAAATCACTCAAATAAAATAGATCCAGGCCTGGGAGCACCTGCAGCTTGTCTGACAAAGGTCTTACTATATAATATATTTATTTACCTTAATTTTAAATGTATAACAAGACATTTTAAGTATTCAAAATGTATGAAACACATTTTATAACTAATCTGACCGAACTCATCTCTGGGGAAGCACTGAATGTTACTTTGTGAATATCCTATGGTATAAAACATTTTGTTGGGTTACAAATATGTTTTGTTCCATATAGGTACTTAAGAATGTGTTAAATCTAGTTTGTGTAATTGTTTTAAGAATAATCCCCTGATGTTCTGTTTAAACCAAAAGTATTTTCAATTAAGTAAAGAGTTATTTTTAATACAGACTTGTCTGTTTTAGCACCCTTATCAAATTTATGTGTGCCGCCTCTGGAACTTTGCGGGGTAAATTTTCGTTTTAAACCCAAAGTATAATGAATTAGTTTTTTATTGATGAAGTTAAACTTGAATGCCTTCTTGTATATTAATCCTACTTTTGTTAACTGCAAGGTGTTGACAAAAAAAGTATTTTTAAATCTGAACTATAAAGTTTTAAAAAGCATCAATAATTGAATTAAATTTTTTAAGCGAAAAAAATCACCGCCTCCGCCCGAAAATTGTCAATTGTTATTTTCGTTGGCATCTGGTGAAAGTAATACATATTCCAGGTGCAAATTATTGTGATTTTTATTGTTATGCAAATCTTGTCGATGTCCATGAGATATTTTCCAAAAATGAATGCTGCCATCCAAATAAAGTAAGCAAAAATTTGCAATATGAATAGTTAATGGAATCATTGGGGATAAAAGTATTACAGATGCATGAACAATTTGTATTCATTGACCTTACAAAACCAACTTAATAAAAGTCCACATATGGCAGCACTGTGATGACATTGGATTTACAAATGGAAATAAAAACACCTATATAAATAACTTATAATTTTATTTATCCATTTGATCTACAAAAAAAAATTAGCGTGACACAGAGCATCTGGTCTTAAAATGTTTTTTATTATTTGCTATGAAATATTTCGATAGGAACCTCATTTTTATTTACAGATCCAAGTGGGTAGAGAGTAACAACAGAAAATTTAAGTAAAAAAATAATTTATTAACACAAATTTTATAATACTAAAAAAATTTACAAATTCTACAATGTCAATATAAAGTAACAATATATTTATTTACATTATTTTGTCCTTCCACTGATACAGACAATTTGGCCAAATTTATCTAGTACAATGTAAAACTTTATCCTTAACAGTATGGTCTTCAAGAGCAACATTTCTCAAACCCTAGTCAGCTCATATAAAATTACATTAGTATTAATAATAAATAAGATATTTTACAACTGGGTTCATAATTTTCATGTACATAAAAAGCTGAGCTGCAAGAATGTTACGATTGAAAAACAAGACCCCACTATGAAGGGACCTTCAGCACACCTCTGACACCACTGGGAAAAATCTAACAAAGTCATGGCAGTCGTTTTCAATTATAGAAACTTAAAAGTTCAATGTAGGTACCAATAAAAAATACTCAATTCTATTTGGATGGAACTCTAAAATTTAGATTTGAAAAGTTTATTAACAGACTTTTCGATTCAAATACAAAATAAATATCTTAAAAAAAATATCACAGATGACAGTAACAATACTAATGCCATAATATTCTTCTCGACCTGTAGGAATTATATATTTATTGCAAGTAATTATAAATGGATAATCCTGATCACTTTTTTATTGATATAAGTGGTCCCCAGCTGTCAAAAGTTTGAGAAACACTGACCTAGAGAAAGCTATTTTTATATACATAAATTACAAGAGCTTAAATACAATAACATTCACATATTGTACTAAAACGTACAACTCACAAATGATAAATTAATTCTAATTAGGTAAAGTATCATAGAGAATATCTTTAGCTGATTGTGACAGATGTTCTGGGAATTTAATATCAAAAGTAACTATTAAGTCACCCTTGCGTGTTGGTTCCTTGGGCAGAGGTAGACCATATCCTTGAATACGTCTGACTGTATTTGGTTTGATGATTTCATTTGTATAGTGTAATGGTATGGACTTCCCTGACATTGTTGGCACTTCAATGGTGCAACCACATAATGCCTGTAACAAAAAATAATATATAAGTAAAAGTTCCACAAAACATTTAATAACTTGAAACTTTCAAAATCTGATATCTAAAAATAGTGTCAATAGTATTTTTAGATCTTCACGTCAGAGTAGGTCAAGTAATACTGACTATAATTAGATTTTTAACAAAATCTCGAATTTTATATAAAAATTAATGCAACTTTTTGAGTTAAAAAATTATGAATATATTAATGCTAGATAAAATATTTTACCTGTTTGAGTGATATTTTGGCTGTGTACTTGATATCACTGCCTTCTCTTTTGAACAGGGGATGAGGTTTGTCCCTGATTATGAACACTATGTCTGCAGGTATTTTATTGCGTCCTTGGTCACCCTCTTTTTGGAATGTAATTTTTGTGCCAGACTTCCATCCAGGTTTCACATTAATGGTCAGGACTTTGTCTTCCTTTTTCGTTGTACCATCCGATTGTAACACTTTCCTGCTGATTTTCATCTTCTTCTGGCATCCCTTAGTGATGTCTTCTAGTGAAACGTACAGGTCGTGCTCTATAGGAGGATCTTGTATTTTGTCTTTATTCCTATTAGGGCTATTGTGGAAATTGAACGAATGGCTTCGAAATGCACCTCCGGGGCCGGCTCTCGGAGGACCACCAACACCAAGTGATACAAACGGATCGTCAACGTCCATATCGTCGTCGTGCATCCCTCCAAACATGCCACGATTACCACCAAAGTCAAAGAATGCTGAAAACGGACTTGAATTTCCAAAGAACTGTGCGAAAGTTGCCCTTGGATCGCCGTGGAAGGTATACGATGAGAAGTTACCACCTGTTCCGTTCCCTGTGCCTCCAGGAATACCTCCCTTCAGTCCTTCTTCACCGTAGGCATCGTAGATGTCACGTTTTTTCTTATCTGAAAGCACTTCATAGGCTTCAGCAACTTCTTTAAATTTTTCCTCGGCTCCTGGAGTTTTGTTCTTGTCTGGGTGATATTTTAGAGCCAATTTACGATAGGCTTTCTTGATGTCATCGTCGCTGGCACCTTTTTGTAACCCCAATATTTTATAATAATCCTTTCCCATTTTGAAAAACACTATTTTTCACTAAACTGTCTGATGTTTTTGCACAGATGTTTGTTCAAAATTGTTCCAAATCACTATATACCAAATATGTGAATTCACTATCTCGCGTCTACTCAATTTCAGTTTCAATCGCTCACTCCCATGCGCGGAGGTCTTCACTCCTTATATATTTAAAGGTTAAATTCGAGAATATTCACGACTATTCTGGAAGGTACTGGAAGTTCATCGGCGTCTCATTTGAAAGGTCTAGATTAACCGCGACTAAATAATTATAATCGTCCTAAATCGAGTGTTAAAATTTCGAGTGTGCCAAATATTTCTCTGCTTAGACTATTCTGCTAGTTTCTGTTCGCTGAAAACCGTATGGCAAGTAGCGAAAACTATTTGTTGGTAATTAAAAAATATTTAATTCTACAGCACTGGTAAAGCGCACGACTACCGTTCTTCTGACTGACGTTCTAATCACGGGCGGGAACTTTAAATAACTTTGCAAAGTGCGTGGGATAATACAATCATATTATTTTATAAATTTCTAGATAGTTCAGCAAAAATATTTTTTAGCGCTTTTTCTAAAGTTGTAAGATTTCATTGACTAAGAAAACATTGTGGTGAAAATAAAATAGGTAAACACCTATCTTCCGATGTGTGCATCATTTTTTTTAGGAAAACAACCATACCTATTAGAGGGGCTCTTGTTTTTCAACTTTCTAAAAGTTTAGTTCCTTCCCCCCTATCTTGCGGATTCAATTAATAAATATAGGAAGTTACAATCTGTGCAAAATTTTCTATGATTTTACCTCGCGACTTGACCCTCATCGACCTTGAAGTTTTGACATTTATGCCCGAAAGCCTTGTCTGTGCGGAAAGTCATTTTTTTAAATAAACAATTATTTTTTAGTTTAGTTGGAATCACGTGTAAGTACTACACTAGTCATAGAGGATAGATAACATAACAAAGGTATATACAGTATGGAGTAAAGAAGAAAGAATCTAGCAAGGATAGTTGGAGGACAAACTCAGAATCATGGAGAATCTCAAAAAGTGTCCACCATGAAAAATAAACAAAATATGAAAATAAATAATAATTGTGTTTCAGAAAGTCTCCAGAATAGCGCTGGTGTACTACAGTGTGTGGTCCAATGCTATATACTTATATAGATTGCTCATTCAAATATAAATCAGTCGACGAAAAAAAGCAAGTTTCATCACAAAGCACATAGAGATTCGACGTGAATGACAAAGGTCAAAACCGATAACTGATATTTCTTATGCTTTTTACTTCAAACACTAGATGGGGCTACTGGTGAAATTGTTTATTTTCCTCCATTTTGCCTGTTGCCGACTGGTAAACGCACCCATTTTCTGAAGTGACGTAGCTCAGTGCTACACTGTCGATGCAAAGGAAAAGACCTATTATTGGAGTGATTATCCACTCCAAAGTCCTGTCCAAATGGTTTGTGATGTGAAGTTAGAATCGGAGTAAAAGGAGTTCCTTTCCCGAACTCAGCTTTTAAACTGGTGTTGATTGACAGTATTGACACTTGTGAGTTGTGATTGATATTTGACATTTCTAAATTTGTACACCACGGACACCACCTACTTCTTGGTTAATCATTTAATTTAAAGATTAAAAAGTTTTTAATGGGGAGCGGCTGTTCTGCTTAATTAATTCGTATATAAGTATTAACTCTTAAAATCTCAAATGGATCTAAATATGTCTGTGTTTCAAGAGCCCCGTGGGGTTATGAGAATTCTTCACTTTGTAAGTAAACTGTTTAAATACTGCATGAAGTGAAGCATTAATTTTATTTATTAAATTTCAGATTTTTTCTATCTGTGCCTTTGCGACTATAACAGTATATTCTGGTTACATTAAATATGGTTGTTCAAACCAAGATCATTTAAAGTACTTTAGCTATCCATTTGAATTTGTTTTGATGGAAAATATCTCATCTAAATGCAACATTTCTGTTCTGGGAGATTTTTCTTCTGATGCCAAATTTTTTGTTTCAACTGGTGTATTAGCAATGCTGTATTCTTTAGCTGTTATCATTATATATACAAAATTTGACGAAATGTACAAAAGCAATACAAAGCTACCTCTCTATGTAAGAATAATTTAAATCTTAATTCAATCACTCACTAATAGTATTTTATATAAGCTGTTTTTTAGGATTTTTTGATAACTGTTGTATTTGGAGTATTGTGGTTATCCAGCAGTGCAGCTTGGGCCAATGGTTTGACTGGATTGAAAAGTGAAACCAATCCAATATTAGATTCATTATTATGTAAAGATTGTCAAGCAATAAGTAGTAATTTTTCTACTTTGAACATATCTGTAGTAAGTAGTCAATTTTTTAATTCTATAATGTCCATTCATTATTTTAAAATACTGGCATGAAATAATAAATAATCCCATTAGTTTTTGGTACATTATAATCTATAAAAGTATAAACAATTATTAATAGTAAATTGTAATAAATATTAAAATCAATCTCAATGGTAATATCTTCTATACATTTTTAAATTATCATTCTTCAGATATATGTAATTTCACTGTCTGTAAATAATTTTAAACTTCTTACCTTATTTGTGTATGTGTCAGTATAATGTATATATTTTGGGTATCTAATCTTTGTTTTTGTTTAATATTTACTTGCTACAAACATTTTGTGATTTGTAAAGTAGTTAAATATCTATATATGTCTCAATAAGCCACATTAGTGCCCTATTGAAACTGACAAGAGTTATATATGTACAAATGAACAAATATTTTGAGTGTACTGTTACTATCAGTTTCAATGAGCCGAAAGATCTATAAGTAGCTAGTTATATGCTGATTCCTATTAGCATACCTACTAGCCAAATTTTGAATTACTAGATTTTTTATAATCTCAGTTCAAACAAAAATACATTCATGGTCTGTTATTAGTTATAATTATCATTTATTAATAACAACATTAATTTCCCTTTAGTTTGCCCCCTTATGATTGAACTTATTTGTTACTTATGTTTTTAATTTTTAACTTTTATTAGTTTAATATTACAAGTTATACTTCATACCTAGACATTGTAACTCTCTTCCTCAGCAAGTTTTTCCTGATTCTTCCAAAACCCAATCCTTTAACACCTGTATTAAGTTATTTTTGCTTTCCCAGAAAACATCTCTGGTACATTGGTTTTTAGAACACCAATCCATAAAAGTTGATTGTTTATTTTGACACTAAAAATGTATTATTTTAGATCTTTGGCTTTTTGAACTTCTTCTTATGGGCAGCGGATTTGTGGTTTGTTTACAAAGAAACGTCCTGGTTCCAAGGAGGTCAGAGGCAAGGAGTTGATGGGGTTTAAAGTGCAGAAGTATTTTAGAATTTGTTCAGATTGAACTAGTCGATATTGCACAACTCTTGTTATGGGCTATTTGATTTTGAATTATTAGTTGTGTCATCAAAAGGCCATTTAAGTTAGAATTCGTTTTGTTTTGTTTTTCTTCAATGCAGTAAATGCATGTTTGATTAATATTCATAAACCTTAAATTATAATTATGTTAAAATTTAAAATACTGGTTTCAAATACTGATCCATTTTTTGTTTGATTTTTGTAGTCAAAGGCAATACAATTTAACTCACTAGAAATAAATGTTTCTAAATGTAGGTATTAGTGTACCTTTGCCTTTGTTTTAATTTAAAAAATCAGTATACTTAGAATTATAACAGCTCCCTTAAGGAAATGTCCCATAATATCAATACTCATACTAGATATGAAGAAATTAGAGATCTGCTTAAATTTTCGATGTGCGGAATAGTCATAGTCTATTTCCAAAGATCAATGAATTTGACTTACATATTGTGATCCTGCAAGGACTCTTATTCTTATTAAGATCAACTGCAAAAAAAAATGTTTAATTGTAATTATTTGTGAATATTGTGTATTATAGCTCAAGAATAAGTGTCCTGAATTATATTTTTTTTGTTTTTAAGTTCTTTAGGATTTTTTATACTACCTTTTATATGTATAATATTATTCCAGCCAGTTTTATTAATAAGATTAACTAATCTTAATAGTTGCTTTTTTGTTGACATCTAAACATAGTTTTTGCGGAATTTTCATGCCAATTTGGGTTTTTATTTCTACATTATAGAGTATTTAATTATGATTTAGCCTTTTTTGGTAATTATTACATTTAGTTTATTAAGTTGTTTTTATGATGTTATTAAAATTTGTTTTAGATTCTTAATTCATGCATATCATAAAGCTTTTCCTTATTGTTATTCATCACTTGTTTTTTTTTTATTGCTTGCTAATATTTATTTTGAATCTCCAATAAAACATTTTGGTTTCTGGTTTGCTGTGCGATTTTTTTTAATTGATAATTTTTAGGGTACGGAGTACTTTTTTCTGTTTGGGTTCTTTTAGGTTACAGAAATTGCTCTAGACAAATACAAAAATTGTCATACAAAATTAAAAAAAAAAAAAAAATGGAAGATATTCCAATTTTGTACAAGCAATTTGTAAGTATATTAATTAGTGAAAATGGATAATATATTATTGATTTAGGGAATAATTAAGCTACCATTTTGGAAAAATTACTTTTTTAAGTTGCTCCGATCCCTGTTTGATTTTCTGTTTGTTAAAAAAACATTGCAAGTACACATATCTCTAGATGTATGTAAAATGATTTAAAATATTTATATATTTTCTATGTATCCTGAACGGTCTTTAAACGATTAACAATAATGACAATATTTGAATTAATAATGTATTTGCTTTACAAAGTGTGAAGTAGACATGTAATATTGTTACTACATATTTTTGATGCATTGTCCCAAATATATTTATTTTGGGTTGTTAACTTTTAATTATTTATTGTCAGTATTGGATAATATTAAAGACCTGCTCAACCCACCAATTTCTTATACATTTTTATAAAATTAATAATCAAAACATAATTTATATATCCATATGTATTTCAGATTTATTTATTAAAAGAATTCAAATTTGTGTGCATTTTTAAAAATGGAAGTGTACAAAAAAACAAATTGAATAAAAATAACAAAAATGAAGGTTTGTTGAAAATGTATCAGTTATGAGGAAGTCTACACAGAATAGAATGAATAAAAAATGTGCTCAATGAACTTTTTCCATTTAAATTTTGATATGCTTTCCTGTGTATATACCTTAGTAGGTACCTACTAATATAAAATGCACTATTTTTGATTGTATAGTTGGTTTTGGTACAAAAATGACTGCATGAATGATATATAATTTTTGTATAAACTTGTCTTCCCACAGATCGTTTTCCAGTTGTTTCTTTCGCGTATCTTCTCAGCTCAAATCATTAGACTGGACTAATCAATAATTTCCAGATTCTAAATAATTACAGTAACATAAAGCTTAATGTGTTTATACCGTATTTCAATTTTTGAAAGCTTTTTATGTTGTTGAAACAACATCATAAATTCTTGTACTGCCACATAGCATATACATTAGAATAGGGTCTAGACGCGCCATACGAGGTTTCTAAACGCACTCTAACTGATAATCTTCACGAATCTACTGTTGAGATTTTTTTCACAAACGATTTGATTCAATTAGGTTTTATTGTTCGTGTGGTTTAACACCTGATTAATTAATATTTTTTTGATTAATTATTAGTTATTATTGTTTGATTCTGCAGAAGAGGTGCTAAATATGAATTTTAAAATTCAAAAATAAAATCATAATTTTTTTTTAATATTGGAGCAGTCTGAAAATAAGTAATATTATTTATTACTCAAAAACTGTAATGTATGAACAAATAAAGATTTTTGTTATTTTCCATTCCTTATTTTATCAAATAAAAAACTTTATAAAATAACGATGTTTAGTCCCTCATGTGGCAAGTCGTGTTTTTTACTTGCTATTTGTGGTTGGGTACAGGAAAAGGGGCGAACAACATGTACTATGTCCCGGTGTCGTATGACCTGTCAAATTCAAAGTAAAGTTGCTTATCGATGGATTTTTTTGTTTTTTGCTGACAATGAAATTTATGCATCTATAGACGTCTATAACAACAAGAACAATTGTTTTTTGTTTCCAGCCACTTGACCGGATACTAATGAAATTCGGGGTGTAGCTCAGCGCGGTTTTTCTGAACTTAAGATGATATTGCAAGCATTTTTTGTGCCTGCAAAAAGGGTGATATAAAAAAATTGTAACTTTGAAATAGGTGTAAAATCGGAACTAAAAGCCGAAAAGTGGTTTAATGGCTATCAACTAAGAGTATTGCTCTGAAAGAATTTTTTATTCAGTAGTTTTATCCTATTCACCATTCTCACGACGACTCCCACCACTATAGCATATAGTACATGTTTTTCAGCCTCCTCCCTTTGTACCCTAATACAAAATACAAGCAGCACAGCATGGAAATGAGATGTGGTGTCCATAATGACAGTAACGTAGGTGAAATATCTTAACTATCAATATTTTACAATAAAAATCTGTATATGTAAGTCCAGGTAATAAATATCTGACTTTGTAGTCATGATAAAAATCACGAACCAATCATGTTTTCAAATTATATTTTATAAAAGTAGCCGTAAGATAACAATATAAATTCGCCAAGGCTTGATGTTATGGTATTACCATTATAGATTAAAGGTAAACCTGCGGTTCAAGTCACCGTAGAATGCCTTTGCGTCACAGATATTCACGGACATTCAAAATAACGATGCCTTGTTTAAGTTCAAAATGTGCTGTGATAAAGTTTACCAAGATGAGACACTTCAATTCGTACCGTAAAATATACCTATGATCTTCAACATTTAAACGGGAGTATGCGAACTGTTGTTAATGTTACAACGCTGATATTATTCGTTTCCTGCTAGACTAATCCTAACTCTACAGTTTACACATGCACTTGTGCAAAGCGTACTGAAAAAAGTTTAGTGGCCGATATTGTATATCTGCAATATACTCTGGGACATCGTGAAGATTTTAGTCTTAAAACAGATTAGTAATATAATTTCCTTTAAAAATTCTAAAAAAAACTGGCAGCACTGCTTTGCTGAATTGAACACTGTCAATCGGATAAAATGCGCGTTCCGCGGCGAGATGATGAACTGCAGGTTTTCCCAATAAAATGTAGTTTACCTGACAGTACCAATCACTGATTCTTTTTACAAATTACATAGATGCACTGCCACGTCAATTACATACCATCAAATTATCTAATTTTGTTACCAGATTTTATTATAAGACTCTAGGTGTTCTAACTAGTTTTTGGAGCTCCAAATATCTCGATATTCGTGTAAGCTGAAAGGCAAAATCAACAACTGTAGTAGGTACGCTTCACATCGATCATAAAAATAATATTCGTATTATTTGCTCTTCTAAAGTGGTGGATTAAAATAATATACCAAAATCCACTGGTTAGAACATATTGAGTCTTGTGATTTTATTTTATATGTACTTTTTATCATATGGCAATAAAAAAACTACATCTAATATTAAATATAGTTTTATTTTAAATAAGTTTAACGGCGTGGGGTTATATTGGGTATTTGGCCAACCCTTAGATAAAATCTATAGATATATTATCTAAAGGTTCGTTTAAATTTGGCGATACCATTGGTTGTAAATTTATAGTCCACTAAGAAAATTATAAAAATTTGACATGTTAAAGGCATCAAAAATTGCTGTAAAAACTATTTCAGGCACTAGTATATATACTCATTATAGAGACTACATAAGAAATATTTTATATTTACCTTCCATTTACAAGTCTTAATATGTTCAAAAAACTTAATTTTAACCCTAATAACGCAACCAACATTACATTAAACAGCCGAGTTCTTGTCGTTTTAAGTTCACGTACTTTTTATATACAGTATGTCGCTAATGTATGGAATAAATTCATTATAATGGATGTAGTTGGTTTTTCGAAAAAATGCTCGGACAGGTCAATTTTGTTTAGTCAAAGCGCAATTTTTTAAATAGAATTCAATTTTCCCCCACTTCCCATTTTTGGACAGTGACGTCATTGGCAATTTTTTTAAATAGTAACCCCAATTTTTTTTTCTTGATTTTGTTAGATCTTGCAATTTCCTACTCGGAAACATAATATTTGAAATATCTTACATAACAATTTTTTTTGAATAAAAGTCATTTAAAGATCAGACACATAAATTTTATTTTGAGAACACAATAAATGCATAAAAGATAATTATTTGTAATTAAGTGCTTAATCTAACAAAATAATAATAATAATAATAATAAAAAAAAAGAATTTGTGAAATCGTCATTAAATCTTTTTATTATTATTATTATTATTATTTTTTTAGATGAATCACTTAATTACAAATAATCTTTATTCATTTATTGTGTTTCAAAATAAAATAAAATTTATGTATCTGATCTTTAAATGATTTTTATTCAAAAAAAATTGTTATGTCAGATATTACAAATATTATGTTTCCGAGTAGGAAATTGCAAGATCTATCAAAATCAAGAAAAAAAAATTGGGGTTACTATTTAAAAAAATTGTCAATGACGTCACTGCCCAAAAATGAGAAGTGGGGGAAAATTGAATTCTATTTAAAAAATTGCGCTTTAAGTAAACAAAATTGACCTGTCTGAGCATTCTTTCGAAAAACCAACTACTTCCATTATAATGAATTTATTCCATACATTAGCGACATACTGTAGGTAAGTGGTGACACCTGAAAATAAGTGTTTAAAAACATAATTTGTCAGGTAATAAAAATAATTTTGATATTTCGTTTTTTCTTTTCTATTTTCCCTGGAAAACGCACTGCTGACCTATTTATATCTTTTTTCTACGCCTTATGTGTATTATTTATACTATCCCCAGACTACTAGACGAAAAAGTAGACCATTAAAAATTTTAAACCATATAAAATGTAAAAGCTAGTCTAGCATGGTTTTTGAGTGATGCATTCTGTTTCTATGGAGTGGATTGTTCGTATCGCACTCAGACGATTGAAGCTTCGTCTTCGTTGCACAAATTAATTGGTATTCTGTAACCAAATAAACGAAAATTAGTTTAATTTTTTACGAAGAATGGGCGAAAAATCGAACATCTAGCGCCATCTATCGTACTATTTATTGGTAACAATATTATATCTAATATAGATGTCTGTAAACTTATAAAGACACTCCCAATTTATTTTGATTTAAAATTTAGCGGTAATTTTTTTTTTAAGAAATAAAATATAACGAGTATATCGGAGACGAGTATAAATGTATTTTTAATTAAGCTAGGTGTTTATTAGTATATTGTTAAGTACTATACCTAATGGTAATGGTTGCATATACATATACCTTTTAAGACACGTGGAAGTTGTTCAAGGATAATGATCTCAATATTAACTATTTATAGAACTAAATTAATTTATTTGTATATTTGAAATTCCTCGTCTATGATTAACATTAAACTAATATTTCTGGTTCAATATATCGCTAGATAATTATTAATACAACAATATGTAGTATGTCACACGTGATAATTAAGAGTACCCATTTACTACGAGTTTTAAGTTATTTCGTAACGTAGCATTAATATTCATGATTTAAATCAAATGCTAATTTTATTACAACACCTAAAGAAATTATCGTAAATTTATAATAAAACTCGACGCGTAATAAACCTAATAATATGTTTGTACAACTTACGCGAGACGCGAGTGTAAAAAAGTGCAGTTTATTGAACTAATTTCGGAACCCTACTTCCTACTTCACTCCAAATAAATCAACATAAACAAAAAAAAAAGTAAACAAGCAGAAGGCAAGATTAGGTTATGTTATGTTGTGGCATTTTGATAGATATGCCTTCATGATGTAATCCTTTTAAAGTAATAGAGCGTAAATATTTGTTTGTTGATATTGATAATGAATAAATCTTTTAGATATAATTATTAGGAAAATTATTGTTGAAGACTCGATATTCCAGAAGACTGTCAAATCTGAATATTTTGTTTCATGGTATCAAGCACTTTATTTATATTTAAATATTATTTATGTATAAATTTATCGTGTCTCTGTGATAAAGGTTTAATTATTTTAGGAACGAACTGATATGTGATACGTATTGGCGTAATATAATGGAATTTGATTCCCACAGCCAATGTTCTGGTGAAGGAGTTGAACTATCAATCTCAGGTAAGTTTATTTTGATTTAATTGTACATTATAAAAAAAAAACTCTTATTCTTATTAATACGTATAAGGTTAATTACCTCAAATTAATGCTGACTTCCAGTATGTGATAAATTAAAAAAATAAATCTTAATGATAACAACAGTGTATGTTTTGACTTACTGAATATTATCTTTAAACAATATATTTGAAACTTTAAGAGTATGAACGAAATAACATTCAAAATTCTAGAATCATGGAATATATAAATGTTTCAGAAAATGGGGAAATATACTTGTCGGACTATCCCTTTTTGGAAGACAGGCAACCATCATTTTTGGAGGCAAAAACAGTGTATTTGCTAATGCAAAAGGATATACCAGTATCTAGAACTTCCCGTTTACAGTGGCTCTTAGATCATCTTAATACTATAATCACTCCTAGTCAGACATTAGTAAGTACCATCTTTAATTATTTACCCTTATATGTAGATAGTAACTGTAATAAAAACATATACATGGGTATATTTAGGGTAATCAATTTATTAGAAATAGAAATTATGGTTTTGAGTGAAATATTTTTAGACCTGTCAATACCATAAGATTGCATCAATTTTTTTAAAATAATAAAAATAGGCCATAAGGGCAATGCTCTATTATATAAGGAAGTCTTAGAAACTAAGTCTACATATAAATAAGATAATATTGAAGTAACAGGAAGTATAGCAAATACAATTTTATTTATAATATATTCTGAATCATGATCATTTACTATATACCTATACAGGGTCCCTACTATTTCCTGTGGATAGTATTACTATTTCTTAAACATTACAAATAGAAAGTTGGTTAAATTAGACAAAAGTGCAATTTTGTGCTCATTAAAATAGTGCCAAGAAACCAGGGAGATTCAATATATTGTAAAAAAAAATGAATGAATTTAAAGAAATGACAATTTTCATTTTTAGTCAGATATTTTGAATTTCCTTTAGATATCAAAGGTTTATTGGCATCATTTTAATGAGCACAAATCTGCGCAACTTTTGTCTAATTTAACTACCTTTTAAGAAATAGCAATACTGTCCCTATGAAATAGAAGGAACCCCATATAAAATTTATATTGAGAATGGTTAAATAATTATAAGAACCAATATGTGACCGTAAATGATTGTGATTTTATTTTTCAACTGTGGTAGTTTGGTAACAGTGATTTATCATTATGGCGTCCACAAAAAAATCATTTTTGACAAATAATTAGGATGTCCAGAACTTTAAAAATGGCCACCTGTAGAAACACATAAGTACATACGATTTATATTGATTGGTGCTCTGTTTGGTTAAAAAAGTTAATGTTTTAGTTAGGTATATATTTGTTTTGTTTTTTAATACTTTGGTAACCATTTATAAACACCTACTCTTTTCATTGTAATTTTAATAATTTTCACATTTATCACATGTCAAATTAAATTCTTAATAATTTTATTTTAATAATAATAATAATAATAATACTAATAAAATGTCCAAGTATCTAAATAGGTATAGTAAAGAATTACATGATACATAAAATTAGGAAACCTTAAGGGGTAGTTCACCTATGGTGGTGCTCTTCCACTAAACCCTTATTCTATTTTAAATAACAATATTAATAATTAAAAATACTAATTCTAACTTAAACTAACCTAACTTAAAATAAACATTTAGCATTCCAACGACCTGTCAAAATATAGCTGCCAGAGGGCAGAGCTGGGATATCTAAGGAGGTTTGTAACATAGCCATCCATCTTGAACACTATTTTTATTCAAAATAGTAGTCGCCAAGCCTGCCAATTTAAAAAAAAATGTATAAGCGATTTTTTTAAAAATTACATTTTCATGGTTTTGCCAACTTAAGCTTCTATTTCCGCCCTAGCTTCAGTGACCCCTTCTTCAAATTTTCTAGGTCTATGTCGCAACCCCTTAGATATACCAAAACACGACATGCCATTTTTTGCAGTCAGATGAGGGACTATTAGATTTATTTGTGAAGATTAATTACAAAATATGTTTTAGTAGATCTGATATATTGCTCCTATGTGTATTGATGTTTTGTTTATGTATCTAGTATCATTTTAATTTATCTTGCTTAATTAGTGATTTATTATTAATAATCATAATTAAACTAGATTCTTTGAAGTCTAACAATTACAATAATAAATTAATATGATTTAAAAAATAATTAATTGTTCATAAAAAAGTCCAATCTATTTTTAAACATGTTATCAATGTGGAAGTCTATAACATCATTAGGAAAACTGTTCCATACTTCAAAGACTGTTTGTAAAAAAATATTGTTTGTATTTAGCCCCATAATTTTCTTCTATCAATTTAATTTGATGACCTTATGATGATTTAAAGAAAATAAATAAAATAAATCGGCAATAATAAATAAATAATTGAATTTTAATACACGAAAACTCATGAAATGTCTGTAAATGCGCTTAGGTATACCCGTAGCACGTTTTTGTACATTTTTTAAAATATTTTGATCACTGGACGCCACACTGGGTCACCATACTCCAACATGGGCCGCAAGTATGTTTCAAATAATAAAATTAAAAGTAACGCAATGAATAAATTTTCCATAAAATAACCTTTCAAATGATGTATTACTTGACCATACTTGTTATTTAAAAAAAATAGGGGGTTGCTGCCGGGTTCCAGGGGGTTGGTTTTCCGGATATGAATTTTATATGACGTGTTTTTTGTTTTTCTTAAATTTATGTAAAATGGAAAGGCTGGTTTTGAACTGAATTGGCACAATTGCAGGTCAGACCAGCTTAAATCGGAATTAAGAGTTATGGACAATCTTTGTTTAAAACTTTACATGGTATTAAAAAGGAACGTTTGATTTTAGGACATATATTTTTGTCTCATTAGTCTTGTGCTGGTGTTATTTCTAATATCCTGTAGATAACAGTTTTATTACAAATAATATTTTTTGTTTTTTTTTTTTAGATTGAATCCTACAATAACCTAGAGATTATATCTGTAATACCCCGAGAGCAAAGCTATGCTATCAAATGCAATAGATATTTAGTAACTTATCGTACTGAAGTTAAATTTATAGCACATAGCTATAGATTTGTTTATTGTTTAGATATGAGTCCGTCACATGCCAATGTAAGCATGCATAAAGATGAAATTTTTTTTGATGTCATTTTGAACTGTTTTAAAGCTAGCATTGATGGACTTTGTAAAGAGGTAATTCATTACTAATTAAATAATTTTTTAATAATATAAAGTAAATATAATTAGAGGTATATTTTTTTTAGTTTTCTGTACCTGGAAATACCACTACTTTTCTACCAAATATTTATTTAACTGTTATTGTTAATACGCCATTTTTTCTAAGTCCCGCGCAACAAGTTTTAGTAAAAGGAGTACAAATTTCACAACGAAATTTACAGGAAATTTTAAAATATGTTGAAAAACAGTTTCATATATTGGAAGAAAAAATTGCTGATGCCTGTTGTGCTGCTTTGGACCAGCTGGATTTTCAAAGAGTACGTGTAACAGCAAAGAGATTCCAAATCACTAATTATCTGGTCACACTTTATTTAAAATTTTGGTTTTCATTTCAGAACCAAAATGAGCGTTTAATTGGTGACTTATTTGACATGCCACCAGAAGATGGGAAAATGTATTCCAGAATTCCTATGGTCACACCAGATGTTAATTTTGTAAATATGTTACGTTACTCAATGTTGGCTATTTCACTTCTTCCAGAAAATAGCATAAGTCGTAAGTCATTTTGAATAAAAAATTACATTGTTGTAATAATAAATAAAATTTATCATGGGGTGGTTTATTCTAGCATAAGCTTTCTAAAAATTTCAAGTTGGTATCATTTTTTGTTTTTGACTTATCGTCTGACCAAAAACGTGACATCGGACGGACAGACGGACTTTTTTTAATAGATGTTTAAAATTTTATGAGAATGGTATTTTGGTAAAAAACATTTTTTAAAAATATTGAAAATGTTGGTTTCTCAAAAGTAAACGCCTATAATACTCTTCACAGACTACTGTGTATAATAATGTGAATAATAATGGTGCTAGATTGCTGCCTTGTGGAGTTCCACTACTTAGTGTTAAAATTTGATATCTATGTCCCAGGTATTCAACAAATTAAAATTTATTATTCAAATTAAATTGAAAGAATTTTGTATGCGTTATGTATCAGTTTTGTAAAGATTTTACTAAGTGAATAACCCAAGTTTCTTTTATAATATATCAGTGTTACTGTTTTAAAATTTTAAATAAAACATTATTTGTTTATAATGTATTCAAAAGCAACGTTATCGTTTGGACTGTAATATACTATTCGTGATAATGAAATAAAATGCTTTCCTCTACCGAATTTTTCATGCTAGATAAATTTTATGTCAATGTATACATTTTCACGCGCTCTGATTTTTGAATTTATTAAGTTCATTTTTATAATAAAAAAGTTACATAATGAAATTACTAAAAAAAAAAAAGATATTCACCTAATTCGGTATTTTATTTTTTAATTATAATAAAGTTTACTGTTTCAATTATGATTTAATGTTACATAAACCTATGTTTGATCAAAGACTAAAAATATTTTTTTTACAATAATTAAACATTATAGTATTATACAAAAATCGTAACTACTTAGGTCTTCAAAGAATGCTTTATTTTCAGAGATAACATAATAAAAAATACTTTAGTAAAGGATAAATACATTTTTTTAGATATTCTAGTCATAACGGATGGGGTTGTTGCAATGCCTGATTCCAATATAATGGAATCTTTGTTATTTCAATTACATTATGATAGCATAGCCATATCATTCTTACGAGTCGGTTCTACTTTCCACCCTCATTCTGGTGCTGGATTCGTATCCTATACTGATTTACTTCATTTTTTCGCTTATTCCACTCTGGGTACATGTATGGATAACTTTGTACAAGTTGTAAGTATACCCTATAAGTATTTAGAGTACCAAAGTTTCATAAACATTTTTTTTAGTCGAATAGTCCGTCCACTGAGATGAATGTTTACCACGAAATGTTTTTGTTATGGTCCTTTCATAGCCCGCCTAAATACGCTTGTACAAAAATTTGTGATAGTGACAAATGGGCTCTATCGTAAGTACTTATACCCAGCAAAAAATAATAAGGATTTATTTACTTTATACAGGGTGTTCCATCTCAGACCAGCCACACCGTATATTTCTTATCCCATAGTAATTGGAAAAATTTCCCGAAAAACATTTCATGTGATAAAACAATTCATTTTTTTAAGAATGTGATTTTTTCATACACCGTTGTAAAGAGGCTTCCAACACCTTACAAATGAAGTATCACTCAACTCCTTTCCCCCAAAGAAAATCATCTACGTGTTTTCCAATTACTATGGGATAAGAAATATACGGGGTGGCTCGTCTGAGATGGAACACCCTGTATACACATTTATTTCAGAAATGAAACTTTCTGTACTCATAAAATGCCATCTCTTCTCTCCAAAAGGCAAACGGATGATAATACCAGTGCTTCCATTTTACTTTTATTGTCACGACGTATCAGAGAAGGCTTCACAATAGATGTAAGTTATAATTTTATAGTAAAATAGGAAATAGGTGAATTACACATTGATATTAACTAAAAATAACAGAGGATCTAATATACTTCCCTGTGGAACACCTTTGATTTGATTAATTTCTTCTGATAAAATGTTATTTACTTTCAACCTTTGTTTCCTGTTACAAATCTACCGCGTTGTAAAATTGGCCGGGCCTCATAAATTGTATTACTTTGAAAATTAATTCTATTTTATTAAAGAAACAATTAAATCTTTCTTGTTTTCAAAACTTTATTCTTTATAGTCCACCCAGTGGAAGTGTTATTTAAAGAAACTCATTTTCTGAAGATTTTATGCATATTTATATATTTTTTAGAACATATTTTTTATCGATGGCAATTTAGAAATTAAATTATTGCTCCAGTGGAAATGTTCTATATACATTCATTACAAAGTCAGAGCACAGTGGCCCATCTTAAAAAATATAACACATTTTGAAGTAAACATATCAGGTGAGTCAAGTATTTCAAATTCTCTTCTCGAAAATAATAATTATTTTACTTTTGCAGCCCCGTATGAATTCCTTCATGATATCACGTGTTTGGTAAAAAAGGATACGAAATCCGTGTATAGACAAGCCATTATACAGAGATTTTGGATAAGACTGTCTCAATTATCTTCTGGCGATTTAGGGCTAGCTCAACAATTAAGTTCCTTCCAAAGTAATAAAGACTGGTATACTTTGCCAGAGAGTGTACGAAACGGCATACCTGTTTATGTTTTGAACAATTCTAGTTGTTCAGATGCTACAAGACTAATTTTGTCACCAAGGTAAGTTCCAAAATGCAATTTCTTCCAGTTTTTTAGCCTTTATCTTTACTACTTCCTCTACTGAATTTCAAGCCTACTACAAAACTACTTATTTATTTATTTTAGTGATGTATCAAGTTTAAAATTTATTAACATGTGGCAACCCCTCTGCCAAATGGAAACAAACAATTGGAGAAAATGGTTTCATGTGCATAAATTTTCCCTTATATTGCAACATGACAATCCTCTTCCGAAGTACTTACATTTATCGAATTCGTCACAAAGATACCAAGTAAGTATAAAAAATATATAGGGTTGGGTATAATTGGCGGAACACCAATATCACAGACAAATCTTCTATTCTATACATTTTTACGATTTTTTTAGGTTGTTCAATGTCGTCAAGCGGCCACAGCATTATATGGTTTGTTGGCAGAATGGGCTTCATTCGTTTTAATAGATAATCATACATACTTAAAATTACTGTACAAAGAAAATGATAAACCTCCAATTTGGTTTTGTATGGTTAGAATATCTTCAAAATTTCCCTGCGCAGTTCTTAATATTGCGTTTACAACTGGGACACCAGGACACACAAGACATGAGGTAGGAAAAATTTATTTTAGGTAAAAAAAATATTTTCTTTTATATATTTTTAGGTTTGTGAAGAGCTGAAACAAGAAGTATCAGCTTTAAGTTATCTATCAAGTCCCCAAACAATTAAAGAAAAATATTGTTGTATAATGTTGCAAAAACCGCTAGAAAAGATTCTCATTAGGTACAAATAGTAATAGATTTGGTTTTTTTTTGATGTTGTAAATTTTAATAATAATTTTAGGTATGAAAAGATACCAAACAGTTATTCAACAGTAATTTTTCCCGATGGTACACAACCTCCAAATTCATGTTTACATTACCCACCTGTATCAGGAACTTTATTTACCACCCTGTCAAGGTACCTGTTTCATAAGCGCTGGATATGGAGTGCTACCCTTTCTTCAAATCCTAGATTGCCAGACAAATCAATAGCTAGAATACTAAATACCCTTACCAGGTAAATATTAAATTCGACTTAGAACTCAGAAAAATCGGTTTTTCCGAATTCAAGTCGGACAAATCGATTTTTCAGAGTTCTTAATCGAAGCGAAGATTAAGAACTTAGAACTTAGAACTGGGAAAAATAAATAATTCCAACTTAGAACTCGGAAACATCGATTATTCCGAGTTAAAAAAAATAAAAAAAGTTGATGATGTATTTGTTTTAGGATGAGAATTAAAGAAGGTTTTAGCTTTGCCCATTCGGCATCTGGAATCATAACCATGGTATTAGAAGTCGCGATGGAACCATCTGCTACATGCATATTACAATATGTCCTTTTTCCTCCACATTGCGCTAACATATGTGATGAATTTTATAGTGGTTCAGATGAAGACAACGACCAATCATCTGATATAGAAGCTGAGCTGCAGATGGTAACTGAGGTTTGGATCGAACCTCAGTTCGGTACTGTAGTTCCAAATAATCCTAGGATCTCATATGCCGATAACAAACATTATTTTGAGCTGGCCGATGCGGTAAAAAGAATATTATTACCAGTAGAGATACTCTCGCTGATGGTTCTTTTATTTTAGATTTATACAGTCGATTGCCAATGCATAAGCACTCTATTGACCATGGAACACCTCAATATCATGTGCCAAGAGAGAGAGCAGATGGAAGATAACAATTTTAACGCTTACAGCTTTATAAGTTCTAGTTCAAGAAAAAGTTTTTCTCGTAGAAGTAGCAGAAATAGTTATTTAGACTCCCCAGTACCTGACAGGGGATCAGTTTTTACCAACACAGTTTATAGGTATAACTCACACAATGTGAAATATTATTAATGTTAGAGCATTTTTTAATCTATAATAAAATGTGATATAAAAACACTCCAATGTAAGACATTTTTAAAGGAAAAAAGACTTTAAATTAAATATTTTTATATGTTCTATAATCTTAACTGTAGAATCTAGGCTATTCAGCAAGATTTTTGTTTTAGAACTCAATGGTATCCCATAATTTCACCAAGAATAGAACACATTCCATTTAAATTCGACCCGATCAGCATCCTGCACTTATGTCAACAAACCGAACTGATGTTTTCCATGTTTACTGAGACGAAGGAAAAGAGATCCTTAAACGATAATAATGTAGATAAGGCCAATAGGCTATTATTAGAAAATATCTTAGATCATTTATCATTACTTCACGATCACGAATTAGAACTAAATAAAGAAGATTCTGATAGATTTACTCAAGAAATTTTACTTAGGCATAAGAATAAACCTCCCCATGTTTGCCCAATATCCGAAGGACTTTCCTATCAGGGTAAGTTTATAATGTAACTATATTAGCAATAGCATTTAATAGATTTATAATAACATACATTTTAGAAAATTCACAACAAAACGATGAAAAGACTGGCTCTCAATGGCGGTGTTTCATAAAGGGCATATCAGTAACCCATGTAATAATAACTTTCGTTGCATCCTCCCTTGATGTTCTCAAATCGCTGCTCTCTTCTGATAGTACAAACATTCCAAGCTTGAACCAAAGCATCGACAGTGTAGATAGATCCCCTAGTAGAGAAAGTAACTACAGCGATGTTCCTATTAATACTCTAAACGCCTTATGTTTGCCAATTTATGTGTTTGATAGCCCCTTAGCTAGATTAGTGAATGGTTATGTTGATAGTTGTGAAGAAAACTCACCGCCTAAGGAAGACGTTTATGAAGATCATCGGTTCAAAATGAATAATTTCATCCAAGAAGAGTATATCAAGTAAGTAATATAGTTTATTCATTGTAAGCAGAATTTACTGGGTGTAAAGACACAATGACATGAAATAGATGAAGAATGGTATAATTTTCTGTTTGTATATGTTTAGGTTTGACAGTCGAATCTACGGAGATGTAGAAGAAACACAAAATATTTTTTATTTTTTTTTTCTATTTAGAACTCGGAAAACCCTTTTTTTCCAACTTAGAACTTGGAAACATCGAATTTTTGACTTAGAACTTGGAAAAATAAATTATTCTGACTTAGAATGTCATGAAAAAAAAAAAAAAAGAAAATGTCCTCTAAAAGTTTGTGCGATTTTTCCTTTAAAAGTTAGACTTTCAATTTTCCGCGCCTGTTTTTTGAGCACGTCGAATACTAATTTTTTATTTTAACTCAAAATACCTTGAAAAATCTTCCCTTTGGGTATTTTGGTCTGGAAAAGCCGAAAATGACCTCTACAATTTTCTAGGGCTTCTCAGTTTTCTCGTAGGGCTCCAAAATCGCTCAAAAACCCACTTTCGGCCCCATATCTCGGTGCACATGAGCCCTATCCGTTTTTTATGGTCATTTTCGTCTTCTCCGGGCCAAAATACCCTATGTTGAATTATTTCAAATTTTTAAATCAAGTAATAAAAATTTCTTTCTAGCGATATTAGGAGCTTCTAAATATTTTTTTATAACTTTTAATAGATTATTCCGACTTAGAATTCGGAAAAATCGATTTATTTGACTTAGAGCTTGGAGAAAAAGATTCTTCAAACTTAGAACTCGGAAAAATAGATTATCCCTACTTAAGAATTCGGAAAAATTGATTATTCCAGATTAGAATTTGGAAAAATTGAGTTTTTCTAACTTAGAACTCGGAAAAATAGATTATTTCGAGTTAGAACACAAACAAATTGATTATTATTACTTATAATTCAGAAAAATAGATTATTCCTACTTAGAACTCGGAAAAATAGACAAATCCGACTTGGAACTCGGAAAATCGAATTTTTCTGACTAAGAACTTGGAATTAGAACCCGGAAAAATCGAATTTAATCAATTATAATGTTATTTATCAACTGCTTATGTGTAAACGTACTGTAGAAATCCGACCATATATTTTTTTCTGGCTTAGAAGTCGGAAAAATAAATTTTTCTGAGTTCTAAGTCGGACAAATCGATTTTTTCGAGTTCTAAGTCGGAATAATCCATTTTTTCAATTTATAAGCCGGAAAAATAAATAATAAAAAATGTGTGGTTCTTCTGGACATTCGTTCAAATCTAATAGATATATTCCCTCTCTTACACCAAAGGCTCGATTTTATTTTTGTCTATTTTTAGATTAAAGTCTGAAGATACGTCTGACGTACCAAAAGTTGTAAGAGAAGAATTTGAAGCGGATTATAATAGCTTAAAACAACACTGTAAAACTTTGGTTACAACACATTCAAAATGTTTTACAACATCCTTGTTTTACGCACTACACATGGGAATTTACCTACATAGCTTTGACGTGCAATCTGCAATGGACCAATGCGAGGAATCTATAACAGAAATAGATATTACGGAATACATGACCACAATTTGCGCGCATGTTAAGCAAACGGATTCCGAAAATATTTCTATAAGAGAATTGAATAATGCTTTACCGTGTGCGGACTTGAAATCTCTACATTCGTTGATCAAAGAAAAATTTTTCAAACTGATTAGCAGTGTTTTTTATCCAATACCTACGAACAGCGAGTTTTATTTCTACAAAAATTTAAAAAACTTTGAAATTATTGATGATAATGTCGTGGATAGTGACGATGAGATTTCCGAAAGCCATTCTGAAATTGTTGAATTTAAATCTGAAGATATAAGCATTTTTTCTGAAGGGCCTCACATTCTTCAAAGACTGGAAAGTGGAGTCAGTGCTATTAGCAATTTTGCCCATAACAACGAAGTTAGCCCTTTGTTTCTTCATCTCATTTGCACGTTAAGGTACAATGGGGGAGAATGCTGTAATACATCTTTAAAAGTATTACCAACGTGTTTAGGTAATTATTGTCTATAAACATTTTATAACAACTTTGCTACCGAAACCATTTTAAGGCCTTCCTTATCTCTGTTTTTAGGAGAATTAATTCAGAACTTGGAAAAACCTACTGAAGACATCGACAAGTCTAATTTACAAGTGACTTTGGATATGCTGTGCCTTACGTTGCCTTCAGATGTTCAAAATATCATTATTGATTACTCGACTCAGGGACTCAGAACCACCTCATTTTCATCCGATTTTCAACCAAGTACAGGAAGTGGAACAACAAATGCAAGCTACAGTTCACAGTAAGTGCAATACTGATTATATTAGGAAAATACTGTTATATTTGTATGTCTCTTCCAGAGTGTCTGAACCGTTAAACAATCTTTCCGAAACACAGAAGAAATCAATGCTAACTCTAAGCGACGAAATAAAATGGCTGCTTTGTGACGAAATATGTACTGCTCTATTAGATAAAGATCCAGTTACCACTGATACTCTAAATTACGTAATGGCCCATGTCAATGAAGGTATAAGCCGCGTGACAACCTCTTGCGTCCAAGATGTTATAAAATTACATTTTGTTTATGCTTCTCCTCATAGCTATGAAAAGTTCGTGGAAGAATTTGCTAATTTGAAACTGCCATACAGTGGCTACAAACTCTGCAAACAAGAAGATCATTATTATCTAGCAAAAGATTCTATTGAAACAAGTGTTGACAGTCGGGAACATAGTGGTTTTATGCAAAGTAGCTTAAGGCATAGTAACTTTGCCCACAACTTGCCTAACGGATTTCTTAATGCTGACTCGCACGAAATCTATAACACTTCTGATGAGCATAATTTTAAGGAACACATTTCTCAGCAAAGTGATATTTCCAGTATCAACGAGAGTGGTCCAGGTACAGATGGAGGTAAGCAAGCTGGACTTATAAAGTTTATGTCTCGTTATTTATGATTATTTTTAGGTTATGATGAAGATGTGAGTGAGGATTATGAAGATTATGATTGGTTAATCACTTTAAACAACAAAAGAATACATCTGCCAAACTTTTGGTTAATTATGAAAGTAGCACAAGACGAGGTTATAATATATTTTCATTGTCGGTGAGTAATATGTGCAATATTAATAAAAAACATATAAGAAATGATCATTTTTTTATTATTTCCTTTGTTTAGCTAGTTTTGCTAATATTACAATATCTGTACCTTAGAGGTAAATAATCATATCTCCAGTTTTGTATTAAGTGGAATGCATTCATTAAAAAACCTAAAGCTTATGTGTTTAGTGATAGAAAATCGTATCTCTATAAGTAGTAGTTTTTGAGATCTCATTTTCTCAAACCCTATAAGATTGGAGATACAATTTTTTACCTCAAAGGTATAGATATACAAATTTAGTAAAAATATATTTGTACATCTTTCTATCAATATTTCGTCATCTGCAAAATTGCGTCCGTATATCGGACGTAGGTTTACAATCCCTGTTTAAAGGCGATCTAAGCTCCGCACATTATTTTTTCATAAAGCACTAATGATAATTGAATCTGCACATTTGGATTTTATTGTTTTTCCGCCAAATCTAACAACGTAGCGTTCAGAAATGCATTATGTAGTAGACGCAAACTGATAGATTATCAAATTTATATTTCTAGTTATATAAAACAGTTAATAGATTGCTTTTGAATCCCGATTGTATTTTAGTACTGTTTATTATGTTCTAAAAAATTAACAATTTGTTCATAAACTACCTTCACAATGATTTTTTCGATACAACTTAACATACTAATAGGCCTTAAATCTGTAGCTTTATTTGTGTTTTTTATCATAGGAACAGGAATTACCGTAGCAATTTTTAAAGCAAATTTAATAGTGGTTCTGAAAGGTTGGACAGTTTTTTAAAATTATAATGTTACACTTTTATTTTTCACCGCAAAAAGAATGTCTCTTAACGAATCCAACCACAGAGGTGGAGGTAATCCAACAAATTTTTGGAATAGAAAATTTTAAATATTTTGAAACTTTCACTGTCAATTCTATAATTTAAATGAAACATTTACAAATAATTTATAGGTTTCTGGAGTTACCAACGATTCAAGTAGGAGTCTATTTGGAGGTCCAAAGAGCAGTTTGTGAAGCAGTCAGAGATCTGTGTAAAAAAATTAATCAGTTACTGTTGTTACAAACACTCTACGAGACCAAGACCTGCGATAATTTATTAGAACCTGATGATAGTAATGATATTATTTGCAACTCGCCAATATCTCGAATTCCATCTTATGGTAGACTTAAGAGCTTTGAATGTAAGTAGTTCAATATGATCATTTTTTTTTTAATTTTCAATTTGGATTTTTTTAATTTGATACCATAGTTTATTTACCAAATGAGTTGGTCTCTTATTTAAAATAATGACTAATAATAGTAAATATTGTAAATAAAAACAATAAGAAATCTTGGTGTTTCTAAATTTTCTCACCATCTTCCCAAATTTCAGTAGCTGAAAACAACGAGGACGGCGATTTAATGGCGTATTCGGCATCTTTATCAGAAGCGTCCTTAAATTTTAAAATTGGAGAATTCAGTTGCCCAGTGGTATGGGAAACCCCATTTATTTTGCATCCAAGATTAAAAACCGGACCTGGAAAGTCGGGAATATCCAGAGGAGTTTTAGCTTTGAAAAACATTCTTGACAAATTTTCGGTTTCAAATAGAACAAACATGTTTGTTTATAGAGATAATCAACACAATGTTTTTTATTTAAGGTAAACATTTCTAAAATTGTATCGGGTAATAGAAAGTAACTTTTTTATTTAAATTTGTAGACTTCAAGAGAATATGCATGGTTCTGGTACAAAATCGTCTTTATTAAGAACTAGCGAATTTGAGAGTAGTATCGTTTCAAGAAGTCCATCTATTGCTTCGCTACCTCACAAATCGACTCTTACTCAGTCTGAACAGAGCATAACTTCAGCCAATTCGGTAAGCATTATTTGTATAATAAATAACCTGAAATTTACCACATAACTATATCAATAATTCTTTATACTTATTTTATTAATTTATATTAATCTGCATAAACGAATATTTAACTTAAAACAGTCCTATTTATATGCAAATAAGGCGGTTCTCGAAGATTCCTGACGTTCCAGACTAGACCAGACTAAAAATCGGCAGCGCTTCCGTTAATTTCTAGAAATATTACGTAAGAGACTGAACAGTTACCTTGACCGACATAGGGGTATCATGGGGCAGTTTCAGAGGCGACTTGTTTCGTCGAATATTTTTAGTTACGGTATCGCAAATTATCTGTTCCATTTTGTTATTTTCCTATAACAACAATAAAATACTTCGGTCTGATCACTTGGACCATTTTCCGACATCTCAGACATTTGAGTGTATTAAATTTCGCAATTTATATAATTATCTAATCTTATCTAGACCGACATACGTCCAAGAGTACGTTCATTCGGAGAGAAAGAGAGTAAAGATACTCCAAATGAAGATACGCTAATTCTGAAAGTCCATGGTATCAATGAGGCTGGTTCGGACGTCCAACATGACTTGGTGCAGGTTCTGCAAAACAGGTTAGATGATGCTGTACTAGAGTTTTTGTCAATAATGTTAGCTAGAAATGCCATGTGTCCCCTAACACCTGAAGATGTCCATTTTATTCAAAGGCCTTTTCGGCCGCCTGAAGTTGTTATAAGGGTAAGATTGAATTAACAGTATTGCAAATTTTTTATAAATTAACATACATTTTCCTAATGGGATCCTTGTTGTGCTTATTAAAATAGGGTACTTTTAAAATGAGTAACAAGATATTAGTTTTTATATTTAAATTATTTGTGTTACATCACTGTTAACTGTTAGTCCAGTGTTTGACAATTTTTGGCTCTGAATTCTTTCGGACTGAACCGATTGACGTGAAATTTGTTCAGAAAGTAAGGTATTGGGCTCAAGGAAAAAAGTCATATAGTGCCGATGTACGCTGTCTCAAGGGTGGAAAATAATAAACGCAAATTGTTAGATTGAAGTATTCTAAGAAAAAAAATTTCTATGCAGTTTTCTCGATAGATGTTAATTTTTCATTAAAAAATGCATGTTTTACAGTGATTTTCCCCGAATAACTTAAGAACCTTACATTTTATCAAAAAAAATCATAAGCAGCAAATGAAATCTTTTAAAAAAATTATTCGATTTGTATTTTTTTATTTCTGTAGATGCAATACGAATGTCTCGTTGAATGTTTGTTAGCTAAAAACTGAATCGGAATGTTTAAAAACGGAAAAAAGACAAATTTTTCTGAGGAAAACTCAGAGATTTCCAAAGTGCAAGGAAAAAATCTTTAAAATCAGTTTCCTTTGAAGTCAGTATGAAAACTAACAGAGTTATCATGAAAATAAAGTGGCTGTCTCGTTTTTCCGGAGAAAAACTCAACAATAAAACCAACAGCTTATCTGCAAGACTTAAAAGTATATGTACTCCATTTAAAATTAACTTTATTTAGGCACTAACAATATATTCTAAAAATCCGAACGGTTTAGAATGGTTTGATTGGAAATGATTTTATTCAATTATTTCTATTTTTTACAATAACCCAAAGAAGATACGGACAAACTTACTTTTTTTAGCTGACAATTCAAGACTTTGCCTTTCATTGGTTGGAATCGTTCATTCATTATCTCAAACAAAACCTTCTGCAGTTTTTGAATGTTCCAAAATATACCGACAATAGACCCCACTCGCATTTCAAAGACTATGCAAAAGCTGAAGAAGGTAGTGAGGATAATATTTTAATTTACAATCAAAGTCAAAACCCTTCATCAGGAAGTCGAGGCATAGCATGTATAGCCTTAGATTTTATAAATGATTCCGAACGATCTAGAGAAGAGGAATTCGAATTTTCAAATATTTTTGAGACTGAAACATTTGATGCAACTGTAACTTCAGAAATTATAAACAACGAAGGTGAGTACTTTTCTATTTTTTGATCTGTTTTTAAGAGAATCTTATATTTTTAGAAATGTTGCCACCATCTTACCTTGAATTTCGACTATGGAAACAAGGACGCGTAAACATTGAAAATTTATCGGAAAAATTAAAATCTGCAGTCTCACAAGCTTCATGGGATATCATAACAGAGTACTATCTTCTAAAAAAATCTCTCTGCGTTCAAAACACTGATGTGGATGAATCCTCAGGAACACCGCCAACTCATTTGGAAAGCAGCAATTTTATTTTCGAAGATGAAATCCACTTTAATTGTATTTTGAACATGAAATCCGATAATAATATTAGACATACGTTAATGGACATAGAGAAACCAAAATTTGTACATATTTTGTCCAAAAAGAAAATAAACAGATACATAATACAACCTACACCTAAAGCTAAAAGATCAATAACATTTGATGACAGCAGTAATAGGCACAAAAAACATCCCAAAGATAAGCTTCTCTCACATAAACCATCTCCGAAAGTTACCCCATACGAAAGCGGCGATAGAGGGGTGCTTTCTACAATCTACTCCAAGTATTTACCAGAGTGGTTGGAATTCGGGCACCACCTGAACACACCCTCGGTCAAAAAACATAAAATAACCCTAGGAAGTCGACACCTGCCAAATATCGTTATAGGAGAACTGATGAATATCTTAAAAGATTTCCCTAAAGCCTTCAGATGCATTCCCACAAACTCCGTTAAAAAGAAAAACGACGGTTTTTATGTTCCTTTCGTAGCTTCAAGTTTGATTCCCAAGTACGTCATCATTTCTAGGAACCTGGATCATTGGCATGCCACAGTGTCTGTTGAAAATACAAGCGACATCCCAGATTTTTTAAGCCCAAATACTTTGAAACATACGCAGAAATTCATTCCTGAAATTACGGGTAATATTTTCATACCAAGACAGAAAATATTGTGGATATCCGTTGAAAATGATAGTGTAAGTTCAGAACCGTATCTAGTATATTTATGTTATATTCAAAAAATTATGAAATATATTTTTAGATCATTATTTACACTTACAATTGGACTAAGGAAAACATTGACAAGTTATACACAAGCTGTTCGAACTTGGGATCTTGGCTGTGTGTTAGATCATGCTTTTTAAATTCTGTTACTTCCCAGAAATTGGGTCTCTTCCATAACCAACCTCTAACAAGAAAAGTATTTGTGAGTATTAAATTTAAACACCAATAAAACATTACATATCTTTTCAATGTAATGCAAGTCAAAGATTTATACCGTGGGTCCTAAACTTATTGCCTAATGTCAGAAATATTCAGAGACTGAGTTTATCTAATAAGAAGTCGATATAATAAATTAGTTATATTGATATATATTTTTAAGAATGAATTAAAATAATTTTAAAATATTACATAAATCTATAAGTTCCTCAGAAGGGCCACAAAATATTTTTTTTATTTTTCCGACTTATAACTCGAAAAAATCGATTTTTCTGACTTAGAACTCGGAAATATCGGTTTTTCTGACTTAGATCTCGGAAAAATCGAATTTTTCTTACTTAGAATTCGACAAAATCGATTATACCGACTTAAAATTCGGAACAAACGATTTTTTTTACTTATAGCTCGGAAAAATAGATTATTCCGACTTGAAACTCGAAAAAATGGATTATTCCGACTTAGAACTCGGAAGAATATATTATTCCGATTATTTATTATTATTTATTAATTCGCTGTATACTTTTTTACACAAAGAGAAAGAGCAGAACATTTCTAAAGAGTCAGACACCGGTGGCATAGTATCTTTTTCTATACCGAAGAATCGACAAAATAAATAATATAATTATGAGACAAAAAGGGGTTAATAACGCTGATTTTCAGATAAATATTCATAGTCGACTGCTGATTGTCGATATATTATTGAAACAAATATTTTTCGAGTTTTAAGTCAGAATAATTATTTTTCCGATTTCTCAGTCGAAAAAAAAATCGATTTTTTTGAGTTCTAAGTCGGACAAATCTATTTTTTCAAGTTCTAAATCGGAATTATCAATTTTTCCGAGTTATAAGTCAGAAAAATAAAAAAATATATGGTGTGGCCTTTCTACTATTATATTATTGATATTATTTTTTAGATGATTCAAAATAATCCGTATGCAAGCCTCTTAGGCAACGTGGAAAGCATGATAAGTTTTCCAAAAGATCATTCACATAAAAGAGTTCAACTTACTTACAATCTGCCAACGACTTTAGAAGCATTTAGAGACAATTTCAGAATTTGCAGACTTGCCTCTATCGATCCCGTGGTCACTTTTACTTCTGAGATGCGGGAGATGAAAAGTATAGAAAAACGCGATAGAGAAGAACTGAAGACTCTTCATGGGATGTATCAAAGCAGAACTAGTACGACAAGTGCGAATCAGTTAATTCTGTTACTACAAAATTCTAGGATTCTGCATTATTGCCATACGCCTTTGCTGTTTTTGCCAAGGTAAATATTTTCTCTGTGCCGTAGCTTATTGTATCATTTTTAGACAGATCTATAATTTTTAGAAGTATCCAAAAATGTAGTTAAAAGCAGAGGAAAATCGATTTGTTCGAGTTCTAAATCGGAATAATCTAGTTATCCGAGTTGTAAGTCCGAAAAATATATTTTTTCCGGGTTGCAAGTCAGGAAAATCGATTTTTCCGAATTCTAAGTCATTATAGTCGATTTTTCCAAGTTTAAAGCCGCAGATTAATCTTTTTTTTTTTTTGAGTTATTAGTCGGAATAATCTATTTTTTCCAGTTCTAAGTCGGAAAAATCTATTTTTCCGAGTTTTAAACCAGATTAATCCATTTTTCTGAGTTCTTAGACGGAATAATCTATTTTTTGTTCATTTTTGTGTCCTTAATAACATGCTAAAATTATGGGGTACCCTGTACATGGCCAAATTATTAAAACAAAAAATATTTATCTAAGAAACTTAATGGCTACTTTACTCCTATTCTGTTAAATCAAAAATGGTCACTTATAATTTTTTTCAAGGTGGCGTCTTAAAACTTTTTCAACCAGGGACCATTCTCTTTATCCTTCTCAGGCTATTCAGTTAGCAGACAAAATGGCGTCTGAAGAAAAGGAAATGTGGCACACAGAGTTGTGTTACGGATTTTTCCAAGAGTATAGACATTACATGCAAACTCTTGGGTTTATACCTCTGCAAATCGATAATACTCATAACAAACCTGGGTAAGATTTTTTATTAGTAGTGTTCTACAAAAAATGTTTCTTCTTGTTTTTAATTAACGGAGCCGCTCGTAGTTATCACGGACGTGCCTCGTATCTTTGTTTTTGTCGATCATTGTCTACTTTAGAAATATTTTTTGTTGAGCACTCTTTATAATTCAAGAAAGTGTAAATATTGGTTCTATTTTACGAGCGGTAATGTTATTTTTTCGTGATTCATAAGAAAATAAACATTAACAGACTTCTAGTTTAACTTTTCATACACAAGTCTAGACCCGGATTTAGATTTTTTAATTCTGTATCTTTCTTAATTTTGAATTTTTTGAAAAAGTTAGGATTCACCCTGTATACATAAACATAATTACTTAATTATAGATGTGCTCTTTTATTTATAACTTTCGATGTAATTTGAAATATTTTAATAGCTGTTTAATAATAATAAAAAAATAAAAAATATTATGCTCTGAATGTATTTATATAAATTAATATAAAATGACAGTTCCTTGAACGCAGTCTCGAATTTAAATTTAATTCGAAAACATTATTTTTAGATTATGGACCAAAGACAAGTCGTCATACAATAACGTATTTTATATTCAGAAAACTATTTTGGGAGGAATTTTGATATTTACTGTAGAATTTTCCGAGCCATTTTTCATGACAAAACTTTTGGCAATCGAATGTAACAGATTACAAAACATTAGCTCCAGAGCATCTATTAACAGGGTAAGCATAAGAAAATAGACTTAGGAAATTAAATGATTTACAACACTTCATAGAATAAGAAGAAAAAAATTGACTTCTTTACTATAACTCAAAAAAAGTTAGTTTAATATAATGTCCTACTCTGATGGACGGCATACCCACACAATATCTCGTACTTATTAAAATAAAATAACTATTTTAAAGATAATTTACAGAAAAATGTGAAATTATGAAAATAAAAAATACCCAATTCCCCTTCGAAATTGTGAAAATAACACCCTTAATCCCCAAAGTGAAAAAAATGAGAATTGAAAATAAAAAATGAGTGCATCGACCAGGAATTAAACCTGGAACCTTCGGATTGTGGCCGTCGCTGCTCTTATCAATGAAGCTATCGATACACATGGTTTTGATATCCAAACTTGTTGATTCGAAATCAAAGATTCCGACTCTCGTCGGCGTAAACACATTCTAATCCCAATCTCAGCTCTCTCAATTCTTTTTAAAGCCACCTCTGTGACATCGTCTAGAAATATGGTAATCTATATGATTATACTATACTAGAACAAGTTTCTAAGATCCTTCATTTGTTCACCAGTGTACCTTTAAATGAATTATTCAAAAAAATAATTGATATTTTTTTATTTTTAGTTTACCTTAAGTTTTCTTGACGAATGTGATAGAGTCAAGATATTAATGCATTTACATTCGTTCACTTATGATTATCACCTGAGATGTATTCACAACTACATATCTGGAAATCCTGTTGTAAACAAAGTTTGTGATGGATACAATGTCCACCAATTTTTGGATGATTTTTTGAAATACTACAACAAAGCACCCAATTTCGCCCGAAATTTAGTTCACACAGGTAATTTGATTTAATAGATTTAATTATTTTAGATATGTAAGCTTTTTATTTGTAATTTTTAGATACTCTCACTATTCAAGACTTAGTCACAGAAGGAAAACAGCTGTTTGACTACCTACTAAGCAATGTATGTCAATATGATTTTAAAGTTGTCGAAATGGATGTCCATGAAGGAGAATCCGAGTATATACTGGTCCAAGTTACCAGTGCACCGCAAGTTTCATACAAGGATTCACAAGACCAGCAGCACACAGATGATTTTGATATAACATTGGTCGTGTACAATCTTTGTACTCCGTATAGCCCAAGAGACAATGTTCTGCATTTGAGATACTACCTTATTTTAACGTCAAAAAGGTGAGTACTAAAAAAAAAGTTAAAGGCCAATTTTGTTAATTCTGAATAAATTTTTATTTAGCTTAAGGCATTCTTTATATAAAAGAAATAATATTTTTTATTCTCTTGGTTCTTACTGCGATGGCTCTTCTAGGTCAGGGTGTCTGGAAGTACTTGTGTAAATGTATTGTTTCTTCCGTATTTATCTTCCATGTCCCGTCTTCTCTTTGGGGGTTTTTAGTGTCCTATGCTGTTTTGTTTTTGCCCTGGTTATATTGTATGCAATGTCCCAGGAATTTTAGGGGTCGTTCCTTATGGATTGTATTTTAGTGGTTTTGATCAAGTTTTTGTATTGTCTTTGTCTTTTTTAAACGGCGATTTTGCGTTCCCTCTTTTGTGCATTGTTTTGTGTCTTTTGCGTCTTTTTAAAGTCTATTCTTGTCAGGTTATTTGTTCTTTTGGATCTGAACTCAAGAGAAAACTATAGTAGTTAAAATGTGGATATAATAGTAGAACAGATCAGTTAGGAATCATCGAGGAACAGCAAATATTAGCAAGGATTCTTACCAAAATTTGAATGCATAAATTGTTTAATTTTTCTTTTAGGGAGATCTTCCCAAAATCGGAAGTTGACGAAAAACTAGGCAAATTCAGAACAGTATCGTCTACAGCTAGAAGCCTATCGGCTTTAGAACGAGACCCTAATGAACTGGAGTCGAGCACTGAAAAAAATCAAATCGAATCAGACATAACGAGTTCATCTGAACTACCGACTGTATCCGTAAACGTGAGCAATGAAACTTTGAATAACGAAAATTCTTCTACCAGTCATCAATCCGGATCTTGGCCTTATGTGGAAATCAATCAGGAATCGGTCAATTATTTAGGATATTATTCGTCGCACGAACAGCTGATGCAACAGTTAATTTTGGATAAAGCTGGAACAACGAAGAGACACATCAGGGAGATGGTAGAGAAAGGTAACATTAAAATAATGTTTAAAGTTTGCTCTGCTGAAAGGCACTAATAAGTTATTATTGTTTCGTGTTTTAAAGCCGTGCATATCTTTATTTTTGTTTTCTCTAACAAAAATTGATAGTTCAAAGTCCAGTTTTACTCTAAATTTCTTTGTGTTGACCATCAAGCCAATAAAAAGAATTGTTTTTAGGAATGGTTCACTGTAGAACACATTTATTGTGGAACAGATTAATCTCTCCCCAAGAATCGAATGCTTTGATCTATGAAGAATTTTTGGAACTCAAGAACTTGGCAAGATTGGAGCACTTGTGCAATCTAAATCCTAATTTAGGTCCGCTATTGAACCAACCGCTGAGCTGGTATCAAAATTTATCGAAATTATTACTATCCCGATACGTGGATCACACTAGAAGTTTCATTTCGCTCGATGGCAATATACAGCATTACGTTATATTACACAAAGAATATTTTAATGCATTTATGTTGTTATCGTTGGATTTGCATACGTCCAGGGGGGTAAGCTGTTGATAAAAACCTATTTAATAAAAATTTTACATAATAGACTGTGATAGTGTGATGGAAAATTGGGATCAAACACTTCTCTAGGAAAAACTTTGCCATATGACAAGGTTTTGTGTAGAAACAAATACAACCACGACTATCACGGTCGATTATACTGCAGTATATTTTTTATAAGAATTTTTAAAAACAATGTTTATTTTAGGAGTTGTATGCGGTATACAGGGAACCTCAGATGCAAGAAGATACAAAGTATTCATTATCATGCCAAAAATCACTTATAGATGAATTTGTAAACTGTATTTGCTTCTTCTTGTGGTCAGGAATGATATGGAACTGATTTTTTTATAGATATAGTTCATGTTGAATTGAAACTTATTTTTAATATTGTACCTACTCGAAATTTTATAAATGATCAAGTCTTATATATTATTGTAATTTTATAATTAATTTCTGTTTTGTTATAATTATTATCTTTATATATCTTAGACCAAACAAATTCTCTTTATTTTTAAATACTGTTACGTTTTACTATAATTGTTTTGTTATTGTTTTTATTTTGAAATCGGAATTTTTAAGAAATTGTTTTTATTACAGCTTGGATTAGCAAAACCTCAGTATACTGTGATATATTTGTACAAATGAAAATATTCCTAGTGCCTCACAATTTAGTGTTCTAAAGTATACTGTCAATTTTTAAATATATTTTATTTTAATATTTGACCATTTTGAGAAAAGTGCCATGTTTTGTGCCAATATTAATTTAAATACATTTTTGAACAAAGCTGTTTGTATTTATTTCCGGAGTACCATAAGTTTCAATTTCGTTGATAAAATTATGGTATCAGGTTAATAGAAGAGCTAGGAGATATTTTAAAAAGGGCGGGTGAATTAAGTTCCTTATTGGTGATTCAAATTGGACGCAAGCTTTAAAAATGAGCCAACTTAAAAAATAAGTCAGGCTTAAAAATAAGCCAAGCTTCAATTGACATTTTGCCATTAACAACAAAGATCCCAGTACCGAAAGTTGCAATTTCGTGTATTATTTTGGTATCAGGATAACGGAAGAGCAAGAAGGCATTTTAAAAAGGGTGGGAAAATTAAGTTACCGAATAATTTAGGGTAACTCGAAATTAAGTATTGTGTTCGAAAATTTATAAAAACGCGTATTTCTTTTTTTTTGCCGTTCCTTTGATCTAAAGCCGTATTTATTTGATTTTTTATTTTTGCTCGCAATAAATTTCGTTTTACCGTAGAAGAACCATTAGTTGCAATATATTTCATTTCTAAAATAAACACATTATTTTAAAACATATATTTATTACGCATAATATATAATTAAATTAAAATATAATGTAATAAAAATTAAATCAAATTAAAACGACAAAAAATCTTAGTTTACAATATTATTAATTTCACTTATTTTCTAAACCTATGCAAAGATATAAAAAAGCATCTTAAAAATTATTAATATATACCTACATGCGTGATTCCAAAGTTGATACTTTTTTAATTGTATATTAAACACTTCAAGACTAATAACAGACCCAGATTTGGATTTTTAACACTATAACTTTCTAAGTTATTTGTTGTTTTTTTTTTTTCAATAACTTCTATAAACAGTTAAAAAGAAGTAATAACTTTGTAAACACAATGAATGTATGTATGAATATTTAAATATAAACGTGTGTGTATTAATATATAATATTATTAATACTTTTTTTCATTTTGTATATTTCTGTTTCATTAATGGCATGCTTTTTTTCAAATATACCCTGTGCTACATTTTCATATATGTCTTTAGTTTGATTATTAGCTGGTATATTTTCAAATGTGTCCCTAGTTTGATTATTGGCTGGTATATTTTCGAATGTGTCTTTAGTTTGATTGTTAGCTGTGATATTTTCATATGTGTCTTTAGTTTGATTATTAGCTGTGATATTTTGATATGTGTCTTTAGTTTGATTATTAGCTGGTATATTTTCAAATGAGTCTTTGGTTTGAATATTAGCTGGTATATTTTCATACGTGTTTTTAATTTGATTATTCTCTGTTACTTCTTGGTTGGAGATTTGAGTAGGTTGATGGTGAATTTTGGGAAAATTGGTAGAAACATCCGTCAAATAATTTTCATAACTGTTCTTTCCTACAAACCCTGACATACCGGCAGATACTTTTCTAAAAAAAAAAAATATTGTTAAAGTTAGTAGACCGTTTTTTGAATATAGCCAAATTTTGGAACAAAATTGTTAAAATTTAGATCAATATTAAAAATTTTGGTTTCTCGAAAGCAAACCTATAATACTCTTCACATACTACTGTGTGAAGATTGTAATAAAATATACTCTTCAGACAGTAGCATGTGAAGATTATTATAGAGGTTTACTTTCGAGAAACCAAAATATTTAACACTGATCTAAATTAAAAATTATTTTTAACAAAATCCTTCTAATCAAATTTTAAACAACTTTTAAAAATGCCTCCGTCCATCCGATGTCATTTTTTTTGCCGCATAATAACTCAAAAACGAAAAATGATATCAACATGAGTTTTTTTAGTTAACAATAAGGGGATGAAGCCTATTGAATTTGAAAAAATCTGAACAAAATTGGGATTTAAATATTTAAAAAAAAATCCTAGCTCGGAAACAAAAACTTGATATCTTAAAGAAAAATCAAGCTCAAAAAGCGGCCTATTTATTTAAATCTCATTAAAAATGGGAGATTGGTTTGCTAAAAATGTGAAGAATATGCCTAGCATTATATATCTTCATTCTAGCTAGTATTTCTGATTAAAAATTAAAATTCGCGATAAGGTAAAAAATAAGTTATATTTCAGATGCCTCTAGAGGTCTTATAATCTTAGAATTTAGAATTCAACTATATAAAATTTTGCTTTATTAATCTGGTATAAAAATTCTACTGATGTTATCCCTAATACCCAGTATAATAATTAAATATTTAATAATTTTAGTTACTGTCTGTTGGTTTAACGGATCTTACCTGACTTCAAAGTACACAGTTGCCTTGCTGCAGTTTTCATAATACCATTCATTGCATATCACCATTTTCTGTTAAAAAAAAAAAATTATTAAATATAAGAGTACATTTATCCTAATTTTCCTTCGCTAGTCCTAGCAATAATTATAATTTATATTCTAATTTCCATTCAACATATTCGAAAAAACACAAATTTGACTGGATAATAATAAATAAATTGGCTGAATAAAATAGATGGATAAAATCGAATCAGAAAAATAAAAGAATAAAGTAAAAATTAAAGCGATATTTGATAAGAAAACCTGAAGGAATTGAATAATGTTATATACATTAGACCAAAATAAAGATTGCTAGTAACGGTAGAGAAATGCAGAAAACAAGATTTATAAACTATTCATAGAAATGTATTTTTATTAGGATTATAATCAATTTTTTTTATATAAATCAGTATAAAAATATTCAACAATTAATGTACATATATCACACTTTCAAATTGTTCTTTATAAAATAAATTAAAAAATACTTACAACTGGTGTGCCTTCAATTTCACATAGGAAGCTTCCCAAAACACCGATAACTAATAGGATCATGTATTGTTTAAACATCATGAAGATAAATTAGAAGTTAACAAACTAATCAGATACTTGAAGTGGTTTGAAAGGAAATGATCTTCTCAATAATTTTCTTCGTCCAGTTAGTGGATTTATATTCTATTTCTCCTACCAATTTTTCTTGTACAGAATGTTGGTTGGATTGCTCGGATATCGCCGTTTTTTTATTTCGAAGTTATCGGAACAAATAATCATAAAATTCATAATGATTTGTCATTAAAAAAAAGAGAAATATTTGTTTTGAATAAGACAGGAATTTTATGAATTTATGAACCAAAATAACTTTTTTTGGGATTTTAAAGAAATTTTACATTCTAAAAATTGTAATATTTATAGTAGAATATATATTTTATTACTAGGAGTTGTAGGTAAACTTTCTTCTTAAGCCATCTAATCGGAAATCCGAGTGAATTTTATTTTTTCTTAATGCCCCGATATAAAAAAAATATATACATATATTAACATCATTCTAACATTTTGACGTCCGTTCATAAAACGGCAATCTCGTGTCACATAGTTCAATAATAATAATAATAATAATACTCTCCCTATTCACCCCCTTACGAGTTAATTTTTAACCCCATAAGCAGAGCTTGATTGACCTTCTGTCAACTGGTTAATGGTAATGACAATAATAGTAGAAGTATCCTGAAAGTCTTTGTAGTTATTTATCAACATGAAGTTAAATGAAACGAATAGAATTATAATTCAAGTAATAATTGGTTGTGGAGAGAAAACAAGGATTCAGAAAGATATAATTTATTTAATGATTAATATCCTAACTGAGAATCAAAACTTCTTAATCTCCGAATTGAACCGGTTATTCCCAAACAGCAATAATCTGTGGCTACAGCAAGATGGTGCGCCTCCACACTATGCGGTCTTGGTGAGAAACTACTTGGACAACGTCTTACAAAATCGGTGGATAGGTAAAAGAAGATCAATAGAATGGCCACCTTGGTCACCAGATTTAACTTGATTTTTATCGGTATACTTGAAAAGTAAAGAGTACCAAAATAGACCAATGAACTCAAAGAGATTGCAAAAATTACATTACATTTTAGTTGAATGACAACTATTTGAGCACCTGATTAAAATTTGGTTGTATTAAATAAATAATATTTTACAAATACATGTATTTAAGATGTAAGTTTCTTGTTTTTTTGATATTTGTTTCTTACTGGTATTAGAAAGAGATCTTTTACATGACCTGTTTTATGTGAAATTGGTTCCCTGTTGGGATATTATTAAATAAATTAAATACTCTGAGCCCTTGTATTATTTAAATTGGTTAGTGTGACATATTACGGCACACAAAGGTCTGTGCATGGAGGAAGGATCTGTGTTACTGTGTTTACATATTCCTCATTTAATCGTCGGATAGGTAGCGTAGGTTTCTAACGCGCTCGTTTGCGAGCAATTTTGTAGTTGGGAGACACATCGACTTCGAATCCTACAGAAGACCATGTGAATTTATTTGCATGGTTCTCTATAGGATTTGATGGATGCCGTATTAGCAGAAATTTAATTTCTGTTGTTATGACATCCGGAGTATAATGGCATGCGTTACTGTTTTGTTAATGGTGGGTGGGGTTTTCCTCACCTGTAGGTCAAATATGGCACCAACAATCACCTTTAAAAGGCGGTTTTATTCTCTATTCAACCGTGCAAAAAAATTTAAAATTTGCTTCATTATTTCTCGACTAATTATTGTTTCAGAACAAATTAACGTAGTGCACTCATCCTTAGAATTAAAATTCGGCCCTGCATGATATCGGTTTTGGTTCAGACGTGAAATAAGACTTTTTGCCATTAGATAATGTCACTGTTAGTTTAGTTGCTTTCCCATTTGTGATGTTTTGTTATTTTTAAACATTAATAAATCAACACGTAATGAAGCAAATTTCAAAATATTTTGCACGGTTGAATAGAGAATAAAACCCCCTTTCAAATGAGCTATCACTCACCATCCCATACCATTTAAATTTTTCGAAAGGGTTGCTCCCCTACTGTAAGGGATGAACTTAAGGGTAAACTATTCATACAAAATGTACATTGTAGCAATAAAAAATCGACGTGTCTCGGCGATTTTCCTAACAAGACTCCAGTAACGAGTTAGTTAGGGGGGTAAGACTTATGATGCTTACTGTATATGTATTGCAACACCCATATTTATTTAATTTTAATGATCTAGAATTTAAAATTTTACTATAGTTTATTAAATTATTTAGTTTTAGTAATGAAACGTTACCTATTCGTTTTTAGTATATATAGTTTTTAAAAAATACATTTTATTTATTTATTAAACTTTATTTAAAATTTTTAGGGAAGAGAAGAAAATGCAGAAATGAAAAACAAAAGCAGATAAAATATATGTAATTCTTCGAAATTTGGAATTCCTACATAATCAAATTAACAATCATCCCAAAAGAAAGTGAAAAATAAAATTCTTTGATAACATGTTGAATAATGACTAACATGGCATTTCGAATTGCGACGAATTACTAACATCTATTATCTGCTTTTTATGTGTTTCTGCGTTTTTCTCTTCAAATTTCCAAAATGACTAAATGTAGGTAAATGGTACATACATCTCTCATTATAATAAAAAAATTGACAAATTATAAAATTTCTTTTTCTTAGAATTATTAAAATAGAAAATACTACGTAGATAATAAAATAAAATATTTTTAAATACGCTTATTTTCCAATACTGACAGGACAACGATATAAAAAAAATGCTATTGAATATATCCAATCCTTGATATCGAAAGGGCGTAGTTAACCCAAATTTTTTTTTTCTGGTTGGTTGGGAATCCATTACGGACACCAGGCATATGGTTCTGCCCATACCTAGTAGTGTGGGACTCCCGGCTAAGGGTACAAGGCCGGTATACCCACTAAAACCACCTCCTTGCTCTATCCTTTTTTTTTAGTTAAACCAAGTTCCTTTTTTCCAAATATATGCGTCTCATATTTATTTTGTTTGATGCATTAGTTAACTGTACAAATACGTAATTACCAGAAAAGCGGGTATATTTTGTATCTTTCGACATAATTCACAGATCGGTAGTGAAGTATCTCTGATTTAACAATCTAGCATGTGGTCTGAATATACCCAAAGTAATAGCAAAAAACTCTATTAAGTTGGTTTTATGAAAGAAAAATTATGCAAGGAATACATTTTTGTAAATCTATCAAATAAATAGAAATGTATTTTATACATTTTTTTCTTCTATTTAAGACTGAATATTAAATGAAATGTAATGTTAAAAACGGTTTTAAAAAATTTGACGAATACTTATTTTATATTATAGTCAAAACGTTGTTACTTTTTTTAATATTTATTTTTCATTTACTAGGACATTTGATTTTTATAATACCTCACTAAAGAAGTTTGAATCCTTTCCGGGTAGGTTGTTCTGATTATAATAGGAACCTAGCTATCCATGGAGGATGGAGTTATTCTTAAAAGTGTTGGCGCATGGGACCTGAGTGGCAGGTGTTCCTAAATTAATATCGACAAGTCCAGAAGAAGTAGTTGTTTGTTGTTATAAGGCGGATAGTATATCGACTAAAATCAGGACTGAAGGTATGGCACTCGTTTATTTTTGAAGTACATAATAAGCTGTGAACAGGCCCGACGAAGAGAAGGCAAAATCCCCGGGACCCGGCAGCTTTAGCAGATAAGGCCCTTTTTTTAGAAGTTCGCTACTAAAGGAAGGACCAGATTAACGAAAAATACAAGCTGAGCACTTGTTTTTGAGATTTTACCAAGAAAGTACTATTTTTAGAAAGGGTTGGCTTATCTTATAGATTACGGGGCTGAGTCCAGCAGAACCCGGAGCTCAGCGGGGAGCGGGAGGTCTTTAACAGTCTAAGAGTAATCGTATATTAGGTTGGGGAGTTTTCGGTTTGCGGAATAGTGAGGCGCCCCAATGTGAGTTTGAGCCTTTTAGAGTGCGAGAAACGTGTATTGTTTCCCGAGAGTTTGGAAACGAAAGATAATGGGGGTGTTTTCGAATACTTCTCTGCTGGGAGAGCGAAAGAGAAGATATTGGCATCGTTGGAGGATACGTCTCTCAAATGTGGTGAGTTTACGGACTAGATGTGTTGGAAGTACGCTATAATTCCTCTGTACTCTGCAACGGGGCAGAAAAAATAATTATAAGTATGAATTAAGGTGTTTGGGTTACATCGTCCACACAAAGCTTCAAGAAGACTACATGGCTCGCTGTCGCGCGCGTCTTATAAAAAGAGTTGGAAGTGATGGTGGTTTGGACTTCGGTTAACAGGGAATCGATATCCTGTGGAGAGTGGAGCGGGCGGTCTAGTTTGTCAATCTGCTTTTTTTGAGATTTCGAAAGGTGTAAATCAGCTTTTGGCGGAGCGGGATGGAAGAGCATGTATGCAGCATCAATATAAGATGATCGGAAGTAATTGTCCCTCTGCAATGAACATTTATCAACAATCAGTCCAGTACAGGAATCTGTCAGAAGGATATGGTTGATAATAGATGATTTCTAGGTGAGACACGAAGGTCGGAAGTTGGTCTGAGGTTGTGTTCAGTCTTAGGGAAATATTTATTATTAATTAATTTTCTCAATAAATTTTTAATATCAGATCGATTTTTTATTTTTAGCAGATCGATATTCATTGTTACCTAAAAGTATCCAAATAAGAAAGGACGTCGATTGTCAGAAACTATGCGCCGTAGAATTTTTGGGAAACAATTTCAACGTTAAGTGGTTAACAGAAATTGATGTAAGTTATTTTCAAGTCCGCCGCTAGATTGCGAAAGCGTATGATAAACGCGCGGACAGTCAAAATTGAGTAAAATTTCGTACCGAATATGATTGTGATGTTTGACATAAACTTTATTTAACTTTTTTTAAACGAATTGTTATCTTTGATAAAGAGCATGACGCCCTTTAGGTGCGAAGTTAGGAACATGAAAATAATTTCAGCGATTTCAAGGAACTTTTATTAAAAAAAACCGTACAATAAAATGTTGCGTAAATATGGTCAGCATCATTTATTTGGATTCCCAGTACCTACTCTGAAGACTGATTATGTTGAATTAAGATTGTTCAATATATTATTCTTTCGTGAAAGTAGTTAGCCAATTTGAACATTTGATTTAAAAACACAGTTTTGATTTTTTTGATTGTAAGCATGATAAAACAATTAATTTTTTTTAATATACCGTTGTAAAGAGGCTTCCAACACCTTACAAATGAAGTATCACTCAACCCCTCTTCCAAATTCAATTTTGAGGGGTTGAAGCGCCCCCTAATAGGGGGTTGTTCGTTCAAGCCTCATATATACGTCAAAAGATGTCCCCCAAAGAAAATCATCCGACATGTTTCGGGAAATTTTTCCAATTACTATGGGATAAGAAATATACGGGGTGGCTCGTCTGAGATGGAACACCCTGTATATGAATAGATATGTATACAAATAATTTGGATACCTACTTATTTTATTATTAAACTTAGTCTTGCAATTTATTTGGAGAAGATTTTTGGGTATTATAAAAAATTGAATATATCCCAACAATTAAAGATATATACTCGTATATACAGGGTAATAATTAAAAAATCTATATTGGCTTTATCTCATAAACTACAGATGATATCACTAAACGCTTCAAGCCGGTTCTAGGGTACGAAAATGGGAACCTAAATGACATAACATAACTTACTCCCCATCAACCTCCTAGGCGTCACCTACCTCAACAAACATAAATACATAGGTAGTCTAATCATTGTATTTGGCTATCTAAATACAATGGTCTAATGGACGTCTATTTTAGATCCATTTAAGAGTCGGATGAACGTCCATAGCCGTATTTGGGGCGTCCAATGTACGTGCATTTGTGAACATTAATTTGACAGCTGCATTACCAAGTGGACGTGCCATTTGTATACATCCATTGGAAAAAACTAATTTTTTGGACGTTCAGACATCCAAAAATGTATATCAAATGGCCATCAAAGCTAGCAAAAATTATTTTCAACGATGTAAGTGATACCCCAAACAGGATATAATATATATTTATTTTAAATGGGATTACCTTAATTATAATACAGAATGCTTAAACTTTTAATAATTTTTTATCAGTACTTATGTTTTTAAATAATTCTCCTGTTAACAGAAGTACAAAATTGTTCTTAATAGGTTTTATTTTGGTTCTAAATTTAGTGATAAATAGCATTAAATCTATTAAAAGATAAGACAGTAAATTTAAAACAATACATTAAAAATTACATAAAATTTATTGGTTTTAACAGTTTATGGAATGAAAATTTTCTATACAATGAATTTATTAAATATAACATAAGTAATAGAGGGTAATAATTTCGTAGGTTTAACAACAATTCTTTATATTTACATAAGAAAAGATATTTATTATATAATCACTAAAAACAATATCAATAATCTAAAATGAACTCATTAAGATGCTTTCATTAAATTGAATGTTTACTCTGCTGATTTGCTCATCCAGTGTGTATATACATATACCTTTTACTTCCTAATAATACTGGCTCTTTTAGTGGATTTTTTCTCCCATCTGTACTTTTGAAACCTAAAAAAGAAATAGAAAATTCATTTCACAAAAAGGTTTTCCTACAATTATGTATAGATTTTCATTTCCTACTGGCAAACTATATGGAAAAGATACATTTACTATGGGTTTCATAAGCTATTAAACTGTTAATCAGTAGTTTAACACTTATGATAACCTGTGTAACAAATTTAAAAAACAAATAAGATTACTAACTGTATAAATGCCCACAATAAGTCCAAATAATCCAATAGCACTACCAAAGATTTCTATAACTAGAATTTTGACGAAAAGAGAGCCATTTGCAGCATCAGCTAAGGCAGCACCAGATCCTACAATTCCAACACACATGCCACAAAACAAATTGACAAATCCAACTGTCAAACCTGCACCAAACATAAGGTATCCTCCTGCCCAATTTTTTCCTTTTAAAGCTGGATTAGACCACACTACATCCCAAGAGAAGTCCTAAAAAAATATATGTCATTATTAATTTCTGGATCTGAAATGTTAGAGAGTTAAAAAGGGGCAATGTACTATAAAAAATATAGTGTTTATTTCCTACTAAAATTACTGATCGAAAAAAGTTAAGGATATAATACTAAATTTTACAAAAATAAAATCTACATTTTGTAGTAAATGTTAAGCTTAAATGCTATTTTGAACCCTATCCAGTTTACTTTTATGACTTAAGTAATGTGGGAACCAAACTGAGGAACAATAATCATGTATCCTAACTAATTTTAATTGTGTTCAGATCAACAAAATTCATGAGATGTCTTTTTGACAAAGCCCAGGATTTTCATTTATTTTTGTAGCAGTAATAAGGCCATTAAAGCTCATGGAAGAGTTAAAGGTGATACGTATGCCCTTCATTTGATTAACAGAGTACAAAATATAATCAAATAAACTATAGCTACAATAAAATCTGATAATGTGATATTTGCTAATATTTAAATCCATGCCATTACAACAGAACCAACTCGAAAGTTAACTTAAATCATATTTGCAAATTCTGAGTGTCATTATAATCACTTCAAGTCATCTGCAAATAACAGAGCTTTAGTGTCAAGAAAGTTGTGGTATCCTTTATAAACAGATAAAACAGTCTCAAGTGAGACCCCTGAGGGATCTCAGAGGTTACTAAGGAAGTTTGGGAATAATAATTATTTATTAAAAGCTTGGAGATTTGAGAATACAATATGTATCCAGGATACGTAGTGATAAAATATCAATGTTACTGGAATCAAAATCACTAACCTCTAGATATCCAGATAGAACGATAGCAGTAATAAGTCCATAAATAGCTACAGCTTCGCAGAAAATAACAGAAATTAAATTCTTTGTTTTAATTCGAGGTGCTTTTACACCTCCACCAATGATGCTTGTACCTGTTGTGTGGATTCCACTAAAAATTAACTATATAATATAATTCAAGTTTACAAAATTCTTTAGACTTACGTTGCAGCGCCTACAACTGATAGAGCTACAGATAGAGATATTCCTAGAAGAGCCCACATATGAGGGGTAGTATTTTCTAAAAACCTAAAAAGTATGGTTATATAAAAAATTGTATACGTAGTTTAGTCCGTTAACTTACCAACCAACGCTGATTTGTTCACCTTTTCCCGTGAAGACATGATATAAAGCTGAAAATTTAAACAAATAATTTATGGTACAATTTTTATTGAAACTCTTTTAGATACTCACTTAGTATTGTTGCTACTGTAGTTAATAGTCCTACGAAAGAGGCTCCTAAGATATACCTCATTTTGAGATAATTTTTAAATTAATTTAGATAGATATTTTGAAAATCAGATGTTCTGAATTTAGACTTGATTATCCACCCGATATCACGTGAAGAATTTGTTTTGTTCATTCAATTTATTTAGAACCCTAAGATGGAACTATAAACAAAGACAATGCTATACAATAACATTAAAGTGAAAAAGACAAATTCGCCAATGTCCAATACAGGTTAATCACTTCGTTCAATTGTTAGACAACTGTCACACAGAGACAAGTGACATAAAAAGGGCAGGTCAGGGGGCAGCTAAATGGTTCTACATATTTTTTGAAGACAAAATTTTAAGGCATAAAAACAAAAATTACTGTAAAATTGTACCAAATGTATTTATTGATTTATAAGTCTTATTAAGAAAAAACTGCTTTTAAAAGCTGGACACTGTTTATAGAATATTTTAGAGAAAAATATTTCAGCAAAATATAAAAGAAAATAAACTTTCTTCACACCAGATGTTCGAAATAATAATAGTGTATATTAATTCTTATCGCTTCTCTTGTCCTATACATTGAACATTCCTTTACTGTATATGATATAATGTACAACTACTTACAATTTAATTATATAATATTTACAAAACACTATTGAAAATCTTACATAGTGGGCATTTAACCCATAGAACCTTTGGAAGTCTGAAATAAAGAATTTAAATTTAATTTAAAAACTTTCAATGGGCAATAACGTACCTCCTGAACAAAAGAAAATATCAAAAATTCTTTAGTGTATGAAATTGATAGTAAAGTGTCCTACTTAGAAATATGCAAAAATAAACTCTTTATCAGTGGAAAAATTGTCTCCAATGATATAAGTAATAATTATACCAATAAAAAATCTTAATTTAAAAACAAAAATGTAGTAATATGTGAAATATTAAGTAGGTAGTACATTGGTTTACACTGTTATGTAAAGTACAGCACATTTTTTTATGTTCGAAAGTGTTTTGGAAATATTGCAACATGCTTAGCTATTTATTTGCTACATTTCCTCCAATTATCTCAAGAAAAAAATTGGGCAACCTAGATGGTCACTCATTCCAATCCATTTGTTGATATAATTTTAAGCATGCGCATCAGAAGAACCGATAATTGAAACAATATCTTGAAGCTAAGACAGGATAATATACTTCTGGGTGATTATAATCAGAAAAGATATATCTGAGCAAGAACAGATTAAGTATTGAAACAGGGATCTTCAAAAGAAATCTTGGTAAACGGAGATTAGTGGAAGATTAGTGCAGATTCTGTTAAGAAGAGGGCGAAACCTCCATTCACATTTTGATTCAATGTGTAGCACTCCATAATCCAAAGGCAATACATAGAAGCATAACAAATAGAGGATAATCGACATAGACTATATATAGTATCATAAAATGAATTTGATATTTTAATTTTTAGTACATAAGGTAATTACGTCGTAGGGGATTGATAGGGAAGGGGGAGATTTTCATATCTTAGAGACGATTTTAAGCAATTTTATATATTTTCTTCTGTTCAGGAGGTAGAATGTAGAATAAATCAAAAATTTTGAACTTTTGAAAAAATGTCTTACCAAATAAACTCCAACGATGAGACCAAAAAGACCGATAGCACTGCCAAAAATCTCAATGATAAGAATTTTTACGAACAAGGAAGGATTCGCAGCATCAGAAATAGCAGCTCCTGATCCAACTATACCAACACAAAATCCGCATACCAGATTTACAAATCCTACAGTTATTCCTGATCCAAAAATAACGTGTGAGCCAAAGTGATTTGTGGCAAAATAATGAGGATTACTTACAAACTCTGCAGCTTTTATTTCCTTAATAAAAAAAGAAATCGGAATTACTTAAATTAATTAAGAAAATAATATTAAATGTAGTACCTTGAGACTTCCACTCAAAACTATAGCCATAATCAAACCATAAATGGCTACGGCTTTCGCAAAAAATAATAGAAATCAAATTTTTTGTTTTTATCTAGGGGCCTTTTACACCCGCTCCTACAATACTGACTCCTGTGGTATGGATTCCTCTAAAATTTTAAAGCTGTTAAATTTTTTTTATTCTAAGTTGAATTTGAAAAAAACTTACACAGCAGCCCCTACTACTGATAGTGATACAGACAGTCCAATTCCCAGAGCAGCCCACATATAAGGCGTTGTATTCAGGAAAAACCTAACAAGTAAACATAATTCAATACAATTTTTTTTATTTTATTTATTAAATACATTGATATACAGGCTAATTGCTAATTGAGGAAAAATGATTAACCTGTATATTTTTATATATTTTTTTAGTGCAAGATATATCTAAAATTTTACATTCATCAAAATTTGAGCAAAACACAGATTTAATTTTGATTTAATAATATTCAATCACTATCTAATTCAGTCGACATTCCTACAATTTTTATTTTTGAATTTATTCACACCATATCCTAGATTTCATATTTTTCAGTTAGATTAAAACCAGGATTTTTTTTTTAAATTTGGAAACGTCAAATCTTTACGAGGGATATACAATAAATATTTTGTTAATAAATCGATGTCCAAAAATTTTGGCAATTAAAAGATAAGAGAAATTGGAAACAAATGACCTATTATTGATTACAAAATAACAATGTACCCTGATTTTGAAAAATATATTGACTAACAGCCAGCGATTGCCAGACCTACGTTAAAGTATGCATGAAGGATGTCCACAAAGGAGGAGTTCTATCCCCACTAATGTGGAGCCTAACCATAGACGAACTTCTATGCAGATTGACTGACCTCAGCATACCCTTTCAAGGTTATACCGACGACATAGTCATATTTGCTAGTGGCAAGTTCAGTAATATCCTGTGTGATATAGTCCAACGAGGACTAGAACATACCAAAAGATGATGCCGTGAAGTGGGACCTAGTATAAACCCTACAAAAAACAACACTAGTAGCCTTTTCAAGGAAAAGAAAACTTAATATCAAAACCCGTTAAATTAGATGGGATAGATACAGAATGAAAAATTAAGTCAAATATCTAGGCCTAACCCTGGACAACAAACTTCTCTGGAACACACATGAGAAGCAGTAAATAAGGCCACAAAAGCCCTAATAGTATGCAGAAACATTGCAGGTAAACGATGGTGATGTAACCCAAACATACTGCGATAGATGTATACTGCAATAGTGAGACCAATCATCACTTACGGGGCTATAGCCTGGAGTAAAAGAACTAGTTTAGCTACTACGAGAGCTATATCTTAAAAGTACAAAGACTAGCCTGTGTTTTGCATTACTGGTGCAATGAGAACCTATCCTACGGCCGCAATGGAGGTGATCTTAAACTCATCCCTCTACATTTGGTGATAGAGAATGTGGCAAAAAGGACACGATATAGAATGATCAGGAACGGAGTAATCAGACGAAAGTCTACTTGCTTCAGGACTAAAGATACCTGGGGACATGCCCCAGGATGAAATGCTAAAGAAGTACAGTTTTGTGAAAAACTTCAAAACCACAGAAAGAATGGAGCCAAGAATCCATCGCGCTTGCAACCGAAAGACGTGCTATTCAGTGGTATACGGACGGTTCCAAAAACCAATGAAGGAACTGGAATAGGAGTGTTATGGGCCGAGAACCAAGCACTCCGAAAGCTTGGGAAAATACCCAAGCATCTTTCAGGCGGAAATTGGCGCCATCGAGAAGTGTATATCCAGTTTAATATCGAGAGAAACTATCATAGACAAGAGATTATCATCATGTCTGATAGTCAAGCAGAAATCAAAGCACTGAGCTCACGTAATCAACTCAAAAATGGTCTGGAGATGCCTAGAACAATTGAATGAGCTACGCGAGAAAAATAGAGTTACTCTCACTTGAGTCCCGGGACATAACGGGGGTACAGGGTAACAAGATTGCAGATAGTCTTGCAAGGAAAGGGGATCAAACACCCTTTGTAGGACCTGAGCCGTTCTGCGGTATCAGCAGTAACATAATATTAGGAGAGATTAAAAAAGAATTGGGCAGTAGAAGAACCGATAGTTGGAACAATCTCTTGGGGCTGAGACAGGCCAAGATACTTCTGGGTGAATATAACCAGAAAAGATCGGAAGCCTGCATCTGCCTGAGCAAGAACAGGCTACGTATGTAACAGACATCCTTACCGGGCATTGCCGACTAAAAGGACACCTAAGTAAACTGAGAGTAGTAGAGGATAGTGAGTGCAGATTCTGTAAGGAGGACGAAACCTCCATTCACTTCCTAAACTGAATGTGTAGCACTCCAGAATCCAAGGCCACTATATCTAGGAGGATATCAAATAGAAGAGGGAGATTTACCTAACTTGAAGCCACTTCAAATCTACACTTTCTTGAGAAAATAGGATTGGAAGGGTCGTTATAGGTATTGAGACATTTCGTTAGTGCATTGGCGACAGTGTATTAATATCCCATTCCCAGCATAACATGCATGAAGGTTACGATTCTTTTATTTATAGTAGATAATAACGTTTGGGTTATGCATCTTTGACTACAGGGGGGTTTGCTAAATAACAGGACCTCCAGGTAGGTACCAAAAAATGTTGCGAAATTACGTTATAGTATGAAAACTGATTTTTTTAATGTTGTCTAGATGTTAATTGGAGATTATAATGGCATATATAGCTAAACATATTAAAAAATCAGCTTCCATATTATAACGTATTTTTCCGACATTTTTTGGTACCTTGAGGATCTATTATCTACCATGCAAACCCCCCGTAGTCAAGATTTATAACATAACACCCAAACGTTATTATCTACTACTATTATGTACATATACATAAAAAATCTTAATTTACATACTATAACGTAGGTCTGGCGGTCACTGGCTCTCAGTCTAATAGGAGGGATATATCCTGACGTCTGTTAACCCTAAACCAATCTCTTTTTTGACTTTAGAATATTCGTTAAGTATTAAAATTTATAACCCACCTTTTTGTTAGACCTGTATATTATTATAATTATGTACTAGTCTATTGGAAAGTCGCCTGTTAATAAATTATTCGAAAATGTCTGTATTATTGATGTAGTGCGATATGAATTCAAAACTAGATTAATGTCGCCTGGTATATTTTATTACGTACCAATATAATTATAACGGGTTTTCAGTTTAATTGCTCGCTGCAAAGCATGTGATGTGAAACGCCACATTTCGTTTCAATTGTCTTAATTATAAAAATAAATAAAAGTTGGAAATGTGAACCCATCGTAAAATTTTCGTCAAAATAATATTTTTTTGAAAACATTCAACGAATTGAATAAACTAATTTAGATACTTTGTTGTTTAGTTGTATTTAGTAAATTTAAATTAAAAATAAAGTTCCGCATCAGATACCTTGTCCTATATAATGTAAAAAAGTTACTGAATTGCGTGTATTACGGCAAGTATTTTTTTTTTTGAAAACTTACCATGCTAAACTGACCTGTTCTCCTTTTCCAGTAAGAATATAATAGGTAACTATAACATAAAAAATAAAACTGATCAGGTCACATGCTTTGCAAAACACACCTATCTTGACACTTAATATTTGAAATAAACTTACCAAAAATACTAATTGCAGTTGTAAATAAGGGCGCTAGCGATGTAACTTAAAGCGTACCGCATTTTGTAGTTTTAATTTTTTTCACAGACTGATAATAAAACTCTGAAAAACCAGTTTAAATTATTTAGGGATCAGTTATGCATGGTTTGCAGCCTAACTCGAACTGAGGTAAAATGAGATAAGATATATATCTATGAGTGGTGGGAGGTAAATTAAATAAAATGATTATCGGTAGAAAATATGTATTGCAGTTCGAAAAAATACTTTTTTAATGTTCCAGAGTAATACAAATATACAATATTGTATAAAATATATTGAATTTAAAGGCACATCACCTTTTGCATATATCACATAGTGAATAAAATGTCCATTAGAGCAGCACTAAAAATAAATATTAAACACAAGTGTACATAAATAAAGTAGCATATTTAGGTAGGTATCAAAAATCCAGAACCACCCCACATTTCACAATAAAAAAATTAAAGAGACAATTCCATACTTAACTATATCATAAATACATGTTTCTGGCCAGCTAATATTTATAAGTTAGATATTTGCCAATAACAAATAATAGGTAGGTATAAGAGATGAAACAGTATTTTACAGGGTGAAATCAAATCAACCCCTTGTCAAACCAAATATTGCACCCCTTATTTTTTTGTAACATGATACAATTATTCACCCTTCACTATTAATTCAGTATTATATCAAACTTGCATTTTTTTGGGCTACATTTATTAGTTAAAACTGTAAAAAATTAGAGTAGAAACAAGGGGTTGATTGAAGCCACTCCCTAGAAAAGTATAAAGTAAATTTGGGTATTATCTGTTTAGCTAATTTTTTTATAATTTTGACCATTAAAGTTTAAAAAATGACAAGTTCGATATATTTTTACTAAACCGAAGATAAAAAATATTAACAAAAAATTAAATTTTAAAATATATAATTAAAATTCTGTCTGTTTTCCCTTTTAAGGGTTCAAAAATAATTATTTCATAGGGGTAATTTATTTGGACACTCCGAAAGAATTTATATAAACTTGAATATTAACTAATCAGAAAATTATGGGTATGTACCTTTAATAGATTTTGGCACCTCACTATACAGGGTAATCCATTAGTGTGAATCCATATCCGCCACTATTATAGATATAAAAAATATATTTACAGAATGGTAGGCAGCGTTAAACTACATATTTTAAAATTATTTTCGATTATATAGGGTGTCAATCTGGAATAAACTTGTTTTTTCAAACGGATCACCCTGTATTTTATATTTGAATTACCCTCGTTTTTCCCATTTTAATACCAACTAGTATAGGGTTACACAGGGTATTTAACAGGTTATATACCAATCTTATATCAAAATCGTAAAATAATAATAAACTTTTAAAAATGTTCGTCCGATGTCACGTTTTTTTGTCAACACGATAAGTCAAAAACGAAAAATTATACTTGAAAGTTTCAGAAAAATCAAGCTATAAGGGGGCAAAGCCTATTGATTTTGAAAAAATCTGAATAAAAATGTGGGATTAAGGGGTGGGTTATAATATTAATAAAAAAACTCCAAAACGAAAAATAATATAAACTTGAAATTTTAGACAAAATCAAGCTCTTTAAGGGGATAAAGTCTATTGATTTTGAAAAAAATCAAAATAGGATTCTGAAAAAAATCTTACCCAAAATGGGGGGTTAAGGGGGGATGAAATAATAAAAAAATCCTAACTCCAAAACAAAAAACGATATCATCTTGAAATCTTCAGGAAAAATCAAGCTCTACAAGGGGATGAAGCCGATTGATTTTGAAAAATGATTAAAAATAGAAGGTTAAGGGGATCTGTTAAACTGTGAAGAGTATAATATAAAATGCCAAGCATTATATATCTAGTTGAAAATTAGTTTTTATAATGATTTATTCTTGACAATCTTGAATAGCGAGAAAGTAACCAAAAGAACAATTTTCAAATTAGTTATTTCATTCTTGGAGGCGTCATTGTATGAAAAATAATTTAAATCCGATGAACAATATAAATTTTATTAGAATATGGTAATTTTAGAAGATAATATTTTTTAGTATTTTAATATATTATTATGTTAAGAAAAGAGTTCATTTTATTTTGTTAAAAAAATGGTTACTCAATTATTTATTTGTAAAGAAAGGTATTGAATGAAAAATAAGAATATAAGTATGTTAAAAATTTCATTATAAAATCTATTTTCCATAAACTTTCACTTAGATCGCTGTCCTTTATTAGCATTACACTATGTAGCTACTTTTGTAATAAAACATTAAAAACTAAAGTAAATGTATATTTTAATGCCAATTTTCTCTTAGAAATACATTTCCGCAAAGTACAATTAGGATAGTTTAGATTATTCCAATATACTTAGTTTTTCGAAAGATTTCCTCTAAACGAGACTGGAGCCGAATTGTTTTATTAAATATGTTAAAGATTATCCCTTAATTGAATTGTATTTCTTCTTTCTTTTGTCACTTTGAAAATCGTTAAAATACGATTTTTCTGAAATATGGGATTACCTACAGCCGGTGCAAAAAATATTCATTAAAATTTATGATCCTATTAAATTTTTATTGGGCTTGACAATGTGATAACAAATTACTTAAAGGCTTGTAAATTTTAAAGAAAATTATTGCAATCGGTTGTCAAAATATTTGTCACTATAGGTTTTTATTGAATTTTTATTGAATTTTAGTCACTCTCACATCTATCAAAAAACATTAAATTGAGGGGAATAGGATCCAAAAAAATTTATATAATAAAACTATCGAAAAAACTGCTATTTAAGTATAATTTTTATAAATTTGAGTGTAAATGTTCTTACAATTACTATAGTAACATTTTGGTTATTTAAAAATATGGTCCCCAATGATTCATGTTATATTTATTTTCACAAAGAAAATTAACTTTATTTATACAATTATATTCGTTATTAAGTTTAATTTAATAACTTAAGTTACATATTAAAACAAATTTGTTGAAAAATATGCCTTTTTATAAGATTTTGACACCCTATACATCTAACTGTCCACACAGTGTATGTAATAAGTAGATTTGTTTAGTAAATTTCGTATTTAAATAAGTATCTAAGTGCCTTAGTAAATTATTCAGTTAAAACACGTAAATCATTTTAAATCAGAAAACTATACCCTAAATAATACTTCAAACATAGTCACTACTACTAAAAATAAATCGAAAAGCCAATAGCTCTTTTTGGAAATAGCTATATCATATCTTTTATTTGAAAATATCTTGCATCTAGATTAGACTAGAAGTAAAAATATGACATATTTCGGGAGACAGTATTGTAAATTATAATTCCATTTTTCTTTGGCTAATGTATAAAAATAGTTATTTGTGTACCAAGGCCGGAAAAGTTCGTCTTTTTTTGACCGAATCAGAAACTGTAATTATGAAAATTAAAAAAATCACCTGATTTAACAAAACCATCTAGATGTGGAGGAGTTTCCCCTATCGGATATGAATGATTATGGTGATAAAGATAGCGCCTTCACGCTTGAATCCTGGTTAGTGACGGGGAATCTGAAGGAAGTTGTTAGGTGTTAAAACGTTCTTACTATTTTAGAATTTGTATATAAAATTCAGTCTCTTATGTACGTAATTTATGGGTATATGAGAAAAAAATTGAGGTGATTGTACCATTGGAATTTAATAGGGGTGTTTCCTATAAAAATAAATTTTAGTTTTTAATTTTTTTAATCAGATGACCCCGCAGTTTCCTTATGGCTAATGGCTTTCGGTCAAATCTCCCGAATATTATATGTTGCAGTTTTTGACCTCCCAATTAAATGGCACAAAGTTCCCCAATGTCGGCAAAATAACAATGTTTACGTCTTAAAAGTATTTTTGAAAATTATGAGAATTCACACAAACACATATATCAAAAACTAGCCATAGGAGAACTATGTGCCCACAGAAACTTTTAATTAAGAGGTCAAAAACTGCAACATATATAATATTCAGAAGATTCGATCAAAAAGCATTTGCCATAAGGAAACTGAGGGCCCTTTAACAGTAAAGAATGCTGTAATAAAGAAATCTTTTTGAAAATATAAACAAAGGTTTTTAAATGTTTGTATGGTAAAAATAATGTCAATATAAGTAAAACTATACTGGATCCCAACATATAGTTGGTAGGGCTCGTATTAGTAAGAGTATAAAAGTAAGAAAACAAGAAAAAAAAACGAAGAAAAATGTTTTGGTCAGTGAATAAGTGTTCATTTGGAAAAATGCTACTATTACAACATCCGGCATCAATATCCAAGGATTAGAATATATCTCCTTCAAATATGAAACAAAACAATATAGATTGTAATTCGACAAAGACACACCAGAAAGTAATAATTCTAATTATTATTACTGAAATGAGAAAAACTTTCGACTTCGATCAGTTGTCATATTTCGACAACAAAATTGCACAAAGAAAATAAAAATTGCACCGCTTACATAATAAGTACTGAAAAATATATATCCTAGAAAATGATCTTCACATATAAATATAATTTCAAATGTAAGGAATATAAAAATTGCATTAGAAACATTTCAATTTATACAGAAAACACAAAAATGTTTTATATTTATTTACACAAAAATTCATCTAAATGTTCAGCTTTTACGTGTCTACTGCTATTGGAGGAAGACATTGTGTTTCCCATTCTCAATATGTATGGAATCACGCTGTCGATTTGTACTTGTCCAATTAAACCAGCAAAAAATAATTCCTCTAGGATTCCAGACTCAATAGCCCTTAATGGAGGCAAACACAGTAGTAATCTGCAAATAAAATAATTTATTAATAACTAACTAGAATTTATTCTATGTTAAGCCTGATGGGTTAATGTAAAAATTGGTGTGAATGCAATGCATGTAAAATATTTGACACTAAAGAGTTTGGTGATTTTCTCATGGGTGACATAATTTATGAGACCATTTTACCTCAGAGGTAAATCATTTTGTGGGTTGTCAAATTAATTGATAATACATCATTTATAATTAATTTTTTTAGATACAAGGACAACTTAATATTTTTGTAGGAAAGATGTGATTTTTATAGTTTACATAAACGACGAATATATTTGGCAGAGCAATGTATTATATAAATTAGATTTTTATAATCAGAGATTTTATATAGAAATTTCTCAAAAGAACTGAAAGCCTGACTAAATTATATCTATATCTACAATGTAAATAAATTCCTGGGTATTCATTCATCTTTTTTTAAACCATAAACTCAAAAAATGCTTTAAGGAGTAAAAAAAGGAGGGATGTCACTGAAAATCTTAAAAATATATTATTAATAATAATAGTCTTTATTTGAATAATCCTCAGTGGAGTTCAGCATAGCTGTTATACTCAAAGAAATACCAAATACACTTTATATAACAAAAATAGACAGTTATTTGTACTTTTTTAAAGATTTATTTTTAAATTGTTCAGGTAGACATTTATATATACTGGCTGCATTGTATGAGGAAGATATCTTGTAGAGATGTGTTCTATGTTGAGGTATAATAAGGTTAGTATTTCTAGAATTCAGAGAATTCAAAATGCATGCCTTAGGCTCATTTTTTCATCATAATCTTGATATCATGTTTCAAAAAATCTGATGTGTCCAACACATGACTTTCCTATCTAGTTAACCTATTGCAGCATCTCTAAAAATGTTTAGAGGATAAACTAAATATATACATTTTCTACTTACATCCACCTCCAAACATATTTCTATAGATATTCATTGAAAACGAAAATACTGAAAAATTTAAATTTAGCACTTTTCCTCCAATTTTTCCATTACGGTCCATTTTAGAAAAGTTATTTAAAAACAAAAATTATAAAGATCGATATCGCAAACAACTTTTAGTTTAACAATTTTCTTAAAAAACAGAATTTTGCACATTTTGTCAAATTTCTCGAATACGGACCATTTCAGGAAAATTTGACATAGAACAAAAATTATAGATAATAATATTGTAAGTAACTTTTATTTGAAGAATTTTCTTCCCCAAACGTAAATAACGAATATATTCCATAAAATATAAAAATGACCACCAATAAAGTACACCCCCAAATGTTCCGACTCTGTCCAAACCCTAATCAGTTCACCTCAGGTCGAAATAAAACTTAAGTTTAAAATTTAATGTTTTTTCCTTTATCCGTTTTTGAGTTTTCTTCAAAATTCGAAATTTACACATTTTCTCAAATATCTCGAATACGGTCCATTTTAGAGAAATTATGTATAGAATAAAAATTATAAAGAATTATATTACAAACAACTTTTATTTGAACAATTTTTATAAAAAATTATTTTTTTTACATTTTGTCAAATTTCTCGAATACGGACCATTTTAGGAAAATTTTGCATCAAACAAAAATTATAGATAATTATATTAGAAGTAACTTTTATTTGAAGAATTTTCTTCTCCAAACGTAAATAACAGATATATTCCATAAAATATAAAAATGACCACCTATAAAGTACCCCCCCAGATGTTCCGACTCTGCCCAAAATCTAATCAGCTCATTGGACGCTAGAACAAAGCTTAAGTTTAAAATTTGGTGTTTTTCTGTGTATCGGTTCATGAGTTATGCGTTATACAGCACACACACACACACACACACACACACACACACACACACACACAGACACACACACACACACACAGACACACACACACACACAGACACACACACACACACACACACACACACACACACACACACACACACACACACAGACAGACATCATCGCGAAAATAGTCAAAACGGATTCAGGGGACCTCAAAACGTAAAAATCCGTCGAAAACTCGAGGTCGAAAAAAAATCATGATTCCTATACTTTCCTTATATCTGTATACAGATAGGAAAGTAACAAACTGAAAGAATTGGGGTGGCTTAATATGTTTAATAGAAGAAAGCTTCATATGGCTTCTTTTGTACACCAAGTACTAGAAATAATACTCCTACATATCTTAGAAAAAAATGAATATCCAGCTCAAATGTTCATAACCGAAATACTAACCTTCTTATTATACCTCAACATAGAACAAATCTCTACAAGAGATCTTTCTTATACAATGCAGGCAGTATATATAAATGTCTACTTGAACAATTTATAAATAAATCTATAAAAAACTTTAAAAAAGTAAAAAAAAAATGTTGGTGTTTTAATATGGATTGTTTGTGTTTATGTATTGTTAATTTTCTTTAGTATTTCATATTTCTGTACAAAATTTCTGTTATTATTTGGTTCTGTTGAGTGAAACAGCTATGTTGGACTCCCCCAAGTATTAATAAAATAAAGATGTTTATTATTATTAATTATTAAAGCAACTAAGCCCCCAAATATTTTGTCTTACGAATAGTTTCTGGGTGGTACGTTTAGTAAGGAAAATCTGACAAAAAAAATAATTTTATACCTTATGACACATTTTTTTTTAATGTCTTACAAAAAAAGCACCCAAATATTTTGTCTTACAACCCTGTTTTAAACTACATCGCCCATTCTGCACAAAATCCAATGGTTTTTGCTTTGTTTAAAATTTAACCATTTCTAGATGCAAGATAAACATTTTTTAAATGATGTTATCAATCCACATCAAATTTGACAAGTCAAAAATTGTATACCTTATGAGGTAAGAATTGAGGCAGCAGCTCCCAGTTCAATACATATACATGCACTATTTAAATTGAATGTATTTTAAGCATGTAATGGGATTTTCTTATCAATAAATAAATAAATAAATAAATAAAATAAATACTAATAATATGTAAGTACTTTAACTACATAGTACACAGTTTCAGTCAGAAATAAATCTTAAAAATGATTTACCTTGGAAACCTGTCATGGTCATCAGGAGCACTATTTCCTAGGTATGTCCTTAATCCTTGAAAAGACTTTTCTTGCAACTTTTCAATGGACTTTCTCAACAAAATATCAGGCTGATCAGCAGAAAATAAAGTTATAGCCTTCAAATAGGCATATTCCTGTTCATTTACATGTAACCTGTTCATACTAGTCACAAAGTCCTGCAATTTTACTATGTGATCTGTGACTTGTTGAACTTTGATTGCAGACATTTTATCCTGCGCAATAGAAGCATGTAAATGGCTGATTAGGGCTGATAGAATAGTTGACAAAGACAATGATTGCGAACATTGAGCTAGGCCTAGTGTGAACAGTTCTGACCAGCAGTTTTTTAGAAGCGAAATCTGAGTTTCAGAACTAAAAAATAAACAAATGTATTGAAAGATATAAATACAACAAGAAATAATCTACCTCAGAAACTGAAATGCTGAAATATTCTTGGCCCAATGAACAGATAAAAAGAGGAGTCGAGAGCCACTCTCACAAATGTAATGAATATTAAGATAAGGAGGTACAGGTCCTGGAATTAGCAAATTAAATGCCATATTCTGCTCTTGAAGAATGGGTCCATTATAATTTATACATTTTTCATCACTTGACAGAGCATTTAAATCTGTTCCATTTAAACATTGTACTCTAGCCATAGTATCTAGAGCTTTTGAGATAAGTTGTTTATCCCTAGCACTAGATAGTGCATCACTAAGTTCAGTACCAGTATTGGTGCTGTCCATAGAAACATCATCTTCAACACTTGCTTGACTGGGGGAGAGATGAAAAGATTCTGGAGCAGTTGTACTATTTGCTGCAAAACAAATATAGTTATTATGAATGATGAAAAAGTGAATTTGAAAATGTTTATTTACCAACACGTTTATTAAGAAACTGGAGACCTAAATCGTTGGGATAGAAAGGAGGAAGAAGTCCATATTCATTGTTTAAGTCTTTTCGTATAAATATTTTGTTAACAGCATTGACTGCATTTTGGCTGAACTTAATTTCTGAATTGTTGGAAAACTCTTTTTTATCAATAATCGGTTTTCTTTCGTGTTGAACAGCTGAAAAATCTGAATTAAATATAGCCTTATCAATTATAAATATAAGTAACTTACAATCACTTCTCATGCCACAAGCCAGGCATTTCTGTAGCCTGCAATACTGACACCTATTTCTATGATGTTTGGTAACCTCGCAGTTTTGACTACCTCGACATTGATAGCCAAGTTGTTTACGAATTGACCTTTTGAAAAAACCTTTGCATCCCTCGCAAGAAATGGCCCCATAGTGCCTACCTGATGCCCTGTCACCACAAACCACACATAATTCCACTGTTAAACACATGTTATTTGAATTACTTCTATTTTTATCACCCAACATTTCTGTTTTGATGGTCTGCTCCATATCCATAGTATTGTTAGCTTTTCAAAAACATCCGAGTAGGTATTTGGTATTTTACGCTACGAAAATCTCATGTTTCAGACAATATGGAGCCAGTTTAGATTTTTTCTTCACGTAAAATATACTGCAGTACGACCTTTCATTGAAAATCAAATAAGAATAGAACGAGTGCATAGAATAAGGTTCATGACCTTACACCTGCCACTCTCGATAGGTAAAAAAATGATGCAGACTGGTCATTTGACCTATTCTATTGCGGGAAAATTGAATTAACAAGTATGTAAAACATCTTTCCTTACTTTATACAATCAGAATTTGCCTTTTCAAGTATGTATTTGATAGGTGGTTTCTCGTGGAAATTAATAAATATTTTTTTAATACAAATTCTACACTCGGCTAAACAACAATTTCTTAAAAACAAAAAATGATTTGTTTGTTGTTTGGACAAATTTTCGTTGTCTTTATAAAATCGATCACGGGAGTCAAATGGCAGTGACTAATGTTACAGATACGGCATTATAAAAATCGTTAGAAATTACTATTATAAAATTATTTTTATATAAAAACACAAGCTACCAAATTTGTATTATGTAAATTTACAACTTTAGATAGAGCAGATCTTTGATTGGTATCAGACAAGGTTACTTTTTATAATAAAAATGTTTTTCTAACCAGAAGAAATCTACTTAAATTTGGTTTCTATACTTCCTTTACTGTACTACAGAGGACGCCTAATTGATTGGAGAATGAAAATATTTGAATATTCAATGGTGGAATCATTCATTGAAGCCGAAATCTGAGAAATACTGAGTTGTGCCAATCAAAATTCTAAACTTTTAGTTATAAAAATGGAATACGTTTAAGTACCTAGTTACTTTTTTACCATTAATATTTTTTGGAAATTACGTCATCTGTATCTGTATACAACGTGTAGAGGGTGGGTGGCTCCATGGCACTTAGGCATTACTAGGCCAATTGTGCATCCTCCTAAATTGATAGGCCCCTCTTAGCTCATCAGACACTCTACAGATTTGATCAAGTTGACAACTGCAATAAATCTCTAGGCTGGCTCACGAGCTAGGAAGTGCCTATATCTACTTAGGAGGATGCAAAATGGGCCTAGTGAGGTCTGAGTGCCGTGGGTTAACCGGCCCTCTCACGTTACAGATACAGAACGTCGATGAGAGATATTTCTCTTATATAGGCCGGTGTTAACCAATACTCGCTGAACACAAATCTTCTAATAAATGAGAGCGTTGGGTGATTGTAGAGAATAGGCTCGATAGTCCCATCTTCTTGTTCGCACCCTACACAGAGTGCGGATTCTGACAGTGCCATACTAGAGATGCTTCATCGATACTTGGCAATATGACTAGTCAGATAATAATGCATGTGATCAGGCGCAGATTCTGTTATCTAGTCATAGTCAAATAATATGCTCTGTGTAGTGTTGTCAGGATAACTTAAAAGCTACCTGACAACTCTGCAATTTCTCGTTTTATCCTATCTTTCCATGAATTTCACAAGGAAATGTTCTTCAATTGTCATTACTGATATTGACAGTCCAATGGAAGGATCAGGGCTGGAACTCTGTGTCATGTAGAATTCTACTTATCGCTTTCTACAATGGAATCGATTACTTTCTTTTGTGATAAATACGTTATCAACCGCACGGGAAATATCGCAATGTGGTTTCTTATGAAACTATAGTTATCCTGTAGTAAGTATATACTCGTTGGTTTTCCGCTATATTACACAGAGTGCCACAAAAGAATCTATTGTAGAAAGCGATAAGTAGAATTCTACATGACACAGAGTTCCAGCCCAGGTCCAAAAAGTATTTGGTTGGCTACCTTTTTTACTAGTGAATCCGCAAGATGGTTACCATTCTATGTGGCGTGATCATTGATCCATATTAACGTTACCATATTGTTATATAGATACTTCATCCAAAGCTTCGATCGTGACATTTTAGTACTATAACCCTGAGTAAATTCGTGGTTGTCTAGGGTGAGTCTAATCCCTGTATAGATGAGCATGTTCCTTGAAATGATGTTTTTAGTAACTTCTTTTGCTGGTATGAAAATCCCCGTGAGTTTGGTTTGAACTACACTGGCACTACACGTACCTGCTACTTCCGGCTCTTCTATTTGTTTTGTTATAACTTTATATGGCGTATGGAAGATATGTCTCTCTCGCCTTACCAGCTCCTACATCAGGCTCTATTCCAATTGTGCCGAGTCGTATCATCGTGGTCAGAGATGTAAATATCAAGGGGAATGACTTCCATAGCTTTGATTGGTGTGATTTTCATGACTCCTGTTATGTTGAGACGTATTGTTCTTTGAATTTGTTCTAGTTTGCGGATAGCTGTACATTGTTGGGTTTTCAGTACCCAGACAACTGCATTGTATGTATGCAGTATGCATAGGTCTTATACGATGGCTGTGTAAAAGTCTATATATGACGACTCTGGGGGAGAGATCCCGCAGGTGTGCCCCACAATTCAGCACAATGTTCATAAGCAATGTATGCTTTTTTTACTCCGTTTTCTATACATATGATAAACCAATCTATCCCAGTCACATATAGCCATTGTCACGTCATTTTACTTGAAAGACAAACTGATATTTAGAACATTGATGCACAACGTTAATATTAGAAATAATTCAACCTTAACCACGTTTCGTCATTTTATACAGCAATATTTAATCGCAGTTTTTCCTATGTAATGCCGTTGTTCTGTACAATTACCTAAACACATCTATATAAAGAATTCAAACTCTCTTAATGTTTTCAAAAATACACTAAAACTTAGTCTCCCAATCTCCGCGTCCCTGATGTATATTAAAAAATGAATTTTTCATAAATTATTTCTAAAGCAGTCTCTCATAATATGTTTAAGTGTAATTATTTTTTTTATCTCGTTCTTTTTTTGTTCACAAATTTATTTAGGACCGATTCCACCGTTGTGTTAAACGAAGTTTAAAATGATATTTTTACATTAACAATGTCATTTTAATCTCCGTTTAAAACAACGGTGGAATCGGCGCTTAGGTATTTTTTAACCTTGATAAATTTTTTATTGGAATTTACATATTGTATAAAAATGTATTTATTAATTATTTAAACAATGTATGAAATTTATAGAGTTAGACGCAAGAATAGCCTCAGGTTAAATCTCGCCCAAGAACATATTTCTATTTTTTTTTTTTGTATAAGTATACAAATACAGGCGATTTATTATCATTATTTTTACTTAAAAAAGGTTATCTCCCATTTCAAAAATAATTATTACCTAAAACTATGTATGACATCCCTATAAATTTGAGTAAAGGCCGTCGCTGTCCCTATTCCACCACTAAAATTCAACGCGCAAGCTTAAATAGTTCAAACTCAATTTGCTGCTATCCTCTCATGTTCTAATTGGTCCAAATATGACAGTTTGAATAACCCGCTTTATTTCCGAGCTTCCATTGGCCGAAAACTTAATGCAGGCAACCCCTAAAGCATTTTATGAGATCATTTTTTTAACCACTAAAATATTTGAATTAGTTCGCGAATTTCGGTTGAGGAAACGATTGTGTTTTAAAAAGTTATAATTTTCAAAAGTGTTGATGAAGTTTAATAAATAAATAAACCAATGCGTTTACGTAAATTTAATGGTTTTCTTGGGTAATCTAAAAAATTGTGTATTACTTTAAAGATGGTACCTAATTAAAAAATTGTGAAAGTGTTTTATTACAGTGTGTTACAACCCCTACCTAGCTGGATTAGGTATGTGGATTAAAACAGAAACATGCCAGTACACCAGAATCCAAAGGAACTCAAAGGTCAGTTCTATTTTCATTAAATAATATACATTTTCAAATAAAAATGTTATTAAACATATATAACAGATATGTAATAAAAATGGGGCAGGTACAGTGATGTTAAAATGCGATGAGATCATCGATCATCCCGGTAATTTTTAACTTATTACCTAACCTAGGTATGTTCAAATAAATTAGGTATAAATTTCAATATAAGTAATACCTGTGAAATATTCGCAAAGAGTAGCTATAAAAGTAATTAATTTGGTAAAAGTACCTAGAACTTATTTCATATAGGACGCTCTTTCTCTCGTTATAACCGGAAAATTATTATCTTTGATTTTTTTTGCGATTTAGGTTCCCTTGGTTGATCTAAATCATATTTTCCATCTTATTATGGACTTCACATATTTATATAAAGTTGAAAATAGCAAAATTGGCGGTATTAATTTGGGAACGCAACCTGCCACACACGCCCCAGGTCCTACGCGCCAAAACATTCTTAGGAATAGGTTACTAGATATATTTTGTAAATATGGCAAACTACCCTGAAAAGGAGAACTCCTATAGCAGGGTAGATATTAGTAAAATTAAAAGTCCAAAAAACATAAAATAAAACTTAATATGAAATTAAAAAAAAATCATTATGTAGGTACCATTGCACCACCCTTTATAGGGTGTAGGTAATTTATATCATTTTAAAAGCATTTTTAGTAGCTTATGAAGGATGAATAACAAGTTATTTATTGATTTTTTGGGTAAGAAAATATACGAACTCAATCCCACATAGAAATATTTTACTGAATATACCTATAATAAGACAACCGGTTTCGGCCACTAGGCCATCATCAGGTCAAAGTTAAAGTAAAAGGCGCGTACAATATTATACTGCGAGCGTTTCCAAAATGGTTAAAAAATAGGCACTAAATACTAAGTGTAGAGTACCAAGTTCCGACATGGACAAGGTAATTGCAAGAAATGCATACAATATAGGCGAAGTTTTCTTTTTACCAAACCAATAAACTAATTATATACAAAAAATCAATCAATGACGATATTGAAGGCGTCTGCATTTAATGTGTATTTTCTTTGACGCGAAATTCTTCCTGGCACTAATGAGGTAATACATGTGCTTTGATTTTTAAAAACTTTGAGAATTGCAGGTCCTAAAGGAAGGCGACCACTATGCCCCGGCAGACGAGATGTTTTTTATTTAATACTCTTATGAGGTAGTTCATTTTGCTCCCAGTTCTAGGACTATTCAACATTTTTTGTCATTTTAATTATATCGTCATTGTATAAAGAACTAGTTCTTTATACAATGATATCCGTAGCGGTCAACTAAACTATCTGCTCTCTGGTTAAAAGGTTCCTGTATAAATTTATAATCAAATCATTAGGTGAAATTGTTCGATCTCAAACGAAAGTAAAAACAAAATAAATGCAAGTGGGAGAAATTGAACGAAAGAAGGGAGTTGGTTGACTGAAGCACTTTCTTTGGTCTTTGCCCATCTTGTCTTTACTACAACAAATTTGGGTCAAACGTTAACTTTCAGTTAAGTGATTTGTATGTGTGAATGTCGTGCTGACACTTACTTATTCAGCTATGCACTTTCGTATGCGTCTGAGGATTGCCGTCATTGGTAGGTACCAAACAATTTTTCATTTTTTTTTTTTACTTTTAGTACCGCAAATGCGATATTTGAAGTTATTGTTACTTTATGTTATTGAGTGTGAAAGACCCCGCAACTCAAGGTTCTTTCAGAAGAAAAACTATGCAAATCTATCCTGGGTGAAATTTTGTGTAGAGGAAACTTATTTTTTTAAAAACATTTCTTGGATAGCCTTCTATATTCCCTACTGATAACAAAAATGAAATGGAAATTCACTGTTTATGAGAAAATGTTGGAAAAACTGCAGCCCACCGGGGGTGGAATTTCGCTAACATGAAATCTATTATTCATTTTATTTTAATTTTTATTTATTTTGAATGCTAAAAAAGGGAAAGCGGACTTGAATAAAGTAATAATTGTGCAGATACCTATTTGACGTAATACGAGTATAAACAATTTAGGTACTTAGCGTATAAAAATTATAGGGCGAAAACGCATATTTATGAAATTATCACAAAATGTTTTTTGGTGTAATTTTTTTTTATGGAAATTTCTATTTGAAAAAAGTGTTATTGAGATAATACAACAAAGTAGTATTAGCATTTATTTACGAAAAAACGTATTTCCATAAAAAAAATTAAATTTTCGCGTATAAAAATTATAAATAGGTAGTGCCAAATCGATGATTGAAATGTTAACCATATCTAAAATTGTTTACCATGCTTAATTTCGACAAAATGTAATTTTCTGTCTACTTTGTACCTATTTTGAACATAAACGGCTTCTGCCTCCCAGAAAAATTATCCAGGCGCCCATGGTTAATTTATAATTAAGATAATTTTTTGCTTTGTTTTTATACTAAAAATAATTAAAATTCACCAAATAAATTCAGTTTATACTTGAAAGTCTAGAAACTTGAGAAAGTAAGCAAAATAATAATTTGCAGATTAGTTATGTGAATATCTGCCGAGACGTCATTGTAGAAAATATAATTAAAATCTGATGAAGAAATAATTAAATTTCATTATATTAGATCAGTGTTTCTCAAACATATTTGACGGAGCCCTAAATACATTTCTAAAAAAAAAAGGTCCTGAAGCAAAATCATATATCCTCCTTCCACCTTAGTTCTCAAGCCAGGTTCCTCCCTTTTGTGGCGATAGTACTGCTTCTTTTTTTTTATTATGACTATTATTTCCCTTCACGGAGCCCCAGGGCTACGCGGAGCACATTTTGAGTAACACTGGATTAGATGATCATTTTAGAAATAAATATTTTTTTCGATATATTTTATTATATTATGTAAAAGTGGTTATACCGATTATTATTATAAAGCGTTTGAACTTATTTGTACTTCTAAATTGTTTTCCTATCCGGCTCGCGGGACCAAAATGAAGGGGTATTAAAAACTACCAATCCCCTCGCCAATTCCAGACCACATCACTCTGTATCTTCCATAGTCGTTGTTTATTAACTGATTTGTTTTGTAAGAAACAATGTTTACAGGAACTACGGTAGCGTAGGTGTCTACGGCGCCGCATTCATTTGCGGGCCAATATTGTGGCAAAGAGACACCGGCTTCGAATCTTACAGAAGAACAGGTTTATACAAGTCGATCAGTCGGCTTAAGGGGTTGAAATTCACTCAAGGGGTGAATTAGGAAGAGTACTATTATAAAACACATCAGATTCAACTTTGAAAACTATATTAGATCGAAGGACTATCTTATCTTATCTGTATCTGTAACGTGTGGAGGATGGGTACTTAGGCCTGACTAGGCCCATTGTGCATCCTCCTAAATAGATAGGCACATCCTAATTCGTGAGCCAGTCTACAAATTAAATGTACGTCGGTGTTAGCCAATTCTCGCCCAACACAAATCTTCTATAAGGACTATCTTAACTTTACGGCGTTAAGAAAACCTTTACCTTTTACCCTTGTAATATTTACAGAAACTTTAAAGAAATTGAAATTAACCGCGACTCTTTAGAATTGAAGACTACATTTTATTACTTTTCGACTTTTAACCAACTACCCTTTGAGGTGTCTAAAGGGACACTCTCCAGAAAGCAATCGCACTTGCTGTGCGATTGCAGAGTATAAATTGTATTTATTAAACTAACTTTTTCTAGAATTTATTATATACAAGGAAGGTTGCGGGGGTCCTAAATTTAGTTTCTGGACAGTCACAAACCTAACAAATCGGAACTGGTTCACCTTTCATAAGATAAAGTTCGTATATCATCAGGATTATAGCTAATTGAAAATATATATAGATTATTTCGTTTATTATGTCAGATTGCATATAATCTTGGAAGATTAATCATCATTTTTGTAATAACATCATTTTTACAAAATCTCTTGTAGAATAATATATAACCTACTTGCTGATTCTTGGTAATTGCGCGTATCTGAGCATCTATAAAGATGGGAAAATCCAAAGTATTACATCAACGATCCAAGTGTAATCCAAGTTAGAACATAAAGCGGATGTTTCTGCCTCTTTTAAATCGAACTTCAGAGAAAGTAAAACCGTTTTGTACTACCTTGACACTGTAATACCTCAGGTAACTAAAGTATACAGGGTTCTGCAATAGTGATTCATAGCTGGCGTTATATAATAGTTACATATTTAAATTAGAAAAATTTAATTAATAAGGATATAAAAATATATACAGGATGTTGTATATTTTTAGAAGTATTATTATTATCATTTAAAGATGGTTAAATTTTGGATTTAATTGACAGTTAGGAAAAAGTATAGAGACAGCACACCAAATCCTTTGGATATCTACTGGACATCCCAATATCCACTGAATGTCCAGTCCATGGTGGATATCTATTTTATATCCATGAGATGTAATTTATAGACATGCAAATGTCCATAAATAAAATCCTCGGAGACGACGTTCAGCACAGGTTCCCGTGCACTAGGTGTTCGGGGAATCGTTTTGACGTGAAATTTGGATTAAGCGCCCCAAAAAACGCCCCTGCAATGATTTTCGTGATGTTTTTGACGATTTTGTCAGGAAAATTCTCGGGGATGACGTCCACGTCCAGGTTCTGGTGCACCAGGTGTCAGGGGGTGTTAGTCGATGCCACATTTCAATTCAGCACCCCAAAAAACCCCCCATACCGATTTTTAGTTCGTCTTTTTCGATTGTGAGAGAATAACTCATGGAGATGAGGTCCGTGTTTAGGTTCCGGTGATCTAGGTGTTCAAGGGGTCGTTTTTGACGTGAAATTTGGATTCAACGCCCCAAAAAATGCCCACACAATGATATTCGGGTTGTTTTTGGCGAAATTGTCAGAAAAATTCTCGGGGATGACCTCCACGTCCAGGTTCCGGCACACCAGGTGTTCGCCGATGCCATATTTGAATTCAGCGACCCAAAGAAGCCCCGGGCGCCGAGTTTATCTCCTTTCCCGCATGAATTTCGGAAGTTCCACGGAGATGACATTCATCGGCGTTCCTGAGCTCCAGGTCGCCTGTGGGTCAATTTGAATATCATAATCGTGATCAGCGACCTCGAAAACTACCAAGAACCAGATTTGGGCCAGTTCTAACTCTTATTTACAAAGTTCTTTAATGTTCCAAAAGTCGTGTCAAAAATGAATTTTTGAATGCATTTTGGCTGCAGCAATGCAATTTCCGGTTTGTATTAGATAAAAAGCAAAAAATATTTGGAAACGAATGCAAAAAACCGCATTCCGATCCGTCTTAGTCTAAAAAATTTCGAAATGTCTTTTTTAGTGCTTCATTGCCTACTACTAATTCGAACTCTCAAACTATTGGCAAAATTATTTATCAATTTACTAAAACCTAATATACCAACCCATAATATTTGACCTACGCAATGATTACACCTAAATTTATATCAATATTTTGTTTAAATACCTAATACAATAAAATAATTACTAAAGCGTCATATTTCTAGCACAGATTTGGTAATTCAGTACCTACAGTTTGACAAATTTTTTTAATAAAAAACACATTCTTACCATAATATACATAAATAATTGTAGAAAAAACTGCTTCTTCATATTTCACACACAAAAAGATAAATCTGAATGTTATTTCTTGAAAAATCTTTTTAAATATTTCACAGCAAAACGTGTAAGTATTTAGTAGCCATTTTATTTAAATATAAGTCATTACTTGTTCATGGTTGCCTAGGATACAAGATATCACAGGCAATTTGATTAAAAAAATTATACTCGTATTTAGGCTAAATTCACATGACGCACAATATGCCGTAGTACTACAAATTCTGCGCAATGACGTGCAGTGTTGCAACAAATTTTTTTAAACGATGAAATTCACACGAACTTCCAATTGGCTGTCACTGGAAAATATGCTGTGCGTTTATTTGGTAGAAAATAAATAATAAAACTAAACCCTAATTAATAAATAAATTGGTTATATATTAAATTTGTTGCAAATTATTTCTCTTTTTGATATAGGTACTAGATATAAAATTATGTTATATTATTTTATCACATCACCATAAACATTGTATTATTAGGCGACTTAAATGAAATATTTATAGATAATTTTTTTTAAATCCGACAAAATCGGGACGAAATCGGGTCTAGTGGTTTTAAATCGAGACTGTCCTGCCTAAATAAGGACGAATTCCTTAATTTTAAATTAACTGCGAAGACAATTCTCGAAATATTTGTTCTGTGAAAGTCCAGTTAGTGACGTCATCATCGATAATTTCTTATTATAATAGAATATTTCGTGAATTGTCTCCCCAATCCATTAAATTATTAAGGAATGCGCATAAAAAGCATAAACACAAAAGTGCATGTTTATTTAAATAGGAGTATACTGATATGAAAATATTTAGTTTTATTATAAATTATGTAGATAATTTTGATAAAATATAAAAATTTTGTTATGACCAATCAATTTTACAATATATTAAAAAAAAATTTTTAACTCACCCGATAACTCGACTTTTACTGCTTAATCTCAGGGTCCGTGGGTTCAAAACAAATATAATGATTTGGTACTTAATGAGTTGAAAAATTCTTACCTCCAAGTTTAGTTTAACTGATTTACTCGAAAATTCCCTCAACGTTTGGTGATTTACATTAATTTTGAAACTAAAAACAAATCAAACAATATATTAATTCACTAATTATACAAAAAGATTTTCTTTCTTCTTTTTGGATTTGACGGTTCTCTTGGTACCCCAATTGTACGTCACTGCTTCGTCTACTATGTAACTTTTCTGAATAAATGTTATTTATATTCAACTGCTTACTAAATTACTTCTTCTGTAGTATTCTACTGGATAAGTACTTCTTTCATGAATATTTTTAATAAAATGTACCTTACTTCCCTTTAATATTTATTCTGTTCCTGCTTCAACCAAAATAATCAAGCACAGGTCCTTTTGTATAACATGTATTTATTTCCATTCAATAAATCCAACTATTTTTACATTTCCATTCAATAATAAACCCCTTTTCTGACAACCCTCTAAAAAATATCTGACAATTCTCATAATTCTATCTGACAATTCTTATAATTCTATCTGACAATTCATAGTCGACATCCTGATTTCTTTTTAAAAATTTATTTTTCAGGACCGACCTTACCCATCAAACGTTGATTATCAAATTATAAATTTGAAAACCACAAACATGTAATACTTCTAATTTTGAATTAAAATATCACATCAATACATTTTTTTAATCAAATCGCCTATAATTTCGTGTATCTAAGACCAGTGGCGTAGAGAGGGACAATCAAGGGGATCAAGATGAGCCACGATGCTTTTACAGTTTACATTTTTTTGACGAAACTACTTATCGGATTGTTGATTATAAAAAAGCATTTGAATCCTTGATATTTGATCTACAACGTTTATAGAAAGTCTTTTTTAATTACAATGAGCATTCTTGAGTTTTCTTTGTGTGAATGATATTGAAATTTGGATGTTTCAGCGCGAACTGTTTTATATTAAAGAGCTCCATGTAAGAGCGTGTTGCATAGATAATTAAAAATTAAAAATAAAATACTTCTTGTTGTGTAGATGCAAAAAAGGCTTATCGAATGATATAAAATAGGTTTTACATTTTAGCAATAAAGTGCAAACAAAAATCTTCTCTAGAAGAAATATCTTATCGTTTAAATTCTACTATATATGGCTAACACTATCTAATATTTTGCTTGTCGACTCGAAGTATGTAGGTTATTCTCAAATTCAAGCATTTCGTCCAATTTGGTATTACTCAGTGCATTCGAAGTTTTTTTTATCTGCCTTACATGTCCAAGCTCTCGAAATTGTTTTTCAAGTGGTATTTTTTTTTTAAATGAATTAAGTGCACTTAAATCGTTTTGCCTAGAACAAATTACACTTTTTCAATAACATGCTTTTTCTACCAGCTGATAGATGTCGTTAAGACATTAAAAATCACTTATATCGTTTTACCACCAACAAAATAGAAATAAGTAGGTACCTAACTCATTTAAAAAAAATGTCACTTGAACCCTTTTGCTTCTAACCCCTTCAATTGTTCCTTGAGATATAGGCATCAAATCGGGAAATTTTTCTTGAAATATATGAACAACTTCAATTATATTGCAGTAGTAGGTAATACTGGGTGTACCCAGCTTCTTTAGTAAAAATCTGTTTTTCACCAGCCCATCGATGTATTCTAAGGCTAGTTGGTAACCTTTATTTCTTAATACCATATAACTATCTAATAATTTAAGTTTTTTTTAGGTAGGTTGTCCATATTTTGTTTCCTATTTCCATTAACTTCGCAACAGTATGGCAGGGACTATTACAGGCAACACTTACCTGTAAGTCCTCAGCAAAGGTATTACCAGGAGTCATATCAAAGAAGCCCATTTATATCGTATAACCAACACCCCTCACACTATTATCATTACCAAGAAAGGGATATAAAACGAAATTATCAATATCCAAATATCGACGGGCAGTACCGAAGGAATGATGGTTTGGATTCTAGTAGACATTTCAACCCGGAAACTGTATATAAAATAACAGAAACGCTAGGAGCTTTAAATACAGTTGGTAGATATTTGGTAAATATGACCAGAGGTGGTGGGGAAAATCCTAATAGTCTTTCACCAGAAGTACCAAGTGCGCTGTACACAATCAGTAAGAATGTCTTAGGCCCAGACGCCACAGATACTATAGCACCATTTGTAAGAGAAGCACTTCCAGTAGTTATTGATAAAGAAAAAGAAAAAAACGAGCATAATGTAAGCAAAAAGGAAGTGAAAACAGCTGATAATAAGAATGATAAAGTTGATAATAATGATGATCCAAGGGTGTGCACTACTCCAGAAGGTCCAGAAGGGTAAGAATATTTATCTGTTTTTTTACCGGGTGGTTTTTAGGAAAAACATTTCAATGACTAAAGTGACTATGTGAAAAATTTTGAAATTATTTAGAAAATCGTAAGACGATCGCTAGATGGCGTAACTGAATGCTAATCAGTAAAACGCTTATTTATAAATCACAACTTACCCCCTTTTTTCAATCAAATGAGCGACTATACAGGTTGTTTTCGAACTTGGCGTCCAAATTTTTAAGGGTGGTAGTTCGCATAATTTGAGAGCGATTGGCAGATTTCATTTTTCTAAAAAAATTATAATAAACAAAATAGAGCCATTATAAAAAAATCAAAGAGCAGGTCCTACCCTGAGCGCGTAGCGCAACCTCAAAAACAGATGCGATTTGCAATTTTGTCGATTCTAAGCGTAGCGCGCGCGAGTCGAGGCGGTCCTATCGCTGTGCAGGACCGTACCTGTTTATAATTTTTAATTATTTTTATTTTAAATATTTTGGAAAAATGAAATCTGCGAATCGGTCTCAAATTATGCGAACTACCACCCCTACAAATTTGGACGCCAAGTTCGGAAACACCCTGTATATCCATAATGATTTAAAATGTTTTAATATTGTTACCGTCAGCGATAGAGAGCGTTAATTAAATTTAAATAAATTTCATAATTTTAGAAAAAAAAATTACATGGAATTAAAAAAACACCAAAAAAGCAAAGAATACAACTTTGAGTTTTCTCTTTTTCCTTTGTTTTTATTTTTAAATTGGTCACATTTTAGAATTTGAATTCCTTTTTTATTTTTATAATAATTTTTTTCGTTACTGTCTATTGTTGTAATATTATCTACCAAATATTATTTAAAAACTAAAATCCAGGGGTGTCATAATTAAAAGTATAATTTTTATATTTCTGAATTATAAAATTTGACCTGTCATTATAATTTTATTTATCTTTTCAAATAATATTTTTAGGTTTTGCGAAGACTTAAGCAGCTGTCCACAATTGCTACTAAACCTAGGAAACTTGAGACAATCTCTGTGTTTTAAAAGTCTTTTCGAACCAGGTGTATGTTGTCCCAAGACTACACCTTCAACCATCTTACTTTCATCCAGTACTACTAGTACAACAACAAGTACTACTCCAAGACCAGTTACTTTTGCCGCTATTTATTATAATACAGAGAAACCTCAGACACAACAGTTATCTCCAGTATCAACAATTACGCATTTAACCAACAATTCAATATCAATTAATAACTTTGTTTCTGAAGGTAAGATATAGATAATATTTATGTGAGTAAAGAAAAAATATTTCATATTATTGTTATTCGTTTTCAGAATGTGGACAGCCAGAATCCGCTAATTTCAGAGTTGTCGGGGGTGAAGAAGCCGCACCTGGTAGTTGGCCATGGATGGCAGCCATATTTCTGCATGGTCCTCGTAGAAGTGAATTTTGGTGTGGAGGATCTTTAATTACTGCTTCTCATATACTTACTGCTGCCCATTGTACGAGGGATTCAAGACAAAGACCGTAGGTTCAGTATATTTTATCTTTTGATCTTCAAAATATGCTACTCTTACCAAGTATTACACTTATTTGTTTTTACCACCACGACCTTTCCAGATGTAAGACACGGTGTTTTGGATTTTCTGTTTTCCTTTGTTCTTTATTTTTAACTTTAATAGTAGACACATAATTTGAGCTTGGTATATATATATATACCCGAGTATATACCTAACAATCTAAATACATTGTCAACGCCAATAAGGTCAAAATCATGACATTTTGTTAGATTTTGTGTGTTTCAGTGATATTTATTTCGTAGGTTCGCAGCACGTCAGTTCAGTGTAAGACTAGGAGATGTAGATTTTAGAAGAGATGACGAACCATCTAGCCCTGTTAATTTTAAAGTATCAGAAATCAGAGCTCATAAACAATTTTCTCGAGTTGGTTTTTACAACGATATAGCCATTTTAAAACTGGATAAACCTGCAAGGAAATCAAAATATATCATTCCTCTTTGTTTACCTCCACAACAGTTGAGAAATGAAAAATTTGCTGGCAAGAAAACAACTGTAGTTGGTTGGGGTACTACGTACTATGGCGGAAAAGAAAGTACTGTACAGAGACAAGCGGTACTGCCCATTTGGAGAAATGAAGATTGTAATGACGCTTACTTTCAACCAATTACTGCAAATTTTATTTGTGCAGGCTACTCTCAAGGTGGTACCGATGCATGTCAGGTAATATAATTAATTAATTAATAATATTGTTTTCATGGAATATTTAAATTCGATTTTTAGGGAGACTCAGGTGGACCCCTTATGATTCATTGGGATACACGCTGGATTCAAGTGGGAGTGGTGTCTTTTGGGAATAAATGCGGAGAACCTGGATACCCTGGGGTTTACACCAGAGTTACGGAATACTTGGAATGGATTAAAGAAAATACAAGGACGTAGTAAAAATGTTGAGAAAATTTTTATTTATTTATATGCTCACGTTACCAGTGATACAAATGTAGTCATTAACTTTAAGTTAATTTTGTATTTAGGTTATACATAATATAAATGATTAAGTCATGAATTTGTGATATATGGAATTCAATATATAAATAGGTTAATTTATATAGTTTTAAGCTATGCCAAGTTTGAGAGATCGAATCATATGAAAAACTTAATAATTTTTATTGTGCGTTTATTTCATTAACAATTAACTCATTTTATTTGAATCACTCATTTTTTTTACCTATAAAGGTTTGATCTAGGAAAAAAGGCTTTCACAGAAAACATACAAGAGAATAGTTAATATTTGCAATTAAATTAACACCAAAACATAATATCTACATATCTTTGTTTTTAATTTAAAAACAGGGCTAATACTGAAATAAATACTACCAAAATATGGTTTCTCAATAATTATGTCTCCATCCTATATATAATAATGAATAACATTTTTTAATAGAGTCTCTGCAATTAATAGAAAAGGAAAACTTACATGGTTTGGTTGACTATAAAAGGGATTTCAAAATAAGACTTATTCATTTTTTGTTTATCAAGTCTATATTTAAATTCATATACTAAATTATAGTAACGCCTGTTTAATTCGGATCAAGGGTTTAATCGCGTTTAATACCATTTTTAGCTATGCACATACTAATTTATCTATGGGGCGTATGCGAGACCTGGAAGCTTGGAGAGACCTGCAAAACACTAATTTTCGGTCGTGTGACGTACAATATTTTTTTTAAGAATGGGTAAACAACTTGGAACAAATAGGATCGACGTCTAAAAAAAGGGGTGGTAGTGACAAAACAGTTCGAACCCCTGAAAATATCGAACGTCTTCGACAAGCAATGTTAAGAAGTCCACGCCAATCGGCGATCCGTCACGCCACACGTCTTGGAATAAGTGACAGATCGATAAGAAGGATTCTCCATAAGGATCTTGGATATCACCCTTACAAAATACAGCTTGTGCAATCACTTAACCCGGGTGATTATCCACAGCGTATCGGTTTTTGTGAAATTATGCTTGCCAGACTGGAAGAAAATGACAACCAAATTAACAATTTGTCGAAGAGTGATGAGGCACACTTTCATCTCTCTGGTTTTGTTAATAAACAAAATTTTAGATACTGCATGGGCGGAGGAAAATCCTCGTTTACTTCACGAAACACCTCTTCATGCTCAGAAAATGACAGTATATGGTGTGCGAATTCGGCAAATGGAATCATCGGTCCATATTTTTTTGATAATGAGGCTGAAAATTCCGTTACAACGTTGTAATGATTCAGAATTTTCTTACACCTCAGCTTGAAGGTTTTCCAGTGGATGACCACTCACTTTTTCAACAAGACGGGGCAACAAGTCACACTGCAAGAATTTCAATGAATGCTCTGTAAACTTTGTTTCCAGGGCGTATTTCTCGAAACGGAGATATCAGCTGGCCCCCTCGATCTCCCGACCTAACCGCCTGCAACTTCTTTCTTTGGAGATACCTAAAGACAAATGTGTTTGCAAATGATCCACCCAGGACAATCTCAGCTCTTAAACAACGGATTCGTGACCATATTGCAGCAATACGTGTTGATATACTGCGCAGAGTTATGCAAAACTTTCAGACACGACTCCAATAATGCATAAATTGTAACGGAGGACATTTGGCAGATGTAGTGTTCAAAAAAATAATTTTTTTGATATTGTAAACCAAATGGCTACTTTCTCATTTTCCATTAATGTATTAAAAATTATTTAAAAAATATTCTTAAACAATAAAATTATTTTCGAAATCTTTCCGTTTTACTGCCGGACCCTGTACGTCTAAAACACGATAAAATTTAGCAAATATTTAAAAAGGTATTATAAAGCTACCAGTGCGCAACTCGAAGCAGAGACCAACTTCAAAACGCGCCGCGACAGCATGGGAGACCCTAAACGGTCTATTCACGTCTTAACACAAGTAATTATATGAAATACATTTCGGTAGAAGTCTGGTGCATGGTAGAAGCGACCGACATCAGATTTAGTATGGCAATATTTGCCGCCTTACTTTTCTGCCTCGGTCTCGCGTCCCCAATTGGTACTTTTAAAGAAAAGTAATCTTTCAATTTTCAATATTTACCATTTTGGATTCGATACGATATATATTATGTTTGGATTGAATTTTTTCTTTTGAAGGGAGAAAAGGACGCGATGCCAAAAAAACCCTATCGTGGAAAACTCCGAACAAGTCGGAACGGAATAATACGTCTGTTCTTGTTCCTCAGAAATAAGTCGAAAACTGTCAGAGTACTAGATGACCAGTGGAAAGTTTTACAATTGAATATTCAACTGTATCCCTGACAGTTTGAAGAAATCAGGCGTGAAGAAATCCGATAAGCGTGGGGGGGCCAACCCAACACATCTTTGAGAAGGGAGTGTTGTATAGGCAAGTGTACGAAAATTCTGAGAATTTATTGAAATTGGTTACGAAGAATGAAAACAACTTCATCTAACGCCATCTGTACGATTTATTGATAACAATATTATATCTAATATAGATATCTGTAAACTAATCAGGTTCTTTGAAACGTAAAATAATGTAGACCGTGCATAAATATAATAAGTTTAACAAAAACCAAAATGTCTCATATTGATAATCTGTGGAATATTTATAAACATTTGTTACAGCTTGTTCATTGGTATCAGATAAAATTGATCCTTGAAAATGACTCACTTTTTTTCACGAAAAACAAAAAAAATGAGAAACCTATTACATTGCAGATTGTTTTGAATATTGTTAGTCATACAGAATGTATCAATTTTTATTTATTTAATAGATGTCCTAAAATTTGCGTGTGTATACGAAGCGGGTAAATGTTAAATTTGTTCGAAGTACTGGTCTAGTATTTATAGTTTACCCTCTACCTACAGCATCCTGAAGAAAGACATGTCTTGTCGTTGAGGGACATGCCTCACGTTAACTTTTTGAATGCAATCTGCTTCTATATTATTCTATTTTTAATTGTACTCTGAAATCATAGTTCAACGATACTACCACACTTGATATTTTTTATGTTTTGCATAGTTCCTATAACCCCCAAATCCCGTTCGTAAAAAAAATAGGCCTTTCCAGACTTTTTTTCCACTCTGTATATATAGTATGTCCATGGGTGGAGAAAAATTAAATCCCTCCTAGTTTAAAAATGTAGCTTGATGTTTGTCATTTTGAGAAAACAATCCCGAAAAATTAAGATGATGATATGGTCAATACGATAACAAAAAGTGATATTAAAAATAATAATCGAGCTCTTCAGGGATTTTCTTAAAATCGGCTTATAATGTATATTAATCTAGAAATTAAGTAATTTTATTACATACATCTATTAAATGGATTAGTGTGAAAGTAAAAAATACAACTTTTGTAGACATATTTTGTTTCTTTAGTTTATTTTTCACAATCAGTATAAATTACCAAATTAACAATATAATTCACATTTAAACGATTTATGAGAAACTTAAATATATTATATATGTACAAGTACTTATTTATTTTATAAAGGCAGTGTTTTAATAAACTTAATTGCAGTTTTTATACCACTGCATTTTACTTTCAAGTCTTCCCGTGTAATCATTCATTTTCTTGATAAGATTCTGTAATTGCCTTTCTAGTGTTTCTAAATCACCCAACTGTCCACTGTTTTCCAAATTCTCAATTTCCACTTGAGTTTTTGTAACTTTGGCAACCAAATTAAGCGATTTTTTATATAACTCGTTGGCACGTTCCTTTGTCCCTTTCACATTATTCAATTTTTCATCTAATTCATGAGTTGCTTTGTTATATTTATTTTGCAGTACAACCGATTCTTCTTTTGTTTTCTGAGCATTCTTTTTTATGTTTTCGGATTCTTTTATCACTATATTAGCAAAATTTCCGTTATCTGTAATGTTCCTTTGTAGATTAGTTAATTTGTCTCTCAAAGCATGAATACTTGAATCTATGTGATTTGTCAAATCCTGTGCTGACTCTGTCTTATTGCCAATCTGAAAAAAATAATGGTTATTAAAATAACGAAATATAATTCAAATGTTGAGAAAAGTCAATAAATAAATAAAAAGAATAGCAGTCTACTACAACACATGAAGTGTGATTGGTGGATTTCATGTAGATTCTATGATTGATAAGAAATTACATCTTTATTTACCATATAAAGTATATCCTCGACCATTTTATAATCATCCCATGCCTTTTCTATTGCCACCTCAGCCTCTTTTTGGGCATCTTGTGTTTTGTTTAGTACATCGATGACATCCTCGGCTTCTTTTAGAAGTTTTGTTGCATTAGATCTATTAAAATCAAAAAGAATTAACATTTTATAAACAAGTATACACACTTAATATAAAGCAAGCTTACTTTGCATATCTGGCATCTTCTTTTAATTCATTTACTTTGGCCAAATCTCCTTTAGTCTCCTCTATAATACGATCTGTATTTCTTAAACGATCGATTGCATTCTTGATATTCTCGGCAAGTTCTCGAACTTCTTCTGGTGTTTTTTCGACATTCTTATTCAATATCTAAAAAGAAAATCATTTGTTTATATATTCATACTTGAAAAATACATTGGAAAAATGATCTCTAACAATCGTGGACAAAATATAGTATCCTACTCACATATTATTGCTATCATACACTCGTTAAATTTATTGTATTTTATAAAAAACAAACATATTTTTGTTAAAAAGTTAATTGAACTTTTAAAAAAAGTTTAGTTATATAAATTGTTCTCTTTAGCAAAAAACCCAATTCAGCAGTTTTTATGTATATAACATTTTATTAGCTTACCTCTTCCGCCAACTTTTTAATATCAGCAGGTTTGGATTTATTTTGTCCCATAAATTCACGCATTTCATTTCTCATGTCAGTCATTTCTTTTAATGATTTATTAGCATTAGTCAATTCTTCAAATATTTTTTCTAACGTTTCTTTAGCCAAATTTCTAGTTTCATTCGTATTAATTTGAGATACCTAAAATTCAAGTCATTGTACAGTAAAATATTTAAAATGGCCCAATTTTTTTTCTCGAAACTTACACCAATTCTTGTATCATAATTCATAAACAGAAAATCACTTACATTTCTTATAAAATCATTTGCTAAACTTTCCTTATTTCTAAGAGCAATTTCGGTATCATTAGCATTCCTTATGGCAGTCGCAGCTTGTTGTTTAGCTCCGTTTGTGCAAGTGATGGAATTACCACAACCATTTTCGCAATCGGCACCACCGCAGACGTCATCACATGGATCTCCCCTGCCATCGCAAACCAAATTGTTTAAGTCAGGAATTTGACTATTCAGTTCTTTTAATTTTTCAGAAATATTAAGCAGTTCATTTTCGTTATCTTCCGATTGTTTTTTGTACATTTTTTCGGTGTTGTTGAGAAAATTTGCTGTAGCTGTACATTGGATTTCAGCGTATTGCACGTCTTCCTAAAGAAAAACACATGAAAAATAAATAAATAAAAACAATTAACTGTAAAACGTACTTGCGAAGATTCCGCTTTCTGTATTGCTTTATCAGCCTTTTCCTTGGCATTTCCAATTAAAGCTAAAGCACCTTGTACATTAGCTTCTTGTAGTTTAGTACCATTATTTTCCAGTTCTTTGATTTGCTGTTTTAATTCACTTAGAGAACTGTTCAATTCGTTTAATTTAACCTCATTCAACAACACTTGCTGTTTATTGTCATCTAATTCATCATCTAGTTTGTTCAGTTTCTCATATTCCGTTTTATTAATTTTATCACGTAATTGTTGCAGTTCATCTTCAATTTCGTCTACATCAACTTCGTCAGTACTTTTTAAAAGCTGTTCTATTTCATCCAACTGATTTTGCATCTCGTCAAATTCTCTAGAGTAAGCGCCTGTAGCTCCAACTTTTTTAATATCACCTGCTCTCTCAATAATATCTAGCGTTTGATCTAAAAGAATAAATCAATTAATTGGGTAAAATACGACGAGTTATAATTCTTATTACTCTTAGCTTCTTGTAAAATCCTATCCCAATTATCGAAACACTCTCCACAGGCAATACAATCGGGTACAGAACCGATATAACCTCTTGCACAAGTATCGCATTTATAACCTCCCACTCCTGCTAAACAATTACAAGCTCCGCTTTGCATATTGCACTGTTCAGTTCTGGAACCTCTAAGATTACAATCGCATTCTGTAAAATAAGTATTTAGATGTTATAGTTAATAATAATTATTAATGTCTTACTGAAGCATTGTGTTTTAGGATCTCCCCACGACCTCGGTTTGCATTCGTTACATTGACGACCTCCGAATTCAGGTCTACATGAGCACTGCCCATCAAACTAAAATAAAACGTTATATTAATATTATTTTATTTATTTTTTGTTAAATATTTACCTCGTTACATTGAGGACTAATTGATCCCAAAGGATCACAAGCACAAGCTTCACAACCTTCTCCACTAGCGATTTTCCAGTGATTAAGATTGCAAGCATCACATCTCAAGCCTGATACATTGGGAAGACAGTGACATTGGCCATTAGTTGGGTCACAATTACCAGCTGAGCTGTTGGTTCCCAGTATATGGCAGACACATTCTTCACAGGGTTTATCATCGGTATATCTAAAGAATCCAGGTCTACAAATTTCGCAATGATCTCCAGTAGTATCATATAAACATCTCAAACATTTGCCTGTATGAGGATCGCAATTTCCTGGTGCAAGAAGATCAGTCTTGTCACTACAATCACATGGTTGGCATTTTCCACCAGACACGTCAGGATTTCCGTAATAATTATCAGAGCAAACATCACATCTAGCTCCTGCATAACCTTCTTGACATTCACAAATCACGTCTTTCGTAATAGCATCTAATATACAACGATCTGCATAAGAATGATTTGATCCTAGATGCCCAGGACATGGACACGGCCTACAAGGAATGTCTACATCAATTCTAGGATCTCCATAATATCCATCAACACAATAGTCACAATGATCTCCTTGAGAGTTGTCTCTACAATTAATGCAAGCTCCAGTTTTAGCTTCACAAATATCAGCGTGTCCATTGCAGTCACATCTTTCACAGTTAGGGAAATTCCATGAACCTATTCTGCACTGGTCACATTCTCTACCATAGTTGTTAGCTCTACATTTACATTGACCAGTTGTAGCGTTACAAAAGTTATCTAAAGCTCCAATACTGTTGCAATCACAAGCCTTACAACCCTCAGGACTAAAGCCATAAGTTCCTGGAGCACATCTATCGCAACGTCGTCCTACTACATTCGGTTTGCAGGTACAAAAACCGCCGTTTGGATCACAAAGTTTACTGACTGAACCATGAGGATCACACTGGCAAGCTATAAAAGAAAGAAATTTGAACTATGCTCGTATTTTAGGATAATTTCTACTTACAAAAAGCTCCGTTGAACACATAGGCTCCAATACTGGCCTGATATTTTTTACAAATTTCAGGAATCTGAGCTCCTTTACCGAAAAATGATGGATCATTGCAATGTAATCTTTCATATTCTTGTCTTCTGTTATCTGCAGCTGCTGAACCTTGGAAAAATGGAATGTCTTCGGCTCTAGGTATTAAAACAATGGAATCAATTAATACTGAAGCAGTTGGTACTTCTTTCTGAACGTTTAGATGTCTAAATTCAAGAATTATTTTATATATTTTTCCACTCTCAAGACAAACAGGAGGATATACAATGACACTCCTTGCCGTCGATGGTAAACGGACACTTTTAGTATCGTCTATTAGATTAATATGTTCACAAGGTCCTGGTGAAACTCTATCAGGTCGTTCAACAGTAACTACTACTTCCTCCCAAGCTTCTGGACTTGTAGGTTCATATCTAATGACGATATCATATTTCATAGTGGTCTTTATGTCATCTACGATAAATTCTAAAAATCCGCCTTGGAAAGCTTTAGCAAACCCAGTCCCAGTCCAAGTATCTTCTTTTCCATCTCTAAATGGTTCTCTAATAACAACCTGTCCATTTGACCTCGCAGCTTCAGCTTCGTAAAGCAAAAAATCGAGACTAGCCGTGAAATACTGTTGCGTAGGAGTGTCGCAAGTTCTTCCTGTCATGTAGTCTCTACACTTACAATTACCCGTAATAACGTCACAGAAATTATGAAAGGAACCACCAGGGTCACAGTTACATGGTTGACAACCGTCTTTCTTATCTGACAATCCCCAATACTGTGGAAGACATTGGTTACAATCCCTTCCTGTTACATATCGTTTACAAGTACATTCTCCGTTATTAACGTTACAGCCTTGATTTCCAATGGTACCGTAAGTATTGCATGTACAATTTTGACAACCCGCAGGGTTCAATTCGGTAAAATTCCAGAAACCGTTTTTACACGAATCACAACGTCGTTCTTCTACATTATCTTTACAGTGACAGAAACCAGCTGTCAAATTATTAACGGGGTCCGTAACTGAATCGCAAATTCCATTATCCAAAGAACCCCGAGGATCACAATCGCAAGCTACAAATAAAATACATAGATATTTAAAGGTCACCAAGTGTTTAATATTTTTCAGTATTATAATAAATTAAATTTGTCGAGCGCTTTCGGAAATTCAGCCATATCATCAGGATTTCGTCAGAAATAGAAGAGTTGGGTAACATTCCAATTGAACAGTATTAATCAGCAATTAGGATACGTGAAAATAAAAAGTTTTACTTACGTCGACAAACTTCAGGATCTTGGATGTCTCTCTGTGGGTCTCTGTAAAAGAATGGTTTACAAAGTTCACAGTTAGGCCCCATTGTGTTATGCTGGCAACCATCGCAAACTCCCCCACTTACATGCCCTGTAGATTCGTATAGAGCAGAGTCAAAGTGACAGCTGGTAGCATGATTGTTGCAATTACATCCTGAAAGAAAAGCATCAATAAAATGTATCATTTAAAAAATCTAGTACGTTTACTTTTGCAAGCGTTTGTTTGCTTTCCAATAGCCGGTCTCCAAGGCAAGTCATTGAAGAAATCTTCACATTTTTCACAATTTCTTCCTTTGGTGTTATGAGTACATTCACAACGTCCGTGTACCATATCTGGTTTTGGATCTATACCAGGTAAAGGAAGACATCGATTAGCATGACCGTAGCATGAACAAGATCCACGTACAACCATATCGGTAATTGCATAATAATATTTCTCCTGAATTTCTTCTCTTCTATCCAAAAGATCGTCTCCAAGAGTATGTAATTTTGTAAAATTAATTCTTAAATTAGTTATTTTTAATAAACCTTGTACTTGTTCGGAATAGGGATTATCAATTGGAAGATTTGGAGGAAGAACTCTGTATATAATTTCACCATCTGTGGATGGAGCTACACCAGAATAACGTGACTCACAGATAACATCAGTAATTTCTTGTGCTGTTCCATCTTTAATCTGTGGGAAACTTTCTGCACAGTTTGCCGCAAAATATCTATAAACCTAGGAATAAAAAATAGAAGTAGTAGCTTACTAGAATTGTTTGTTTATAGATTTACCTGCCACGTTTTCTTGTGATCGAAAGATCTTTCAATTACCATAGCAGATGGTCTAAAGGTCTTGAAAGTTATGATCAAATGAGTGAAATGAAATTCTGCTTCTAAATCTAGTTGAATATAAACATTTTCTTTGCCATTTTCTGACTGCCACCATGATTTTTGACGAGTACTAAAATAATTATTAGTAAACACTCTTCAAGCTAGATAAAAAAATAAGCTTACCCGGGGAATAACCTGTAGACTATGTTGCTAATATTATGATTTAATACAGGATTTGGTTTTGCAGATGGCCTAGAATCACACCAGAAACATTTTTTTCTTTCTGCGTCCAAATGCGATACTATACAATATCTTTGTTGTCCGTGTAAACCACATGTTGATGAAGCATATAGTTGACTTTCCCTCCCAATTAGTAGATTACCGGTAGCAGGATAACAGGAACTTTGTTCACAAGGATGTAATTTTTTTGGTTCATAGCCTAAAATATAGTTACGAAGTTAAATATTGTCTATATTTTGAAGTTCTCATGAGAAAGCATTATGTTAGTGTGTTATAGTGCACTGTTTGATTCTAAAAAAATATAAAGTCCCATACATACAAAAACATTTCAAATTATTGCTTAATACCTATGTTATGAGTTTTTTTTTTATAATCTTGGAAGGGGTAAACCAACACCTAAAAAGCAAAAACCAAATCATATCCGTGAGGTTATTTTGCTAAAACCTTAACCACAGCCTTATTAAATCAACACACCCTGATTATAATGAAGGCCTAAACGATGAATCCTGTAGATATCAGTTAAAGGGTGGATATCCTGAAGATTTCTGTTATCCTGGTAATCCATATCGGATGGAGGAGTTTGATCTCCTCTTTGAAATTGTGGCTCTAATCAAAATAAAACATAAATAACTTAAGGAAAGAAAAACACTAAGTCATTTACCACAGACGGTTTTTTGTATTTTCAAGAGTAGAATTTTCAATTTTGCTAGTTATTTCTGCTTTGAAGATATTTCCAAACCTCGACATACTGAATGATGATCTCCTTTTTAAATTAAATTACTGTTAATCCCTAGGGATTAAAAGTACAATATACTTATACCATGCAACCGAAAGTATAATATATGTCAATACTACAAAAACTTGGTTATTAGAGTACCGTTAAGGTGATTACAGCACCCCTTATAATTTTCGAACCAGTATATCTCAAAAAGAATTAAAAAAAAAAAAAACTAAAATTCTGGCAGAATAAATTAGGCTATAATATCTAAAAAATGCATATATTTTAAAGTTTTAATTCCTTCTAGTTTCAAAAAAAATATCAAAGAGCTTTAAATTTTGAAATATCATAATGAAAATAAATGCATTCCTCAACAACACTATTCTTAATATAATCCCCAAATTTAATCTCTTATTAATGATTTTTTAAAATTCGCCGAAATTAGTGGCTAAAACGCCTCGTTAAGTGCTGCTTTCTGGTGTAACGCGTCTGTAACAACTATCGTATCGCACATTCTCAGTCATCATTCGTTTCTTGCAACAATTTACACCAGTTTACACCATAAGATAGCATAACGAGGCGTTTTAGCCACTAATTTTGGCGAATTTTAAAAAATCATTAACAAGACACTAAGAACTTAAATTTGGGGATTATATTAAGAATAGTGTTGTTGAGGAATGCATTTATTTTCATTATGATATTTCAAAATTTAAAGCCCTTTGATTTTTTTTCTTGGAAACTGGAAGGAATTCAAACTATAAAATATATGCATTTTTTAGATATTAATGCCTAATTTATTTTTCAAAAATTTAAATTTTTTAAAACAATTACTTTTTGAGATATGCTTGTCTGAAAACTATAAGTGATTTTTCATTATTTTTTTTTTCTTTTCCTAAAGTGAATAAAATAGCGTACAAATCACCGGATTGTAGCCCACCCTCAGGTACTCCGGGTATATAATACCATGAATGTAATAATAAATACAGCTCTGCTTTATAATTACACAATTTGGCAAACTTGATAGTATTTATCTTAAATTCATAAGAGTGTTTTTAATATTACTGCACATTTACCAATGAGCCTCACATCAAGCCCTGTTATTTTGACTGTTGTCTCTGGTTCCACTTTCCCACTAGGTCTTTCGGCTGGTCTATTAAGTTTTTTTTAATTATGACTTAATAAGGTTTTGTAAAAAAAAATTATTTTGACTTTTCAACAGTTTTTCACTGACATATTTTAAGATTTCAAATAAAATTTAAGCTTACCTCTAGTAGGATTAAATATTCGTTGTCGAGCTCCAATATATTGACTTCTAATATCTAAAACTGTAATAAAATATTTATTAAAATCGATAAAATACATCGGTAGCAGAAGAAATATTACCTGTACATAGAATTTGTATTAGTGCTACCCAGATTGCTACTGAGCTGCGCATTTTTAAGATCAATTCAGCGGGTATGTAGGTACGTCCGTTTTGTTACCTGTAAAACAATTAATTATTTATTAAGGATTTGACTACAAGAGAATGTGTAAATTGATAACAAATCCCAACTTCAACTAAAGTAGCAGTAAAAATAAAATAAAGTTATACCCATCACTTTTACATTATGGAGAAATAGCCACTGTAGGGCCGACGAGAAGGGGGTAGCCGGGGACTAATTCCCGGACCCGGGCTCAAGTGAGGGCCCGGCATCGGCATAAGGGGGGCCCGGCAGCTTAAGGTGAGGACGTTTTTTATATTTTTAGAAGTTCGTCACAAGAGGGAGGACCATTTTTGGCTAAGGACTTTTTTTAGAGAATTCACTGGAGAGGAGAAGTTTTTTGCTGAAAGACTTTTTTTTAGAAATGAGATATTGAAACGGCTTATTTTATAAAATTGTAAAATTGTCACGGGGCCCGACCTGGAAAATTTTGCCGGGACCCGACCTGGCTCTCGGCGGCCCTGAAAATTTGATATATGTTGTAGGTAATTTGGATCCGGACAGGTCATAGATAAAATATGTAAATTTAAGGCTCCTTTATCGATAGGTAAATTCGATTCCAATAGCTCCTATTGACTACCTGAACCTTTCAGTTTCGGGTAAAAGTACCTGTTACCAAAAAGGTCATGTTCGAATTGTCTCCTGGGTTGCTTCACAAATAAATTATAATGAGAAAAATAAAAAATCTTAAATTACCTAAAATGTCCCATTAAAAATCTACCGATCATATCAGATAACGGAAGACAACCCGAAAAATTACCCGTTAAATTCGAAAAATAACTCAACTCCTGAAATACCGAGCATGCCAAGTAACGATGAGGTTTACAATTAGAACAAACATCTGTTTACCAAAAGGAAACAACTGGGTCTAAAATTATATAAATTTAATTGGTTAATCGATCGTAGATCTCCAATCTCCATTGCCTTTCGAGAATAACGTGCTAGTATACAGTGCGGTCCGCATGTATGGAAAAAATTTATATTAAGCGTGATTATGAAGTTTTAGACAATATCCCGAAGTAGGTTATTTTTAATTTGAAATTACCATTTTTAACATGAATATATTGCACCCACTTTTACGTTTCTGAATTCAAAAGGGGTTTTGATTCTCTTTTCAGAAGTAGATATTTTTTTAATTTGTCGCAATACTGTTGAAGTAATAGCAAGCCATCTACAAATTAGAACTTGGTCGTTTTGTATTCTATACTTATCTGTTGATACACTGAGTTGATGTATGTCAAATAAAAGGTTTCCGAATTAAACATACGAGTATTTTATTGTAAAATATACAATAAACAATAGGTTATGGGCTCAGATGAAAAGTAGAGACTATGGAGATTTATAAATCTCGCAGATGAAGGTTAAATTTAGGTACCTACTTGCAATATCTTGTTAGACTTTGTGGAAACGAAATAGATTATGGTCACCTTTAGTAAAACTACTAAATTAAACACTTAACCTTAATAAATCTTTCAAACGATGTGGCTAAATTTGTTAAATCATCCTGTATAAATATTTTAATAAATTAAATTTTATTACAAAATTATTAAAGTAGGTACAAGCTTGTATAAAAAAAAGTGAATTAAGTAATTCATTTTTGTTTTAACTGTTTTTTTCTTATAATAAGAAAATTAAATTATTAATTCCTTATGGGAAAAAGGATTCGTAACTCAATTATGGTGATGAACACGGTGCAAGTTTTCTTAAATGGATATATAATTTTTATTTTCCTTTTCCACTGCACTGCACATATCAACCAGATTTTATATTTAGATGTAAATTAATAATGAGATGAGTAAGCGTACCGCTGATAATGTTTTTATAATGTCTTTGTTGATAGAGTAACAACGATGCAACTGTGGTTCCCACAATTTTAATGATAAAACAATTAATGATATCCTCTATATTTGGATTTAATTACTTTTGAATTAAATTATCTTACTAAGTCACAAAATAATTTATCTCCCTACATTATTAATTTGTTATCTTTCTCTTGCCTTGCAATAATAAGTATTTATAGTATTTTAAGTTTAATGTTTATTTCTACATTTTCGGGTATCTTAACACTTTGACTGCCATGTCAGTCGCTGTCGACTAGCAAGGATTTCTTAGTTGACGCCGAGGTCACATTACGGCGACATTAGAAATTTTGAGGAAAGAATGAGACAAAAATACAAATTTTGTGGATTGCAGATAAAGAGGTTTTCTATTCCTCGAATTCAAGAATAGCTACCCTGGCCGCTTAGTTGTTTTGGATGATGGGAGCACAACGTCGGATCATTTGTACATACTCAGTGCTTATTTAGCGCTAAGCACCTAAATTAAATGTTAATGCTTTTTCCAAAAACGACTGACACGACGTGGAGTTACAAATTATTTTTTCATTACAGTTTGTCCTTAATTATTATTAGGTAACTATTTTTACTTTCCTATCTGCATACAGATAAGGAAAATATAGGAATCATGATTTTTTTTGACCTCGAGTTTTCGACGGATTTTTACGTTTTTAGGTCCCCTGGATCCGTTTTGACTATTTTCGCGATGACGTTTATGTCTGTGTGTGTGTATCTATCCTCGATAATTCATAAATGGATACAAAGAAAAACACCAAATTTTAAACTTAAGCTTTATTACGGCCTGCGGTGAACTGATTAGATTTTGTGCAGAGTCGAAACATCTGGGGGGTACTTATTGGGAGTAATTTTAATATTTTATGGTATATATCTGTTATTTACGTTTGGAGAAGAAAATTAGTAAAATAAAAGTTGCTTCTAATATTATTCTATAATTTTTTTTCTATACACAATTTTCCTAAAATGGTCAGTATTCGAGAAATTTGACAAAATGTAAAAAATTAGTTTTAATGAAAATTGTTCGAATAAAAGTTGTTTGCGATATAATTTTCTATAATTCTTGCCCCATACATAATTTCTCTAAAATGAACCGTATTCGAGATATTTGAGAAAATGTAAATCTCGAATTTTGAAACATCAGATTTTTACTATAAATAAAGGAGTGGACATTTTTTTGTTGGTATAAAAATAGCCTAAAATTATGGCATAAAATGTGAAAAACCCACAGGTGCCCTGCTAGCTTGATAGTATTATGCAGGGACGGATCCAGAACCTTCCCAAGGGAGGGGCAATTTTCTGGGTTCACAGCGTGGGCTGATGTTTTTTCATTAGATTTCAATAATTTTGTTCAAGGGGGGCAATTACCCTGTTGCATCCGCCGGTGTTTATATGTTGTTTAATAGTTACCTACCCAGACAACACACCAAATCCCAGAGATATCCGCAGAATATCTTTTGTGGATATCCAATATATCCACAGGATATCAGAAATATTCCGTGGATCTAATATGGATATCCAAATGTCCGTCTATATCCAGGATATAGAAGATATCCTAATGGATATCCAGCATAATATCTAATGGGTATCTTCCAGAAAATACAAGAAATCACAGAGATATCCACAGAATATATTTTGTGGATATTCAATATATCCAATATGGATATCCAACCAAATGTCCGTCTATATCCCAGGATATAGAAGATATTTGGATATTCAGCAAAATATTTTATGGGTATCTTTAGTAGAGGTTCATAAGTAACCAATGATTATTGAATAACGTCGAAAGAAAATAGCAGAGATTAAAAATATTTTCAACACTCTGTCTTTGAATTTGCCCACTAAGGAGAAAGTAATCCTTATTAGGACTCTTCAGCAATAAATGAAAATTCTCGACTCCAGTCTCTAATGGAATGATTAGGACAAACATTTCGATCGAACTCAATTACGGCGGGTCGAGCATGAGTAGATGCGATAGTGGTATCGCCATCTATACTTAGTAAGCAGAATCAAATAACATCTAGTGGATATCCACGATGGTTTGCGTTTGCGCCTAGACTTTGATATATTTAGTGGATGTTCATGGGATATTGAATACACCTTAAAAAAATTAATTTTAAATATCTGAACGGTACTATTAGCCACAATGGCGTAATTTTTTAATATATAATTACTATTATTTATGGACATTTGCATGTCTATAAATTACATTTCATGGATATAAAATAGATATCTACCATGGACTGGACATTCAGTGGATATTGGGATGTTCAGTAGATATCCAAAGGATTTGGTGTGCTGTCTGGGTACTTATTTAACAGGCAACAAAATGTGTAATAATCGACGATACCTATACACTTATTAACAGATAAAATACAGTGTATCACAAGGCACAGTACTCGGCCCTATTTTATTTCGACTGGATTTTAATTATACATTTCTAACAATTAATTAGACTAAAACGTTTTTTTCTCATTAGCTTAGTTATGAAAATAATCCACTGGGTGTGACAGCTTAGAAATAATCAGCAATAACCATCAGGGGCCTTTATTAAGTTCATCAAATAAGAGGAATAATAATTATTATATCGAATCATTTACGCTGGAATCATAATAAAAATAACATAAATTTAAATATAGGTGCATGAAACTTTCCCAAAGCATTTTAAAAAAGCCGTTGTTTTTCTACTTAAATGTAGGTATTATTTAAATGTAAAGTAGAAGTTATAAAACCATAGATGAGATAGATACCTATAAAGGTACCATTTTATTGTTGTAACTGATTGGCCAAAACAATAATGTGAAAATTATATATATTAAATGACACTAAACTGACAAGTATATTTTTGAGACACTTTTAATAATTATTATTTGGCATCGTTAAGAAATATACCTAATATTACAAATTAGTCATACTATTCTCGAGAAGAATTGCACCTGAAGAATAAGGTTGTTTACCTGCAAAACACACGTGCACTATACATAAATAGACGCTTTCGTCTCACTTTATCCATAAGGCGGAGCAAATCAAATCACCAAATCCAAAAATACAGCACGTTTTTCGCGCATATCATTAACAAAAAAATAACCAAATGAAAATAGTTTAATAAATATCCTGTTCTGGGTATGTAAAATCGGGGACGACGGCGCAAAGCGCAAATAACTTAAGTTCAGTCCTCGAATTCTCGAGTAAAACTGTTTGTTGGGCGCTTGGGCGGGCATCGGTGCATCGGGCATGGATGGTTGAAAAGTTGAGTTGAGGTAGAGATGGTGTGCATGTGGTGTGGAACTCTGGCCTATGTCTTATTCCCGTGCATGTCGAAACGATTTGTCGTTTTTTGTCGACAAAATACGTCACAAGTAAAAGCTGCATGCACTTAAAACCGTCTTAAAACTTAAAAAGGACCTAAGAATAACATAGTAGGCGAGAATCATGGGCGTCGCCAAGGGTAAAAGGAACAGTACTCCTCCCTGGAAACCATCATGAAAACTACCTACGAGGCATAAAAATTACTTACAACTAAAGGTCGGAACATAGAAACTACTTACTAGACTAAACTAAATAAATGTACCTTTATCATAATTTTAATAAATTGCGCATTCTAATACAGGGAAAATTTTAACGCACGAAATTAATATATAAAGGTAATAAAGGAAATGAAAAATATTTGATAATATTTATATTTGACTATCTGTAGAAAAATTTCCAAATACATTTACAAAATCTCACTATTGCACCACTGAAATTTTTAATACAGCAGGCCAACGTAAACGGACTATAGGTATATATATATATATATATATATATAGGTATATATATACGAGTGCAATTTCTCGTCGGAGGACATTTCACATTTAAATAGGTAAATTTAGCTACTTTTATAATTTGCATACCATATGTAATTTGATCTTCTTAAAAATATTTTTTACATTCATTTTTTATAATTATTCAATCGGATGTATGATATTAAACGTTGATAAGAAAGAATTATTCAACACAATATTTATATTTAAACAGAGGTCCAACATCCTTCTTTTATGTCATCCAAATGTAGAACAATTGCACAAAAAACTGTATTGTGGTACCTACTTATTGTTGTCAATAGCCCACAATGTGAAATAAAATTCTTTCATTAGGACAAATAAAACAAATGGATTGAAATATAAAATTATAGGCAAAGTTTTGTATTTCATAATGACGATTTTAAAAATATATAATGCGCTCGTTTGCGTTTCTTCGAAAAAAACGCTTATTTTCAAAAGTAACGCATATAATAATTGAAAAAACAACGAATGTTGAGAACAAAGTGTTTATAATATATTCATTCAGTAAAATAGGGTTTCAGCCTCGGTATGATAGACAATAAGCTGAATATATACAAAGGCCTTTCTTTTCGCCTTCTAAATAGTGAAAATTCACATATACGCGTCATAAGAAATTCAAAGTTGGCGAAAATCGGATTTTTACAAATGTCTTGTTTTCTATGCGTTAAATCGTATTCAAAGTTAATATCAAACTTGCAGGATATAAATGATGTACAATTTTTGCCCTTAGCAAAATTGTGGTATCAGAAACTGTTGTCGAGATATTGTATATAGGTTAACGCTAGGTCAACTACGGAGTTACATGGTAAAAATATTTTAATTATTTATTCTAAAAGTTCAAGGTATAGAGTAAGAAAAGAGAGGCTTCTGTACCAAACCTTGTGGTACGCCGGATATTGGTTTGTCCGTTTACTGTAAGCAACTGTGAGCGTTGAATGTTTATGAAATTTAAGCATATTCTATCAAATCCATAATATTGACACTATGATACAAGAAGATTAATCGTATCAAAAGCTTTGATAAAATCTAGTAGAAATAGAATCCCTGCTTTTTTTTTTAAAAATCAAAATAATTGCCAAATCATTTTTACACGCCCTATTTGTGGAATTTCGCATAACATTCGAAACAAAAATAAGGATATCCAGTAAACCACAAATAGTCGGCATTCACTCGGCCTGACACCGGCATGTACCGGGAGGACCGTACCAGTTGACGTAATTTAGAAGTAGAAACCGCATATGGTCCATATTTGGCGTTCTAGACATGGCAGCATCCTTACGGGCCGAGCGCGCTTAATATTTGGCTATCCGGGCATGGGAAGCATCGTTACGGGCTGAATTATATATAGATATATGAACGCGGCTACAATTTAGTGGGGTGCCGACATTCGGCTGGGCGGACATGCCCTACCTATATGCCGAAGCCTCACCCGTATATCGGGCCGAATTCGGCATCCGGCAAGCCTCCTTCGGCCCAGTTGTGGTGCCGATAAACTGTGTTATTGGGTACCCTCACAAATGTCAAAGTATGTAGCTTTCTTCACCTCGTTTTTATCTAATACGCTCTTTAGTTTTCTGTCATAACAGCCCGTACAATAACGTCCAACTTTGTGGTCAATTCTCTCTTTTTTTTCAGAACATGCTTTGTTACCATTTTTAAGATATTGATGTCGTTCACTTCGACCATTGCAAATCGACTGATGCAACAGGTGATGCGCTGATGTAACAAACTTTAAAACAAAATGTCAACAGGACCGCCAATGGGATTGCTGTGGCCCGTGCAGTAAAATTTTCCTACAGCGCCACGGCGGTACCTCGTGACCGCTAAAAGGAAATGTAAAAATATCGAAACATGCATGGGCATTATACTTCATATAAATTATGATTAAATATTAATATAGAAACGTGTACTGTATAATTTAAGTGAATCATATACATAATAATATGATTCGACACCATTTTAAGTTCGTCTCTAATAACATATATGGGGTAAAATTGCCATTATATTACTTGTTTAGTATTTTTAAGTCAAAAGAACTAAATTTTTCACTTTGCCGTAGAAGACACTTTTCTTATAGCCAACTCCCGTGGCGTTTACGTGTTAATATTGTTATTACCAGCATTTAGATTTTATGTTCAAAATGATATTGAAGAGTTCGGATAGTGTTATTGTTCTCAAGTGTAATTTAATATCTAGGCACAGGGCCGACGAGAGGGGGGGGGGGGGAGGGAGGACAAATTCTCGGGACCTGAAGGCCCGACAGCTTTAGGTGAAGACGTTTTATTTTTTAGAAGTTCGCCACAAAAGGGAAGACAACGAAAAATACAAGGTGATGAGGACTAAGAAAGGATCTGAGTTTATGCTTGAGGACCTTTTTTTATACTTGAGGACCTTATTTTTCTTTTTTTTTAGAAATATGTAACACAGAAATGACTTGCTTTCATAAAAATGTCCCGGGGCCCCACATGGTCCTCGGCGGTCCTGTCCAGGTATTAAAAGGAATTTAGTTTTATAGAATAAAATTCTTGGAAATCGAAAAAAAATCGATTTTTCAGGGTTCTAAGTCAAATTAATCTATTATTCTAAGTTTGAACTCAGAAAAATCGAGAGTTCTAAGTCTGAAAATAAAAAAATATTTTGTGGCCCTTCTACGTCTAACTGCCCTCTGACTGCGATTAACGGAATGAAACTGTAAATTAACGTTTAAGTAAAATAACTTCTCTGAAGGTAACTAAATAATATAGCAAAATACGTGAAACTAACCTTTTATTTCTTTAAAGTAAAGCTTTTACTGGAGCTTGTTTACTCTCTGCAAAATCCCTTTCATGGCACCCACATTTAGAGAACATCTGCGATACACTTGAATCTAAATATTCGTTTTTATGGATTCATTCACATTTAATATGGTACATACGCGTTTTGTTTTCTTATCTTTATTCGGAATTAAGTAATTCGACAGGAAGAAGAAACGAAATGCCGGTCCGTTCGAGTAAGATTTGAGGACAGTGACACGTTACAAATTGATCTTCGACACTGTTATCTCTTCGATTGTTATTGTTATAATTTTATTCTGAATAGAACTGGAACTAAAATTCGTTTTTTTATTTATCAAATATAGAATGTACATATCATGAACGTCTTTCCGACCAATGGGTAACTTCCTCTGAGAGCGTTGGTGGACTGATAAATTAACATCCGGATTTTTGTCTAACCTACGAGGCGACTCTTGATTTAGCTGCTAACTTGTTTCTCGTTAAGTGCAGAGAGGCTACGTGTATGCCTAAAATGTATATATTACTTTTTCTTTATCGCTAATAGTTTTAAAATAAAGAGAGCAGTGTTTAAGCTGCAAGAATCTTGTCAGTTTCTACAGATGGGTTAGCTCTTAGTAGTCTTAGTGGGAGAAAACCAGAACTATGTGTCAGGGTTATTAGCATCATAAATGAACTATTATTTAATGGAATGTTTTATTATAAAATAAAATGATTATCAAACACAAGCAACGCTTTTGTCTTCTTTTATAGAAATATTTCGTTAGCGTTTATTTACTACGAATTTTTTTACAAAAGACTACAATAAAATAGTATATTATTTAACAAGCAAATACTGGTTTCGACTAACCCACGTATCTATTAATATTGTTATGTTTTATAATGAAACATTTTATTAACAATGTTTTCGGCTAACCCCTGTAACTATAATATTGTTACTTTTTGCTTATAGGTCGTATTGAACTATTTCCTTGGTTTTAAGACTAAATAGGTAGAAAATACAAATATTAATTCTGTAATTCACTTCCTATTTGACCGGAAATATGATGAACTTTGACATTTTAAGTAGGTTATCCTGTATTTTATTTAATAATCTCATAAAACTACTTTCTAAAAACAATTGCAACCATGCCTTTAGGATCTTATTTAATAATATTAATGCATCTTATAGCTCATTTACAGGTGTATAAAATATAAATAAGTAGGCATTTATCCAGTAAAATTACATGTTAATAATTATATTCTTTAGGGTCGATTCCATCGTTGTGTTAAACGAAGTTTAAAATGACATTGTTAATGTAAAAATGCCATTTTACTTTTAATACAAATACCTCTAGAATCTCAGCTTTACTACAGAAAAATCTGATGTGTCCAATACATGAATTTTATGTCTAGTTATTACAGGCTTGTTCCGGTTATTTTGTACAACCTATATTGTATCACCCTTGTAAATGTTTAATACACATATTTTCCATACACGAAACATTTTTTTTTTATATAATATTCATTTCTAACGAAAATACTGAGAATTTTTTATTTTCCCATAACGATACATTTTAGAGAAATCATGTATAGAACCAAAGTTGTAAAGAATGATATCGCAAACTTTTATTTGAATTTTTTTTTTAAATTCGAATCCTGCGCTATGTGTTAAATTTCTCGAATGCGGAGTATTTTTGGAAAATTATGTGTAGAACAAAAATTTAAAAAAATTACATTTCAAGCAACTTTTATTTAAAGAATTTTCTTTTCCAAGAGTAAATAATCAGATATATTCCATAAAGTAGAAAAACGACCCCCCATAAAGTACCCCCAATCAGTTGCATCGGTAAACATTTGGGGCTCCCCCGCAAAATTATGTGACAGTATAAGTACCAATTGTCAGTAGCGTATCTAGACATTTTTGGGGGGGTGACTCATACAATACATATGAGATAAATGTGATTCAACCGTAAAGAGAAAACATACGAAATATGAAGTTTGATAGGGACCCGGGCCCCTCTGGTCCCCCTTTCGATCCGCCCCGGCTAATTGTTATTATCGTCATAAAATTAAAAAATACAAATAACGCAAAAAATATAGAAAATAAAACTTACTAATGCAAAATTTGCTAATCGCAATGTTGCTTTGCTAATCGCAATGTTGCTTTGCAAATCGCCGTTTGAAGAATTTTCTTCTCAAAGCGCAAATAACAGATATATTCACTATAGTAGAAAAACCACATGCTATAAAACGTATTTAGAGCATCCCAAAACGTCAAATACTCGAGGAGAGAAATGATTCCTATACTTTCTATATATCTGTATACAGACAGGAAAGTAAAAAAGAAAAATATAGGCACATAATATAACTATTTGTAAAACAGCTACTAATAAACTACTTAACAAAACAAATATACAGGACGAATCCAAAGTTAATACTTTTTTTAACTGTATAGAAGTCATTAAAATAAACATTTTCAAAAAAATCAAAAATAAACTTATATTAATTTATTCCAAAATGTATATAATACCGTCTTATCTAAAAATACTGTGTATAACTTTCTAAGAATAATATCTATTTTATTTTGCAATATTTCTTCTAATGAATTTGAAAAAAGGTAGCGTCATCTGCATATAGTATTGCAAATTCCTCACGGACTTCATTTATATAGATAGTAAATAAAATGGGGACTAGCACCGATTCCTGAGGTGCCCCACATTGTTTATTATTGTCTGAACAACTGATTTTACCTAATAATAAAGGATTGAAACCATTTATTTTTCCATAGGAGTATAGTTTATGCAGAATAATATATTGAACACAGTCGAAAGCCCTATTTAGTACACAGAAGATTCCTACAGGACATTTGCCATGTTCAATTGATTCAAGTATCTTCTCATAAAAGTAGAATATTCTGGTATTCCGTTATAACTTTATTTAAATTGAGATAATGCATTCAAAAATTTTACGAGAATGTTGAAATTACCGAAATTGGTCGAGGCATTTTAAGTTAAGCCTATTGATGCGAAGAACAGGGGGGCATGGATAACTCTCCTACAACAGAATAAGATCCAACCCTGGGTTATGGACGATATACTACATACTATCTATAGAAAATAAAACTCAAAATTGTCGATATTTATTTATTTAAAGTTAAAAGCAACACCTAATATTAAGTTATGAATTTAAAAATAAATTCACAAAATGTTTTCACTATTGCACAAAAGAAGTCAAATTACATATTCAAATTACACTACCAGTCGTATACGACATAAGGCTCTATGTCTCGGGAATGTAAAATATCGTAGTATATCATTACCACAAGACATTTATGTTAAATTTACTAAACTATTACTTTATTAAATATAGTTACATATATATCACGGAAATAATATTTAAATCGATTTATTATGTATCAGAAATGCTCTCTGTTTTACTGATACCACATATACACCTCTTACTTGTTGTTCATATAGGCGGTGAAAGGCCGATAAAACAGTGAGCTGATCTGTATATGTCTACATACAGGAAGGTACAATATTTAAACTTGGGTCAAAGTTATACAGGTTCTTGTTATAAACAAAAATAGCAAGTAAGAACGAATTTTCGGTGGCCTTCCCTTTTCAGTATATTTTTTTTTAATAAAAGTGCAAGAATTAACTTCAAGCTGGTGCCGCCCTTGTTGCAATGGCCTATTTTTGTAAAAAATAAAAATAAATATTGTCATCTAAAAATTGACAGACATAAGACATTGTGTATAATGTGTTGCCTACCTTTTGGAAAATCATACCTTGTAATAGTCTCATTTTTATACAATTAAGCATTCCAAACAAAATGGCTGTCGGTGTATAATATCTAGAATACGTAAAATCATGAATAATGGATTAAATTTAAATATTTTATGTCGAACTCGATGAAAATATTATTATATACTTTTCATAAATGCAGGTTAGGCGACTACTATTTCGAATAAAAATAGTGTCAAAGATGTAAGGCAACGTCGCAATTCCCTTAGATATACGGGCGAGCCCTTCCCACCGACAGATTGCTGGAATGCAATTATCGAATTTTTGTGACACCCTGTAAAAACTATTTAAATCCTGTATTTGTTAAATGATCTCTACATAAAAAACTACGTTTTCGGGACCCTTAGTATAAGTGACTGAACAACTTTCACCCATGTTTGAACATCGTACCAGGGCTAGTATATAAAAGAGGCATATTAATGGTCGGAAACCCGTCAAATGTGTGAATTAATTTTATGTATTTGAGCCCACCATTTTTCACGTAAATAAAATGTACAACTATATTTAAAAATAAAGTAAAATGTGCTTAAGAACTAATCACTAATAAGTATCTAAAAATCAAAAATAACAAGGTATTCAAAAAACAACCAAATCAACTAAAACAAATGGATATAACAACATGTAACGTCGCTTGTCTTCAGCTAGTGTAAATAATATTTCTGTTTTTTATAACAAATAATACAGGATATACAATATATAACTGTGGACTAATCATTCACCCAGAATACCCCGTACCTTCGGATCCATATTGTAGCTATTTTTTAAAAATAATTAAAACATAAATTGTGAAGCACAAAATTTTTAAAGATATAGTTGAAATATGTACACAGTGCACAATAAAAAAATATTAGTTAAATTCAGGTTGGTTTGGGTGGTAATATATCTTCTGAATTTTGAAAAATTTCGTTATAACAATTGAAATATTTAAATTTCTGAAAAAAATGACATTATTACAGATCCGATTCAAAGGGGTATTCTGGACTCTTCCAGATACTACCCATCAGCTAGTTGTAACCAATCTCAATTATGGTCCTGATTTACACACATGACTACACTTTGGCCAAATTTAACTCTGCCGGCGAGTATTGTGTAAAACTAATAAAAATAACTCCGAATAACTCTAAAATCGCCATTTCTACAAGCAATACATTTTAGAATTATTGAAAATATTTTTTTTTTTTTTTTTTTTTTTTTTTACATACGTTTTGGTAAGCTGTACATATTTATACCCAGATGTCCGTTAGGCTGTACTGTCAAATCAAACTACCCCTAAAAAACCACTCCAACGGCACTGCTACATTTTTCTAATCAATTTTGAAGTATTTATCCCAAGTCTAAACGCACCAATCTTAATATGCTTCTAGGAGTACACTGAATGAAATTGAATAGAGCTTAAAAGGATGTCCGGGTTCGATCCCCAGCTATGACAGGATTTTTTTTCAAATCTCCAAGTATTTGTTTTCAACCTTGTGGTTCAGGGATGGTCTAAATAATAAGTAGGGGGATCCCTGAGATTTGTTTCAGAATTTTCAAATTATTTTGAAATAAAATACTTTCTTGCTTCATTTCTTCTTTGATGAACAAATCTTGAGTCAATTATCAGATGGTAATATAAAAAATTATTACAAACCAGTAATACACCATTATTATCACATTCAACGACCACACTAACTTTTGTATGCCAGTATAGTAAAAGTAATGTAAAAGACTAGGATAGTTGCGACACCTACCGGCGGTATGTAATATAATTGTATGTTGAGGTAATTTTGAGCAAGATAATTTGCTGATTTTCTATTTTGAAAGATTTTAAAGGAATGTGTGAACAAAAAAGAAATTAAATATGACTTGATTCTACTAATTTTTAAAAAAAATTGATTCCAAAAGTTTAGAAATTGCTGACAGCATGGAGATACGTCGATAAAAAGTATGTGGAATTACGTAGCCCTTATGCACTGTCTCATGCCTCAAAAATTGAGGATTTACCAGAAATAAAGCTATCCGCTAAAAGTCACTTGTAGTTGATTTAGAATAAAAGCAAATAAATAAAATATCTATAATAATAAGTAAATAAAATCATATTTTCGCATTAAATTTCCTAAAATAATAGAACTTCTAAATAAATGGTTTAGTATCAGCGTAGGATAATTTTAAATGTCAAATTGGAAACGAAAAAAAGCCAAAATTTTCAGTTATTTTTTCAATTTGTTTATATTTTGCATACTTTATCGATTCCTCGAAGTGGAAGTACAATTTTTAACATTCTCTGCAATTTATATAAGTGGTAAACACGTTCAGAATCAGAAGAATTATTTTAACCCATTAACGTTGTACGTTACCATATGACAACAACAATCATAGGTGTGTTAAAAATTTAATTCAGTACTATAGAAGAGTTTAGAAAATCCATCAGTGCCCGGCCGCAATGCTATTTTATGCAAATTTTTATTAATTGAGTATTGGAACAAGAAAAAGTCTCCTTTCCAACTGTTTTAAGTTCACTAAAATGAATGAATGAAAAGAAAATGAGGGGCAGTTTGATTTTGTTAAAAATAGTTTTTTTTTTGTTTTGATTTAATGTATGTCAGACTATAAAATACAACATCAAAATTTCCTGTATTATTACGTATTGATTTGAAGTTTGTTGATATTATTGCTAAGTCTATTTATCACTTTTACTAGTATATGTTACCAGTTATATAAAAAAAAAATCTTAAATAAAAATAAATAGCTCATAAAGGAACATAATTTTTTTTTATATTGATGAGATCAGACATTTTTGTATACCTTTGAAATTCAACAAAGAAATGGAACAAAATATAATACCTAGAAAATATCCATTTTATTATTGGAATTAATTTATTTTTCTCCGATTTAAAAGATATAAATTTGTTAAGGGGCAAAGATTGTAGGTCTTTAAAGTTTTATGCTAACTGCAGTAGTGGCGTAGTGGTTAAGAGGCCTTTTTTTTTAAATACCGGTATTTTGCGTTTACCAATATGTGATCATTTCTTATATTTATTTAACGATTTGTACTTGGATTTGTATAAAATAACTTTAAATGTAGATTGTTTAAATTTAACTTTATTCAAATTTAAAAAAAAAATTAAGTTGACAACACTGTCAGTGAGAGTTGTAAAAATTCGTTTATTTTTCTGCATTTTAATATATTTTTAATGAATTATTTCTGTTTATTTTTTATCATTTATATATTATGTGTGTGTTTTATAAAATACCGTTTAGAAATGTTTTAAATGAGAATTTAAACTATCGCACCCTCATTTACATTTGCAAATCCTTGCCCCACCATGTTTGTTATTCAATCGACAACACTGTGTGAAATATTTCCTAAACTGTTAATAACGTTTAATCTAATTCTATAAACTTTTTCTAATTATAATTTCCAGCTTTTTATACCAATAAATGAATGAGCTTTATTATTGCAGAAATCTTCTTAACTCTACTGAAATTCGTCATTAATAAGGAGTAGAAAAATTTCAAATTCAACTTGTAGTGCATTGCCACATATCTTAAACTGTTATTCTTTCATTTTTAAATGAGCAATAAAAGGAATGAACACATAAATCATTGTATTCATGGGCGTCGTCGGGAAGATTGCGGTATTTTTTAAATTTATTTTTTGGTAATTATATTTTTTTTTTTTGTTTGATGGACATTTTTTACTGCCTATAATTGACGATTTCAACTATTATAGCCCCTAGATTTTTTTAAATATGCGAGGCTCTTAGGTATAGGAAGTGAATTTGTTTTTTGTGAAATTTAAAAATATTAGAATCAATTTTGATTGTAATTTTAAATTTCGCCTATTAACATAGACTTTCAAAGAAATATAAAATGGCAATTTAAATCTAAATTTAAACTAGATTACAACCCGTTTTTAATAAAAAAAAAAAAAAATCAAAAATAAATAAACATTTACCAACTCTGAATACATTGCTTCTTCCAACAAATATTTGATTTCATCAATAAATTTTACCAACACACTCACATTACTAGTAATACATGGAACCATTTTAGTACCAAAGCAGACAGAAGCATGATCCATGCTAGTCTTAGAAAAACAAGGTACTATTTTAATACTAAAATGTAATATGATCTCAGTTAAATTCACATAACCTGCAAGATTTGGCTAGCTTCAAAAGCAGTACCTGGCAGTAAAATGACTGGACTTGACACATGTCCAGCTTCTACACAAACCATATTTGGATATTCATCATCACCAAAATCTCCCAGGTCTTTTGCTTGATCTACCCATGGATTCCAGATTACTGTATCTGGGAAGTTGTATTTTTGAATCCTCATTTTGCGCCCAGAAACTACGTTGGTTATTATATGTTCTTGAGGAGTATTTTGATAGATTCTGTCAGTCCATTCACCAATGGTCACCACATCTCTAGTCTATTGACAAGTTACAAACATTACAAATTATTAACAAAATAAATTCATTTCATAATATTTTTAGTTATATTTTTCTTATACAGAATTTTGAATAAAAATTTACCTCTTGATATATAGCACCTTCTCTAGTTTTATCCATGAAAGTACATCCTTGCAGTCCAGTGATTTGACAACGTCGAACATCAGGAACTTTGAAATATGTATGTAACAACATATTAAAACTGAATGTCAACTCTTTACTTGGGTTATATACAGCAATATTGAAGTGTAATTCTTTTTCACGAAGTATAAGTCTGTATGTTAGTCTAAATCTAAAAAAAATCTACATTTAAAGATCCACATCTAATTTACATGTGAAAAATATTATTTTTCACAATAAATTTGCAATAAACTTTTGAATTTTTCTCCAATTTTTTTTTGTCTCTGTCTATGGGTCGACATCTATTTTCAGAATTTTCAAATTATTTACATGGGCAGGCTTAAGAGGTAACGATCCCAAATTTTTTTACACAGGTGAGAGCTTAAGGGGCAAAGGACCAAATATTTTTGAATGGGCAGGTGTACAGTGTAAAGGAGCCAAATATTTTTACTTAGAAATATTTTTATATGAATAAGTTTAAGGAGTAAAAGATCCAAATGTTTTTACATGGGCAGGCTTAAGGGGTAAATGGCCCAAATATTTTTATATAGACAGGTGTAATTAAAATATTTTAATATGGAAAACTTAAGGGATCAAATATTTTAACATGGACGGGCTTAAGGTATAAATAGGCTAAATATTATTACATAAGCAGTTTTAAGAATTAAAAAGACCAAATAATGGTTAATAAATCTTTAAAAAATATTATTACATGATGACATGCCAAAGTGAAGTGATCAGAAATGGGGGACAACCAATATCATTTTATTTATTTACTATCTGAGAAAAATTTTAAGTCAATTTTCAATTAAATTACAAATCTTACGTATAATTCCACATGGATCGTGTAAAATCTGTGTCCATTATTGAAAAAACAGCTTCTACATCGCCACTAGGTAATCTTTCAGGAGCTTTTTCTAAATTCCATCTAACAATTCGTGCAAATCCATGTTGTGGACCAAAACTCCATTGTCCAAATTGTGCTAAAAAATGAATAGTTATATGTTTTAACATGTGAATTCTCTTATATCTATTCTTTCTAATAACAAATCTCTGATCAACAGTGTCAAATGCCTTCGACAGACAACTGTTACAAAAAAACATTTCCCTCAAAAAATGGCTTTTGACAAAATTAACTTTGTTTTGTAGTTTTGGCAGGGATATTATATTTTATCTTGTAATAATATTCACAAAACTTACGAAATATAAAAGGAATTCCACCCCTAATAGCCTTCTTTCCATCAAACACTGCTTGTTTACTAAAAATAAAATAAAAAATTTTAAAACAAAAATTGGCAATTTGGAAAATTAATTTACCTGACAAATAACTGTTCTTGATTATTAACCCTCCACGAAACGACAGTGGCACCTAAAAAAAGAATAGGTTCATTGTTGATTCAAAAATATTTTTTAGGTTATGATCATTTTTTAAACGGTTGGAGCAAAGGTGTCATGTGTTAAAAACAGTAACGTTATTTTTTTAAAGCACCTTACCGTGTAAATTGATAGTACAAGTAGTGTTGTTTCCTCGATCTAATACGACAACACTAGTAGCTGCCATAACAGTTTGGTAGCTGCTAGCCAAAAGCCACAAAATCCAGAAGATGCTACAGCGTTGTTTTTAACTGTACCGCACTTAAATATGTTAAAAATCTCACTTTCCGCGGTATTACCTGCGCGGACACACCACAGGTGTTAAGTCCCTCTGTCGGTAGTGAAAAAAATATTAACCCGAAGAAAAATTAAATGCAGTGGCGTTTTGCTTAAACTGTAAAATCAAATCAAAATGCCACATCTATGGATCTAACGATCTTAATATGTAGAAGCTCAATCGACAAACGACTAGTTTTTCATTCATTTACAAAAAACAGAAATGCTTTAGATTACGGTCAAATCGAATTTTTTGGCGCCACCTTTTGACCAGTAATAATATTAACAACCGTATTAAAAAGTAATCTACATGCTTATTAACATTGTATATTGTTATGTCAAACGTAAAAGCATTATACAACCATTGTATAAAGAACTAGTTATCTATACAATGATACAACCGTTATACAACGCACACATCTACTTTATTAGGCATTTCAACGACCTGTCAAATTCCTGCCCTTGGGTTACATTTGGCATCCCCGTGGAGCAGTTAGCTTTGGCAGAGTCAATGATATAATAGTTATATAAATAGCTCGAAGTGGATCTCTTTGCGAGCGGCCATATTGCCTCGTATATGTTCATTAATCAGAATAGGTTTTTGCAAAAATATATTTTAAAACCAATTTTCGGCCTGAATATAATAAGAAAAATAATTATTTACATTTTTACTTCAAGCATCTTCATGGAATAAGCCTAAGCCATAACATTGATTATTAATCCATATAACACTATATCACTGACCCGAGTCAAAGCACTAAGTACAGTGTTGCCATATCCTAATCTACGGGCAACCATTTTGATTTCTGTAGAGACAGACGCGCCTAGCCATCTATTAACAAGTTGCAAAAAGCCTAGGTATAATAGTAGAACTCTGTTTTAGTCCAAATGATGGACATAAAATGGCGGATACGATACATCTTTCTGTGAATAATTTGGACTCCTTTTTTAAATTAAAATGTAATAATCAATTAACGACTGCAGATAAAGATGAGCGGTAAGAAGTCTTTAATTCTATCAGTTATATTCTACACTTACAGGGCGATTCAAGAATTATTAACAGAGGAAAAAGGTAGCAAATTTAACGGTTCTAGTTTGAAATCAACATAATACAATCCAAAATTTCTTTTGCTTATGTACCTATATTTTCATGAAAATCAAACAAAGTATAAAAATATATTAAATAACCATACCTATCTTTATTAAAGATTCCGTAACAAAACATTCAAATGCAAGTAACATTTTTACAAAAAACAAAATTAAAAAGAACAGTTTTCAGAGTACCATTTCTTGCTATTATAACAATTAGCGTTAGTACAATGAGGACATCTATGCAAAAATTTCTTAGAAACAGCTACTTTGTTTTGTAAATGATTCTTTACTATGTCACAGAGAGCTTCAATAAATAGAGGATGATCATTAGGTGCAGGAACTCTCCGAATTATGTCGACTCCAACCTAAAATATAATAAACAAAAACCATTAAAGACATTACCTGTATCATTAAATTTAATTCACTCACTTCTTTGGCTAGATCTGTGCAATACTCAATATCAAGCTCATGCAAAGTTTCAATGTGTTCATTTACAAAGGCAATAGGCACAACAACAAATACTTTTCTTCCATGCTTGACGTAACCTCTGATAGCATCATCAGTCATGGGTCCTAGCCATGGTAATGGTCCTACTTTGGACTGCCACACTAATTGATATGCATGAGAAAAATTTAACTCATGCATAACTTGGTTAACTGTAGCACCAACTTCTGAAGGATATGCGTCGCCACGATTTACAGTCTAAAAAATATTTTTTGAGTTATTTATATAGCCAGATTCTATACCATCTAAGTTTAATATCAGGCAGTTATCTATGTTGCTTTATTTTTCTTGGGTACACATGGATCAAGATCAGATTATCACAGAAGTTATACACCACTGAAGTTATAAATTATATTAACTAGAAGCTAGGAAAATACAATTTATTTAAAGAGGTTTAAATTTGAAAATTATTTTCTTTAATCTATTTAATTTTTAACATGCAACTTTTTGTTGTGCAACTCTACAGATCACTTTTTGTTTAAAACCTTATTAAAAATGTTGGTTAATTAAACTCTATCAGTAAGATAATTTTCTACCAATGTAAGTACCACCCCTACTCCATAATATTCTACATGTCCCTATAAATTCTTTCTAAGTATATTATAGCACAAATTGGGACTTTGATATAGGTCTTATACAAACCTGGGTCAACAAGTCTAAGGCATTTTAAACCAAATGACATGTAATACTTTGATAGTTAAAATTTCGATTATTAAAAAAAATAGTTTGACTAACCTTTAGAGGAAGGGAATGTGCTGAAAACAAAATAATAGCTTCCTTCCGTTTATTTTCAGGTATTTGTTGTAGTTCTTTCTTAATATTTTCAGCAAAAGTTTTTATTAGCAAAGGGTGTATGGGCCATCGGTCAATGACTGATAATTTTATATCATTTAACAATTCTCTATAAAATACAAATATTTTAAAATGATGCTAAACCCTTTCTAAAACCTTTTACTTACTTATTTTTCAAATATCTGTAAATTTCATTAAAGCTAGAGCCAGTGGTAGCACAACTATATTGTGGATACTGTGAAAAAATAACTGCATGTTTAACTTGATCCCTAAAAATAGATATTGTAATAGTAATAAACAGCATTATAGGTATTTTGTGTTATACTTTTGTAACTCTGAAAAAGCATCTTGTGTATATGGAGGTACATATCTAAAAGCTACGTATGGTTTGTGGGGAGCAGTTTCAGGACTTTTCTTATCCAACATTTCACACATGAGTTTGCCTTGTAATTTTGTCCACTTAAGTATTGGAGATCCACCCCCTATCTCCTGGTACTTCTTCTGAACTTCAGGGGTTCTCCTTCTTGCTATCCAAGGCCCCAACGTACTAAAACAAATAACCAACATTAGAAGTAAGACAAAAAATTATTAAGATTAGAAAAGCTTACTTTTGAGCCATAGGTAACTGTATCATATCTCTATCCGTCATAATTTTATATAAATAATCATAAACTTGCTCAGTCTTTTCTGGTCCACCCATGTTTATTAAAACAATACCAGTTTTAGGTTTTGTTGCACTTGTAGAGCAATCTCTGGGTCCTGTTCTAAATGCTTGTCCTAAAAAAATACTTTTCACCATCAATATATTAAAAAAAATTGCCATATATACTTAACAGTGCTGCCCGTGGAAACATCGTGACTATGGATTTTGGAATATAAAAACTCATGAAATATTTTAAACCACTTCACAATAATTAAAAACACATGATAGTTTTTCTATGATATTTACATATTCATAACTTATAACCCCACAAAAGTGACAGCATGACAGTGACAACACAAAAAGCAAACCATAAAAACCAAAGATTAACACTATTAAACAGGATAGCCTAGTTTCTTATATAATCTGTTTGTGAGTTCGATATTGCAAAATGTCGATTTGTGACGTGCAAAAACCTCGTATGCAGCTCATAATATCCACGATCTTCCACCCCCAAATCACCCATCGTCAATATGTCTTCTCTATATCTCTATCAGATTAAAGAAATATCAATATTGTTTATACTTCCTAAGGGTCGATTCCACCATTGTGTTAAACGAAGTTTAAAATGACATGTTTACATTAACAATGTCATTTTAATCTCTGTTTAACACAACGGTGGAATCGTTCCTTAGAGGCGCTTGAAATGTCTTGTTTTTGTACTAAAGATGCTTCTACTACTAATAAGGATAAGAATTTGCGTTTAACATAATTTCGCAAAAACGTGGACATGTCCAGTTCCTGTATTTTTCAGGGATTCAACTAATACCTAAAACTAGGTATGGTCTCTCTATAAATTTGAGCAAGAGCCGCTCCTGCCTTAAGATTTTCCACCATAAAATTCAACGCGCCAACTTAAACTGATTAACTCAATTTGCCGCTCTTCTCTCATCTTCTAATTGGTCGAAATAAGACAGTTTGAATAAACCCGATTTATTTTCTAGCTTCCATTGGTCGAAAACTTAATGTAGGCAACCCTTAAAGCATTTTATGAGATAATTTCGTTTATAATGGTTTATACGTCTTATTTGAATTAGTTCGCAAATTTCGGTTGAGGAAAAGATTGTTATAATTTTCAAAAGTTTACTAAATAAACAAACAAACGCGATTAGGTAAAATTGGACGTAAAATCAACGTCTGGGCCGGTTTGTGAGGTAAAAGAACATTGTGAAATTGCTGCATTAGTGTTACAACCCAGTTACAAACCCTAGCAGAAACAGTACAGCCGAATCCAAGGAACTCAAGTCAGTTATATTTTGTTTAATAATATTTTCAAATAAAATGTTTATTAAACGTAGATATATACGGTACAGATATTTTAAAATGCGGTAACATCCTCGACTATCCCTATTATTTTCAACTTAACCTATCATAATATGTTCAAATAAATTAAGTATACATTGCAATATAGTTAATACCCGTAAAATATCCGCAAACAGTATATTATACAGCTATAAAATAGAACTAACTCTAAAATATATTTATTATGAGTTTCCTATTTCTAATAGGTCGCTCTTTCTATTTCTCTTACAAGCGGTAACTGCTGCAGTGAAATCTTATCTTGATATTAGGAATATTATCTTTGAATTGATGTATATTTACTTTTTGCTAGGATACCTACTAATGGTAGGATTCTGGAAAATATCCTATAATCTGCAGAATCTATATAAGATATAGTAATGTAATGTAATTTTTTATAGATTTTGGCTTACAGATCTTATATATTGTCTCAGAATCATCCCATAAGATTGAGAGAAAAATAATAGATTCATTGCCGTCTTTTTCGAGAGTGGGAAATTTATCTAGGTCAAGTCAACCATCAATAAATGATCAATACCACAAAGCACGATCAATATATACCATCGAGCTAGAATTCTATTTCGATGACCAATACCATCATTAGACAACACACAATACACCAATACACAATTAATGCTTTTTAAGTCATTTGGTTCATTATAAAAAATAAGTTCGTTATAAATTTACCCTGAGATTGCTTTTTTGGGTACGTTGTCGTCCCAGCAAGAAAGGTTCTATTTACAAATTTTTTAATTCGAGATAATGAGTTTTTAACTATTTTTGGCACACATCTATCTGCTAAACGTGTTTTGTGTAAAACAAATAAGGTATATAAGTAGTGCTTATTCTAATGTCTACAAAATTTTTTTGTTAAACAAAAAAAAGTTATTTGAAAATTCGGAAACAAATCTCAAAAATCCCCCTACGAAGTATCTAGACCATCCGGAGATGGTTCGGAAACCCCAAAGGTGAAAACAAATACTTGGTGATTTGAAAAAGCATCCATTTTGTCGGCGGAATTCGAACCCAGACTGTCGAGATTCCTAGACGGCAATTTGATGTGCTAATTCGGGCCAGACGCCGTTTCAAGATCGTTCTCAAATCTTGAAATACCTCTATACAGCATTGGTATGGGCTTAGTATGGACTTAGTAAGCATTATTTCATTTATCTCTCTTTGAGAACGATCTTGAAACGTTGTTTGGACCGAATTAGCACATCAAATTGCCGTCTAGGAATCTCAACAGTCAATGTCGCCATGGTCTAGAGGTAAGGGCATTTGTGTACAGAACAAAGATGCCTGGGTTCGAATTCAGGTAATGACATGGAGGCTTTTTTCAAATTTCCAAGTATTTGTTTTCACCTTTGCGGTTCGGGAATGGTCTTTATATTTCGTAGGGGGATTTTTGAGCTGTATATCAGAATTTTTAAATTACTTACAACTTATTTTAGATAATTCTGACTTTGAATTTCGATTTGCTATCTACGATGTATTAAATTTACAATTTTCAAAAAAAGTTAAATGACGTGTTTTCAAAAAAGACGATGTATCTCTGTACATTTCAAATGCCTTGCGTCTACCGGTAAACAATCGAAGAACACGGCTATACGCTAGTATGTATATATAGTATATAGTAGCAATTGTCCATTATTATTCACCTATTTAGCTTTGGCATCGTACACAGAGTCGTATACCTGCAATCGTGATAAAAATCTAGTGAACCTTTACCTAGTTTTGTATAGTCGTTCACCGTTTTAGCTTCTAGTGAACCTATGCGATATAGGTACCTTATTATACTATTTAGCTACTTTTGTGCAATAGTTCAGTGTTTTAGTGAACCTTGGAGATATTCCTTATATTATTCTTTATACCTACTTTTGCACAATCGTCCAGTCTTTTATAGGCAAGAGTAGTACCAGGTTCCAGGCCAAATTTTTGGGGGAGTGGTAATTGCCACTAGCCATTCCCTTTTTAGCGCATATTGTTTTTAATAAAAGGCTCCTGTATTGCAAGAATTTTATTCTCGGCGCCATTGTCCCCATTGCCTCATTGTTCATTATTAATACCTACCTCTACTTTTGTGATATTAGTACTTGATTTCATGAAGAGTTTAATAATAAATTTATGCAAATTTTCTTAATTTGAAATTTCCATGTTTTCTTGAAATTTTGTAATACCAGGGTAAATAAATGTTTTATCTCAAGATTAAATTATCAAGCATGAAACCGAAATTGTGGAATTTCTGCAAGCAAAAAAAAATCATAGGTACCTATCATGATCACGAATTTCAAACTATATAAAAGTGACATCCTGGAAATTGCAATTGTAGATTAGAATTTTTGTCCTTGGTATAAACGAAAATTAAATAATGATATAAGTATACTTTAATAAACACATTTTATGGACAGATGAAACAATTTCTATACAACCGACAACCCACACTTAATTCAAGAAATAATGCCCCAAATTAGATTTTTAATAAATTTATGGTGTGAAATACTTAACAATAAAATAATTGGTTCTATTTTTATTGACGGAAATCTCAACCAACACAACTATTTACAATTGCTAGATGTGTTATGCTAGACTTTGTTACATTAATCAGAAATTATCTAAACGGAAGATTTCCCAGGAAATGGTTTGGTACACATGGACTTACTAGATGGCTGCCTAGGTCACCCTGCTTAAATCCTATGGATTATTTTGTATGGGGATATATGTATATAAAAAATGAAGTTTATAATGATGGGACACAAGCTAAAAACCGTTTTCGTTTTTCTCTTATTACATGTTTCACAATCTTGAGTATATATATATATATATGTTTGATTAAAACATATTTCTCAGAAGTTTAGTAATAATCGGCAACAGTGCTTACGTATAGAAACACTCAGTGGCGGCTTGTGAGCAAAAAATTGGGGGTTCACAATGACATAATATAGATCTCAGTACAGATTTAGGTAAAAAACTTTCAGTTTTTATAATACACCTTTCCAAAACACTGAAAGCTTTTTACCTAAACCTGTAATGATACCTATATTCTCTCATTGTGAACCCCCAATTTTTTGGCAACGAGCCGCCACTGGAAACACTATACCTACTTTTTTCTATGGGTATAACACACATCCCCAACTAGTCATTAGTAAAAGTGCATTTGTTGTGAATCCAAAACCTAAATCATTCCATCTCTATAAATCGGAGTGAGAAAACCGATTTTGTTGACGTAACATAATGGACCGCTCGCCATCATCTGCTGCTATATTTAAAACATCCACGGGCGTAAAAATCCTACAGTTGGTGTTATATTTTCGCTGTTGCTAGGTACACGCTAAAGTGTACACAAATCAAAAAATTATATACACGCGAAACGTCATATTGCTGTGGTAGGAGGTGTTTGTGTGAATGCGTCTTGTTTGTTTTCATTTACGCCGTGACTAGAAGTAGTATTTTATAAACCTTAGAAGCAAATTTCACATACATGAACAAATAATAATAATGCCGTGACAACAAGAAAACGAAGCAACAACTTCTCGTACAAACTGAAAATAATAGGGTTTATTCTACAGTGCCCAATTAATTGTTTAATTTAATGTAAGCCCGATAAAATTATCCATTCTTAGAGTTCTAATATACAGGATGTTCCTAAATACCAGAAAGAGGTAATTTCTTATCCTATTTTAATTAAAATTACACGGAACTGAGACGTCATATTCGGTATTCAATATTTTAAAGAAAAATCGTGAATAGCGCAAAAAAAATTCACAAAATTATAAGATCCGATATCAGGGTTGGTTCGCCTCCCCCCCTCCTAAATGGTGGGGCCCCGGTGCACCGCACCACTTTACTCTATATTAGCTACGCCCCTGGAAGTTACTTCTACCTCATTGCTTAGAGCCGTAGAAAAAAAATAGATTTTTGTCCTATTTAGAATTTATTTTGCGCCGCCATCGGAGTTTTAGATTGTTGCGAATGAAAACAACGCTATGACATAATATTCATGATATTCCTTCTTATTCTCATTTATCATTGTTCATTGCGTATATTGCGTCCGTCGGCGTCGTCAGATTGCTGTCCGTCTACTCCGTTCCGCAGTATTCTCATATTCCAAGTTTCAAATTTTCAGTACGGTTTCGCCGCAATTCGCCAGTTTGCCCAGTTTGGCTTTGGTTTCGTCTGCGGGCGTGTGACTTGAAAGGTGAAGGTAACACTGAGCTGCTTGCGAACGTTTCTAACCTCAAAAACGCGAATGTTTAATTTTACCGTTTTCGTTCATTTTTCGCAAGAATGGTGAAAAAAATTCAATGGATCTCGTATAGTTTTGTTTATTTTGTTTTGATTGACTGTTACATCCTTTGTTCTTCTGATCACAATCGCAAAATTTGCAAACATGTCCATCCAAAACAACAAGAGGTTAGTTTTAATGTTTGTAAACTTTTTATTATTTTGATTGTTTACAATCCTTTTGTGTATTTATATATAATATATTTAGTTGGATTTATTTAACCATTAATAAGTGCCAATTATCACAATAAATTGCTGTTGGTTGTTTTTATTTACCAACACATAACTACCTATTTAGTATAAACGTTTTGTTCCGTTATTTTTATTTTAAATAAATATCTGGCATAGTTATGACAAAAATAACTACTTCAATTAGATGTATCTTTCATAAAGACACATTTTTAGTACCCTTCTCTTACATAAACACTACAAATCAGTTCCGAGGGGGAAATCACTATAATCATATTGTTCGTGTATTGTGGCAATAATCTCGGTCGTTATGATTTACAACGATTTTTTTTTTCACTTTCTAAGGATATTCTATAATGTCCTGAGACCTCTCACCCCCCGGTCGCTTCTTGTTTTATAAAAAAGGATTATTTGTATTACCTTTACTAACTTAAATAGGTCTTTTTCTCTAGTAATGATCCTAGTTTAATTAGATTATTTTATTATAACACCCACGTTGTGTTTACCTAATTAATTTGTAAATCCCCAGTTTCGTGCAAATTTGTGACAAATAATACTCCACACTAAACAAATATTTATCTTATTTTATCCTCAAATGAAATACCGTACCTATATTGTCGTCATCAGCCAAACACCCGTAACTAACAAATTACAAATATTTGGGTTCACTCGACCATTCTGGTACTAATGCTTTTTTCTTCCTAAAAAGTAATCATAAATTCTTTATCCTAAAATGTCAACTTTATTCTTTACTGTATCTAATATTTTTAAGAGCATTCTTAACAAAAACCTTTTAACCAACAAGCCAAAACAAAAAATTAAATCAAACTTATTTTTAACCAGTTAAAAATATTATTCAAAAATTGCCTTTAATTCAACAAAAGCAGCTATATTGGTATTATTGAACAAAATGCTAAAACTAATAAATTTCTTTTGTTGCAAATATCTCCATTCCATAATTTGCCTAGTTACTGGTGTTTTGCCTATGACGGCAGTATACAATTTTTATTTATTGAGGAATGAAATTGTATTTCTCACCGGGACTTCACATGTTTCCCGCCCAAATAAACAGATCATGACCATGTGCCATCAAATATACCTATACAGTTGAATAATTATTGAGGATATACAGCAGACGTACTGTTTTAAATATTTTCTTATTTCGTAGTTTGTTTTTTTATATAGAGATATTCAGTCGGATAGGTATCTCTTATGCTCAGGTTTATAATGTGTAGACAGTGTATTTTTACTAAAATGGTGCGAGATCAGTACCCGCGAACTACCCCTTATCTTCAGAACTACCTACGTAGCGAAGATTAAGAGAATAATTAGTTAAGTCAGTCCAAGTGTGAATATAGCTAACTGAACGGTCACTCACCCCAATCAACAGAGGTGTTATTTTATTAGCGATTAGTGATGGCCCATCGATATTTCGGTAAACGAGATCTTTGAATATTTTATGGTGGTATAATTAAAGGGTAAATGCAACTTGGAGCGTGTCCATCTGGCAGCGCCAAATGTGACGTTATTAAATATTGAATTCCATAATAATGAATATAATAAAATTTCAATTGTTATTGACTCGCTATCTGTGAAAATGCGATTTTTTATAGAACGTAGTTTTGTGCAACAAAAATTTGAGCAAAATTTAACATCAGTACCACCCTTAAAACTTTTCATTATTAATTTTAGAGTGACATTCGATTGTCCATGATTTTCCACTTTTGCCTAACAAAAATTTTAATTGTCCAACCCTCAAAACCGATATATTTAAAAAATAAAAAAAAATTGTTCACCTGGTTCTTATGGACAAGGAATGAAATAAATACGGCAATCGGTTGTCCACTCATTATTTTCGTTTGTCCAAGCTTTATTTTCGTTTATCCGCCCAAACTAACTAATTTCTGTTGGGTGGACAAACGAAAATAAGGCCCGGACAAACGAAAATAAGGCCCGGACAAACGAAAATAATGTGTGAACAAATGATTGCAGTAGTTAGTTTTAAGGAGGTCCTTTCGCCACCAATGTTAAATAAAAAATATTAGATTATGACTAAAATTATTTTTTTTCTAATAGTAGATGTCCTTATTTATCTAATAGTGAACTTTTAACTATACCTTACCGTGCCAATTTTTGAGATTTTTTTTTTTTTAAATGTGTGTGTTTGTACAGTGTCTTATGAGAAAGTAAGACTTCAACAACAATTTTCGAATTATAATTAATTTTACTATTATTTATTGATTAGATGAAGTAGAAAAAAACTAAAAATAAGGTTTTTGAAATATTTAGGTTTTGTTTTTTACAATAAAATATATAGGTTACCGTGGAATTTATTGAGAAATTATTATTAAAAAATCACAAAAAATTTTCAACTATGTTACTTGAAAATTTTTTGTGATTTTTTAATATTAATTTCTCAATACGTTCCACGGTTTACTATATATATTTTATTGTATAAAACAAAATCTAAATATTTCAAAAACCTTATTTTTAGTTTTTTTCTACTCCATCTAATCAATAAATAATAGTATAATTCGAGAATTGTTGTTGAGGACTTACTTTCTCGTGAGGCACTGTACAAATACTCACATTTTAAAAAAAAAAAATTCTCAAAAATGTGCAAGGTAAGGTATAGTTAAAAGTTCAGTATTAGATAAATAAGGACTTCAACTATTAGAAAAAAATTAATTTTAGTCATAATCTAATAACTTTTTTTTTAACATTTGAGGCGAGAGGTGTGGCGAAAGGACCTCCTTAATTAATTGCTATTAGAAGTACTTATATTAATAATTGTTCATATTTTGAGTTCTTTATTTGATAATAACTAATTTCTGTTGGGCGGACAAACGAAAATAACACCTGGACAAATGAAATTAATGTGTGGACAAACGATTCCAGTAGTTAGTTTCAATAAATTGCTATTAGAAATAGTTATATTAATAATTGTTCATATTTTGAGTCCTTTATTTGTTAATAACTTATAATTTATTTTGCGCGGACAATCGAAAATAATGCGTAGACAAACGAATGCCGTATTTATTTCGAATTAAATTTATTAAGGTTGTCCCTAAGGACCAAACGAATTATTTATTAAATGGTTTTTGTGGCGGTGATGATATTACATTTGGCTTAAATTTGTTATAACTTTTTTTGAAGGGTGGACAAACGAAAATGTTTGTTGGACAAACGTGGACAAATCGTAGACAAACGAATGCCAACTACGTTTTATAAAAATTCGCATTTGGTGGGGATATCTTCAGAGACCTACCACTATTTCACCATCCACTGCATATTAGTTGTTATGGGTCTAATTAATGTGCGACTTGGCTCGTATACATGGTCATCGTTAAATTTAATAAATATTGTACATTTATGCTGTAATTTTACATCAAAAGAGTAATGATTTTAAATGGAAATTTTTGTGGTAAAATAGACAGTTGACTGCTATTTATCTTCTACTCTTACACTTCCTCAAACATTAATTATCTTTAATGCAATTGTCACGACATCACCAACGTGTAACTGTGTGATTATAGTCCATAATATAATGCTCCAGCGAGAAGCAAAGAATATTTTTTAAGTTGCTAAACCGAAACAGTATATTTTGACATTTTTAAAAATATTAGGTAACCATTTATTCTTGGTTAAAATTTTAAGACATTATTTTTACATGGCAGATCCAAAATTTTAAGGGGTAAAGGGCCAAATACTTTTACATGGCCGACGTACGGGGTAATGGGGCCAATACCAATAACAATAAAGTCAATGTTAAACAATCGCTAAAAATATTACTAGCTTGAATTTAGAACTCAGGAAGTGGAGAATTATTCACTAAGTTTTATTTCTAAGCCATTATCACTTTAAATATGTAACGAGATAGTTATTTTCTCAAGGAAATAAATTAAAAGAAAAACTAATGAGAAGTTTCTACAATCTACCATTGTTTATTTATAATACCTGTATATGATTATGTTGTTAGAATTTTGCGAAAGTGGTAAAATTAGTCCTTGAAAAGTTTTTTTTATATAATAAAATAATCATGTACTTTTTGGTAAACTGATATAAGTAATTTAATATTGAAGTTTTATCGACACTCTGAACAAGATTAATATTAAATTAATTTTATCAGATTAACAGTTTCCTGAATTATAAGAAAATGTAAATTATTTTGAATATCGAGTAATCTTAATTTTCTTATGGTACAAATTTCGAATAAAATATTAGGTAATTTTAAAAGTTAAAACATGCCAGACTTTACGCATCTTATGCAATTTTAGCTATGATAAATATTTTAACCATCCATTTAACACTATTTTTATACGCGGAAATTTAAAATTTTCAATGGAAATACGTTTTTTTTGCGAAGAAATTTTAATGCTACTTTCTTGTATTCAACCTCCAATGTATTTATAGATTTCAGATAGGAATTTTCACAAAAATTTACACCTAAAATCATTTTGTGAAAATTTCAAATTTTACACATAAATATGCGATTGCGAACTATGTTTTTTTACGCTAATTTTTTCAGATATCTAGATTATCATTATGAAAAACAATTTTCAATAACAAATTTCCTTTTTATGAACCTACTTCCATGTGCTGCAGATTTTTCGACCTTCCTCAAAAACGGTGAATTTCCTCAAGATTTCGTTTGAATTTTTTGAAAAAGGGAATTTATTCTGAACGAAGTTCCACCCGGTAAACCTGTTAATTATACTTTATCATCCTGTATACACATAAGAAACAGTCCCGCCTATCGTTTCTCTATATTTCAGCCGGTAGGTAGTGCTTAGAAAGGTCACAATAGGTGAGAGAAATCACCGTTCAAATATTTTATGTAAAAAATATTTTGTGGTTACTTTTTATGGAAAAATTGGTTTAAGAGAAAACACCGTACTACTAACGTAATGAAATATCTGTTTGAATCAGGTCAAGATTACCAATCAAGGCATTAACGCTTCTATGTACAACGTGGTTGAAAAAGAAATTGTCAATGATGTTTTTATTTAGTACATACACTTCCTTTTAGAAGACCCTGAATTGAAAAATCAAATTATAGTGATTAGTAATAATAACCATAATAATATTTAAAATACTTTTACTTTCCTTATAAATAAGCTACACGGAACGCAATACAAGACATAAACATCGAACTTGTAAAGGTTACTTTTTTGTTTTGGCCAAAATTCCTAATAAACTTAATCCTCTTTTTTGACTATCGATATAATATACCTACTATTTCTAAAAAATGTATTCTTATATTTTTATTTATAAATAGTATTTCAGATTTAATAAATTTAAAAGGGAGAGTAATATACCTCTAATTTTATTTTATTCTGTATAAAATTTGAAAATAGCTAAAATTTTCGTGTAATGTTTTTACAACAAATAAAAAAATGTCGTTCATATGATATATAATTGGATGTAAAGATATTCTTTCTCTTTCGGCAAAACACAGGGAATCGTATAAAGACACGTTTAACGGCAACCCAGGGACGGACCTAATTAGTTGTATGTTACGCTTTAAATTATATTAAATTAATATCACACTATTCACGGTGCTTGGGAACCAACTTTAAATGAAAAGTTTATTTACTAGACTTTTTTTTCGGTCAAAGTATTTCTGAAGGGCTATAGATTGGGGCAATATATTTTTTAAAATCGGTTCCAGCAGCCGTTTTTGAGAAAACTCGATTTTTAATGAAAAAGTGACCTTTTTTTTTACTTTTTTGCTTGTAACTTGCGCATTTCACATTTTCTCGGCTTGCCAAAAGTAAATTTCAATGGGAAAATGTCCGCTCTACAAAAAAGCATCAATTACTTTTTCTCTAAAATTAGCCGATTTTGAGTTAAATGAGATCTCAATTAACTCAAAATCGGCTGATTTTAGAGAAAAAGTCATTGATGCTTTTTTGTAGAGCGGACATTTTCCCATTGAAATTTACTTTTGGCAAGCCGAGAAAATGTGAAATGCGCAAGTTACAAGCAAAAAAGTAAAAAAAAGGTCACAAATGAGATCTCATTTAACACAAAAACGGCTGATTTTAGAGAAAAAAGTCATTGATGCTTTTTTGTAGAGCGGACATTTTCCTATTGAAATTTACTTTTGGCAAGCCGAGAAAATGTGAAATACACAAGTTACAAGCAAAAAAGTAAAAAAAAGGTCACTTTTTCATTAAAAATCGAGTTTTCTCAAAAACGGCTGCTGGAACCGATTTTAAAAAATATATTGCGCCAATCTATAGCCCTTCAGAAATACTTTGACCGAAAAAAAGTCTAATAAATAAACTTTTCATTTAAAGTTGGTTCCCAAGCACCGTGTATTGGCATAATTTCCCTCTTAGATTACACACTTACGAAATTGATCCGAAATAAATATTCACGAGTTGTAATAAAAATCGCCATGAAACTATAATATTTCATCTACTATTTTATTACTTGAAGTATTTAATTATTTCATTGAATATTAAAAATCAGTGAAGGATGTTACAACTGTTATTAGTATCGTCTTATTATAAAAAAATTAAATTACTGTGGAATGTATTAATCTGGCTTTAATTTTTAAAGTGATTGAAGCATGCGAGCCTTCTCAATACGGCAAGGTTACATTCCTAGAAAAGGAAAATAGGAATAATGCCATGTTCCTTTTCAAAATAACGTGAACCAACAGATACGTGGTTACATTAGAACTGCCATCTTCACTTGACGTGTCAAAGAATGGAGCACTTTTCTAGTGGTTTTGTCAGATTTCTAAGGAAAACCGGGAACCAACTTTATTTAATTTTTAAATCATTTAAAAATACGGCACGATATTATTAAAATAAAAATTACAAACCTTTCTTCTAATATTCCGATTCCGCTTTTTTCTTGGAATACATTCCTGGCTCGTAATAACTTTTAATCGAAGGTTTTGAAATTTTTGTCAAATGTGTATTCTTTCTATGACACCGTAATTGAATCTATTATTTTCCAATTTTAATTGGTACATATTTCGAATAACTTTTTTAGTTGAGGGTGACATCTACATACAAAATTTTTCTCCTCCTCCAATTCTTCTTTACTGCATAGAATTATGTAGGGTCACTTAGGGTAAGAACGCGTTGTTTGGGGTAAATGTATTAATAAAAATCTAAATTATATTCTAAATAATAACATGAAAAATTCAATTTTAGTGTGGCATTTACCCTATGTTTACAGGATCAACAAAAATTAAAAAAATATATTACTAAAATTTATTATAAATGCTAATTGTTTGTTTCATTTAATTGTACCATAAACGTTAAAATGGTAATCTTATTAAAGTCTACTAGTAATTAATTAATATAAATTTATTTGTAAATTTTTCGTAAAGTTTTACGGCTGATGAAAGGAATTCCTCGTTTTCTCTTAATTTAGCAACAACAGCTTTAGGGGTTTGCACTTTATTTAAAAAAAAAAAGAATGTACAGTTCTTCGTATTATTTGTTTTTGGTTATCGTCCAATTTCAGCTGTCTTGGTCTAGACAGATCCGCATTCAAATAATTTTTATTAAAATAATGCGAATTGCAAGGTTTTCATCTCTTGCCAATATGTGAATCGATTCTAAAATTTTTGTAAAACGTTAAACGTTCATTATAATTTTGAAAACTTTTTTATCTTGAAAATAATGCGCTGCAACATACACAAAATTTGAAATATGTAAGCCCAAAAAAAATTACACTCTTAAATGGTACTAAAAACTGGTGGTACAGTTTAAAAAAACTATCATAAAAACATGAGTACCAAAATATGCGTATCTAAAAAACAATCGACCTGTCCGATTAATTTGTTCTAACCTTCACATGCTCACTGTATAATTAAATACTTCTCAACGTGAAGGTGATGGATGCTTCTAATAAGACATATATTTATTATTATTTATTGCCTTGAAGACCAATTATTATCTATTTATATGGAAGATTGAATAACAATAAAATGTGGAATACATTTTTCCTCAAAAGTGGTTTGCGTTCAAATTATCAAAGTAATAATTATAAGTTACATAACGCAAAGTAGTTAACAAGTAGTAAAACAACGTGATTATATTCTTTGTTTAACTATGTAATGTTTTTTTATGTTTAAATCAGGTTTTGCCAGTTTTCAGTTTATGCAAAATTCTTAGTATATAAGCAGCGGTTCTCAAACTTTCGTTTTTCGCGCCCCCTTTATTACTTTGACGACCTCTGAATAATAATGGGTATCCCAATAAGAACACACGATTTGAATTGTGCCGTGTAGTACGCCATCCAAATATTGATAAGAAAAGCGTAAACAGCACGATTAGAAGGCATATTATACTTTTTCGAAGACGATATGAGAGTTTGCTGTTTCTCTATAGAAATTTAACAACACATTTGCTTTCAACGACTTATGGGAGGGAGTGATCGAACTAATGGACTGCAATAAATATATTTAATTTGAACATTATTGTCTATCTAATACGAAAAGAAAAGTAAATCAAACTAAACATTCGTAAAGATTCTAATGCGGTTTTTTAAATGATTTTTTTCACAAAACGAGACAAACATTATATAAGCAGAAAACTCCGTCCAGTGAAACTTTTATTTACATGAGCAATTTACTCCAATGTATTAAAAATAATGAGCTCTTTTATATTTTTTTCAGGTTTTGCATACCAGAATAGATCCACTACATGTTCTGACCAAAAGAAGTGCCGACCAGTCACTTAGAATATTGCTGTATTATGACCAAAGCGTATACAGGTATGTGTAGACCAGAATAATTTACTAGTATTACTATTATACCTATATATAATTTACAAAAGGTCTGTTCGGGTTCTTTAAAATACATTGAAAACTATCAGAGGACTAGTTGACCAGTGGACAGTTTAATAGTTGTGTGCGACGTATACTTTAGAATTGAACTGTTCCACTAGTTCTCGGACGGTTTGCATCGAGTTTTAAGGAAACCCGAACAAACCTAAAGAAAGCGACATCCAGCCGCACAGCTAACCTCGAAAAACACAGTTGTCAAATTGCAAAAATAAAATGCCCTATTGTAATTTATTATTGATGGACCTCCCTTTAAAAACCAACCTATTTACCTAATACACAAGAATGGGCCATGTTCACATGTGAGATATGCTGTTTTATAAATTATATTGTAATAGTTAGTCGCTATACAAGTTATTCTAAATAGTCAGTTCGTTAAAAAAGCCAAAAGTTTTTAAATTAAGCCCAATTGAAATTTAAAATTTGAAATTATACGTCATCGGGAATAGACCAATCATCTTCTGTCGAAGTTTTTTTTGTTATACAAAACCAAGCCAACGAACAAACCGACAAACAGAATGTCGAAGTGAACGCACATCTAAGTGACATTAAAATTGACACCACCTAACCTTAGTTTTTTGTTTTGGTTTAATTTTATTATTAATATGAAAATCAGCTGGATTTATAAAAGTTGAATCAAGTGTTTTACCCATTGTAAACGAAAATATGATTACCGATATGATTACTGCATTTTTTAACAATACTCAGTTTACAAAATTCAGAAAGGTAAGACTTTGTTTTAATAGTAGGTAGTTACAGTTTATATGGAGCAAGTAAAACATATTTATCTCCGGTTTTATTTTTAGATCTGCCAAGCAAGAATATGGGGATAATTTCTTTTTCCATAAGAGAGAAGGAGACAAATTACACCTAAACATAAAGTACGGCAAAAACCTTCTGATGAGGTTGTTGTAATTAACAAAAATGAAATTTTTAGTGCACAATATACTTAGGATATGCTGCATGTCAAGGTTTGTAATATTTATTATGCTTTTTTGTTTTTATATTACATATAATAAACAGTGTATAAGGCCCTTTATTCCTATAAATATTTTTTTTCTAATTTTGACATATAGACATTTTTTGTAATCGCAGCAAGTGTTAAAATAATCTACAAACAGATTTTGTTAGTGAACCTAGTAATAATTATGATACCAAAGAATGCTGCAGAGCACCTATGAAATTTTGAGTTAAAAAATATGCCATATTTTTAGGCTATTTTTATACCCTTTTCAAAAATTTTATGCTCCTCGTTTTTTGCAAAACTTAAAATGCTCTATAGCTTCGAACGAAGTCAGCAAAGCACCTCTGTTTTATAAAGTTTTTTCTTTAAAAACAGCAACACCATATATTTATGCACTCGAAATATTATATTTTTAAAAATACATGGTGCTTGCTAACCTTCGAAAGAAGCCAGCAGAGCAATTCGGTTTTTTAAAGCTTTTTTCTAAAAACCACACCCCATTTTTAGACTCTTGAAATATTGTAAAACTTTACTAAAAAAATTGCTATTTTTAAATAATACAGGGTGCTTTGTTGGAACAAAGTCAGCAGGACACTTCAGTTTTTTAATTTGTTTTTTTTTATATATAAAAACAACTACTTATGACACATGTTTAGGCTGTTTTAAAATCCTAAAAATGTGGTAAGTACATTTGTTTTCAGAAAAAAACTTTGAAGTCAGCAAGGAATTGCGAATTTTTTTTAAAATGCCAAATTTCGAATATTTTATAATATTGTAGGAGCCAAAAAACGTGGTGTGGTTTAAAAAAAAACTGGGGTGCTCTGCTGGATTCGTTTGAAGCTAACAAAGCATCCCGTAATTTTTTATTTTATAATACTCAATAGCCTAAAATGAGACATAGCTGTTTAAACAAAAAATTGTATTTTTAAAAATGACAGTTTTTTTCGAAAAGCTCTATAATATTTCAAAAATGTGAAAATGTGGTGAGATTGTTTTTTTTTTAAGTTTTGAAAATCCGAGGTTCTTTACTGGATTCGTTCAGAGCTAGTAAAGCTCTGCTCGTCTTGTTACATAAAATAAAGGCATTTTGTAGCTGGTTATATAGTTATTTTGTAACTGCATATCTAACCCTTTTATTTTTTTCAGTTGGTTGTAAATATGTGGCTTCATAGAAGAAGTGAGGAACCATCTGTAACATCTACTCAGTGTTATTGGAAAGGCTCTAATTTATCAAAATGCGTAAATATTGATGTACACTTGGCTAGATTGTTAAAGAAACCTCTTCATCCACTACAGGAAAATAAATCAGTACTTTTATATTCTTAGGATTTGTATATATATTTTTTATTTGTAAATAAATTGTTTTTTACTTCATTTTTCTCATTTTTTATTAAATGGTTAATAAATAAAATTTTCACAGATTTTTATATTTTTGTTTGTAAACAATAATTGAAGAGTTTTTATTAAAAATCACCAATGTTAATAATAATAACTTAAGTCAATATTATTCTTTCTCCTTTTTTAATGCTATTATCAATAAAGGTATTACTTTAGCTTGACCTATGATCAATTTTTAAATTTTGTGATATATTTGGTTCGACAGAAAAAAAATTATAACCCTTTGACATTGGTTGTATTTACTTAGATTTTCATAAAAAATAAACGGAACTGCAAACATGTTTTACTATCGTAATAACGAATAGCAACATTAAATTTTTTTTTTCACATTTATCACTGTTGTCATTTTCATAATGGATTGATAAGAAGGCACACTTTCTGGTTTTTTGAAAAAGGTGGCAAGAATTGTGATATTTTTAAATTTATCAGCAGTGATACCACATGTAGTTACCCAATTTATTGGAATATATAGACTTTGCTACCACATTCAACTGAACTTGGTTGTTTTTAATATTTATCACTGTGACATAGGCGTTTTTGTCAAAATGTTTCATTTTAAACTGCTGTAAATTGGTGCCTTTGTTTTGGTAGTTTTAGTCCCAAAAAAATCTATGCATATACAGGTACTCATTCCTCTTTGATTTGTTCGAAAAGTTAAAATTTTATAAAAAATTACATTGGCTGTTTAAAAACTCTATAATCCCTGAAATGTGATAATTAGGTAAATTAAATTAAAAAAACAAAAAAAATTTATTAAATTAATATTTACTCTTACAAAATAGGTTCTTGTAAGTTAACAAGCAATTATGCAGATATTACTAAGTAAATGTACTTGCTTAAAATTCACACACGAATGTGGTTTTAACATGTTAAATTAACTAACCCTTCTTATAACTCTTTCCACATGTATTCTTAGAGATGCTATTCTTTTACTTAATTGTACATCTTCTGGAGAACTTTTTTCATTCTGTGATACACTAGGTGTGGCTTTACTAAAGTGCATCCCATGTTTTCAAGTAGCTGAATATTCTGAAACCCCTATCTGCCATTATATGGGATCCAGGAACCAGTTTGTTTAAATACCCACATTTTTCTATTATTTCTTTATCACTAGTTCTTCCACAAAATGATGAATAAATTCGGTATCTTCAAAACTTTCAGGAGATTCTGCATTTTCTTCCAGAAGGGTTTTTAGGTTATACACCTAAGAATTTATAGTAGCCTCATTTTCAATTTCCTGAAGGGGACAATTAGCAGAAATTGCTGCTACATCTTGATAATCCGGTGTATTTTTATTAAAAAGTTCACGAGAAACATCGCTAGTAGAAGGTTGATTTTCTTCTTTCCAAATTTCTAGGAACACTAATAAATATTTTTGAAGATGAATGTGAATCATTATCACATTCTGGAACAAAACACTTTTTCGTAATATAAAGTACAAAATTAAACACTCAAATTCCAAATAAATTCTTGATCCAGACACTATGATGACAGATGCCATACACAGTGCTGCCATTTTGCCATTTTCTGAATTATTAAGTGTCTTTTAAAACAATGAAACTTTAAATATGGTAAAAGTTTAAACAGAAATAATACTTTCAAAAAACATTTGATATTATATATTTAAAAGATATTTGTTTAATGATGTTTTAGAAGTCTAAAAGTAAGAAGGAGTACACAAACGAACGTACATCACTTCTCGTAAACCTTCTAGCCGGCAACGTTGTGCGCTAGCTCCTATTGGTCTATTCCCGGTGACGTCATAAATTTTTAAAAAATTCATAACTCCGGCAAATGAATAGATAAAAAAAAAATAAAAAAAATGTAGTTTTATTTTTAACTGTACTATTCATAAAAAAAATTTCAAAATTTTTGAACATGCCCCATTAATTTATGCTCGGCAACTATGTACCTATCTCAACCCACCGAGGATATTGCCGTTACCTTATTGGCTGATAGTCAATTTATATTGGTTGTTAACTAGTCAACGTGGATTGTTGGAACTTTTTCAGTTATATAGTATGTATGCTACAGGATAATAATACTACAAGGTTTTCGCTTATTATATTGGTGTCAATTTAATTATTTTGTTTTTGTATTTATAATGAATTTTTAGAACCCATCTGAAAGTGATGGAGGATTCTAGGGTTCCACAAGGTATATTACTAGAGCATTTATTCTCGAAATATTTATTTGAATATACAGTATGTCCCCCTAAGTTGGAATCATATGGAAAACTTTTTTATTAATTTTAGGAAAAAAGTTTTCCTTCATAAAAAGTTCTGCATTATCTAAAACCTAGCATACAGTCATCAAATATCAAATTTTTTCAGTGGTATACGAGGTTTGTCAAAAAATATGAGTTTTACTCAAAAGTAAAGTACCTTTATTCTTTATACGACTGATAAAGTTTAATATTTGATGGTTGTATTTTAGGTTTTAGACCATGCTCGACTTTTTATAAAGAATAACTTTTTTCCCAATATTAATAATGAAAAAGATTTTCATATGCCGCCAATTTACGTAGACAGTTGGTGGCATAGGAAAGCTTTTTTATTACTAATTTTAGGAAAAAAAGTTGTTCTTTATAAAAAGTCGAGCGTGGTCTAAAACCTAAAATACAACCATCAAATATCAAATTTTATCAGTCGTATAAAGAATAAAGGTACTTTACTTTTGAGTAAAACTCATATTTTTTGACAAACTTCGTATACCACTGAAAAAATTTGATATTTGATGACTGTATTCTAGATTTTAGATAATGCAGAACTTTTTATGAAGAATAACTTTTTTTCTTAAAATTAATAATAAAAAAGTTTTCCATATGATTCCGACTTAGGGGGACATATAATTAGGTACTTAATCTTATGTTTCTTTACAAGTTAAATGAATGAAAATAATTTAGGTCTAGGGTATTTAATATAAGTCTAATATGGAGAATTTATTGTTGTTAAATAAATATTATTTTATAAATTTCTGGAAGGAAATTAAATATCTTTGAGCATAAGTATAGAAATCTCTGGCCAACACACTTATTAAGTAAACAAGTTTGAACTTTTTTTGAGTTTTACTTCTAGTCTGCTATTTATGTTGTATGTGGTGTAAAATACTCGTATTTTTATTTGTGTAAATCAATAAATTAAATATATACTATTGTCTTATATCCATTATGTCACTTTTAGTAAATATTAAATTTGTCGGGTAAGTTGGTTTCTTATTATATAGTTTTTATTTTCCTTTGAATTAGGTACTTCTAACTTCTTTAGATGCGTCTTGTCCATAGCTCCCAGGATATTATGCCATATCTTATTCTGGATTCGACAAGATTAAAATATTTTATGTAAAGGTGTGTAGCATCTATAAATTTTTTAAATATTTAAATTTATAACATAGCAACCGTACTGTGTTTACAATATTATCTACATGAAAATTCCATCTTAAATGAGAGTCGACAGTTACTTCTAAATATTTGATATAATCCTTTTTTTTTATTGTCTCATTATTTTGATATATTTCAAGCGATTTACGTAGTGGAAGTGCTTTTTGTAGCTATAGAAGGGCACAAAATAACTGTAAGTTGTTTATGTTTAAACCAATTTATTATTTGTTATAGATCCTTTTCAGTTTTTTCTTTTAATTCTTCCCAACTGTTAGCCTCACAAAATACCACCTTGTCGTCTACAAAACTAATGATAGTACCTATAGTGTCAATAGTGAAAATATTATTTAGATAAATTGATAATAGTAAAGGTCCCAACATTGTTCCTTGTGGTATTCCAAATTTAACTTGAACTTAATTTATTTTCAACTTTTACCATCTGTTCTCTATCTGACAAATAATTTTTTAAAAGTTCTAGTGTTCTTAAATCTTTCAAAGCCTCCAACAATTGTGGGGGTGGCTCACAGTGTCAAAAGCCTTTGCAAGGTCCAGAAATACGCATAAAGATGGTTTGGTTTCATCTACAACTGTATAAATTTGTTTGTAATAAAGCTGTAATAGCATCACTTGTAAATAAGCCTTCTTGAAAACCGTACTGACACTTTGACATATTATATTTTTTTATAAATTTTTCCATTCTACATTTAAGTGTTTTTTCAAAGATTTTTGTGAAAGTTATAATTAGAGAAATTGGTCTATAGTTATTAATTAGATTTTTTGGACCTTTTTTTTTGTATATTTCTTAATTTTAATTTTTTTTTTTTTCGATTTATATAACCGATTTTACAAATAATGTATTTTATTATTAAAGAATTATTAAACTCAAAATACCTTTTATATAAAAAATAATTATAAAATTTGTTTATTATGAATCCATTATTTATAAAAACAATTTTGTAATGCAATTTTCTTCCTAAAGTATGAACATAATACTATAAATAAAAATGATTTAATAATTTCAGATTTAACTAAGTGAACCTATTCACACTCATTGATGATAATTTGATAATATGCAATAATAAAAATAATAATAGACTCGTGTTTAATGAATTTAATTTTGGAAAATTATAGAGTATTTGATTTTAATTTTAATGGTTGGAATTTCCAATTAGATAACCTATTCAATTTTATAAATAACAAAATAAATTCTAAATAATAAAATATCAATAGAACGAAGATCTCAAAAATAAACTAGCATATTAACTGCTGCTAAACAATGCCCAAATTTATCATAGGCTTTGGAAATCTCTTTTCTTTTAATGTCTTCTAGATAATTCGAAGTATGTACCTACGTGCCTATTTCGGAATAAAGCAGCCGCGTTTCCACACGTACACTAAATATCTACCTATTAATTTGCTATTATTACGCCAGTGGGGCGCGAAAGGGGAAGTCGAATTTTCCTTATGTAGAAATAGTACCTTTGAAACATCCATACTTGCTACAAAAATCTTATAAAATTAAATATTTCATCGTAAAAGGTTTACTTATTTAATTTTTTTTTATATTGTTTGCAGATTAGACCCACAAAGATTCGAACTAATAAATGTAAGTAGTAATTATAAATAATTATTTTATTTTATTGTCATAAATTATTACATATAAATATTAATAACTCCGTTATGGTTGTGAATTTACCAAAGTAGGTTCGTTAATATTTTACATTAAAATATATGTATG